GTTTGCTACCACCCATAGTCGACACACATTTCTGTATAATTGAATCAAAAACAGAATACAGTATGTAGTAAAAGCCGTCGGACGCCGAGAGAGGACACGCGATAATTAACACGACTGCAATCGGTAATACTCGGTGTCAACAGTGTCGCGTCGAGCATCACCCTCGAACAACCGTACTATTGAAAATTTTGCAACCCGAGCAGTAGCAGCAGCAGCAGAAACCGCGCCGTAGAAACAGACACAAACGAAAGTTCGACCGTGAAACAGCACTCGTGATCGTAGATGACGCGAATGACTTGCAAATTCTTTGGTTCGCGCGCTTACTCTGCTCGATGAACCACGTAGTTATCGTGTCGCAGGCGCGTTGACTCTGTACTTTTCGGACCACCCATTTTCTCCGCACCTTTGAACCACCGATTCCGGTGGATTTTTCACATCTCATGGTTCGATTAACACTAGAATTACCGTGGTGTAGATACTGGTATCCGGGTATTCGTGAGTCGCGAGATACCCGACTACACTTGATAGCGCTTTGGGTACCCAACTACAACGTGTAAATATTGTACATCATCGTGACTTTAAAGTTTACAAACCGTTTGTCTCTCACAATAAAATATTTAGAACGTTGCACGTTACTAATTACATATTAGTTTATACCAGAGGGTTTTTTTTAAAAAAACAAAAAAAACGCTTACTAATTTTATATTATATAATTTTTAATCTATACATAATAATTTTAACGTTTTTCACATACTATAATGACTTCTGTGATAAGCTAAACGAAACCTCGTGGTANAGAATCTGAGCGTCAATTAGAGAGACTTGTCGTTTCCAATTCCAAGATTCCCTAAACGACTCGTTTCTACTTTGTCCCATATAAATAGTTTCCCGCGTGCTGTGTCTTCGAAAAATTTTCTTAACGAAAGTGAATTATGCACGAAAAAAGTAGAGATTTCAGGCTTTAAAATGAGCTAAGTTTCGTTGCTCTACGATTTTTATTCACGAAGTTACGGTATTCTGAATATCGTCGATGTTTCGAAGGTTCGAAATTTCGTGCACGGTCTTGAACGAGGTTTCCCACCCACTGTGTCGCAAATCAATTTTATTAAAGAAATTGGCGGACGTCCTCCGAAAGTAGACACTTCGGGCTTTAAAATGAGTCGAGTTCCAAGGTGGTACGACTTCGTAGCTCGTTTTTATAGTTGTTGACAATCGATAACCATAAAAAACGAGCCAGAGGATCGAACAATCGTGTCTCCTCTTCCAAAAATTGTCCATTTTCGTGGACCATCCGAGCGTCAATTAGAGAGACATTGCTGTACGTCGGATGGTCGGCAACGAATCGACGCGAGGAATGAGACGAGAGAGCGAGGAAGGGTTTCTCCGTGGGTATCGTCATCAAAGTCTCCGGCGCTCCTCCAGGGTGCGTTAACCCCAAGGACACAGCCCCGTTATCCCTAGGACCATCTTCGCAGAGGGGCCATAGAGCGGCGGTTCAAGGAGCCGCTCTCAAAAGGTCAAAAGTTCGTCCTCTTCGCGTGGCCCCTCTAAAGCATCATCGAGAGTGGCCCGCGCTCCTGTCGCCTGGCAACGCTCGGTTCGACCAGAGGACGAAGATAAAACGGGGTATGGGGGAAAAAGAAAAAGAAAAAGTAAAAGGTAAAGAGAGAGGAGAGGAGAGAAACGAGGGCCGATCTTAGAGCTCCCGCACCCTTCGTTCGGCTTTATTTCTGCACGCCACTCGACTCATTGCCGTGCGCTAGGCGCCACCTTAATTGGACCGAGCAATCGTCGAGTTTCCCTCCTTTCTTTGAAGGGTGCCAGTCTTGTGTCCTGACAAACCACCCTCTCGCCCTCTCTCCCCCGCCTTTGAAAACTCTCCTCGCCTCCTCCGCGAAAGGCCCTTTTTCATCCTTCGAGCCCCTTCAACTTTCGGACGCCCCTGCGGAACGCGGAAACTCGCAGTTGTTTCCGCAACGGATGCGTCGGGAAATGTTGTCTGTATCTCGAAGCTGAACACGTGTATCCGAAAGAGACTCCACCAAAAGCATATCCGTTTCAAATATTCCCGTGCGTGCAGACTTTTTTCGGCACGCCTCGGGCCCCGGGCAACAAGCGCGAGATTAGGTCCGCGAAGTCTCGTTTTCTATTTCAGCATTAGCACGACGATCTCGGCGCAAGCTTTTCCAATGGTGCTCCAGCGGCCGGCAGCATGAAACGGCCTTTAACTTCTACCGTCCCGGGCATAAAAGCCGAATATCCTTACTCGCAATACATTCTAATACCGCTATTCTACTCCGGGGGAAACTTTATACGGGCACACGGACAGGCCGCGCACACGGCCGCCGCGCGATACTCCTCGGCATTCTACCGGGCGCGGCGCAAGCTTTTACGATTTACGTGCCACGCTCCCGCACTTTACCTGCACACACTGTACCGAACGTTATGCCCTCGTAACTTCTGCCGGGCGTGTTGATTGTGCCAGGCGAAAGGGGGACAGTTCGGTGCCCGTCGAAATCTGAGAGGACTCGCCCCTTTACGTATCGACTGTTCCAGTCCGTGAATCGTAGAATCGTCGTTGCTAATTGCGAGGAGCTTCACGGTAGAGTTATTCGAGATATTTGTAATAACGTTTCATTTTTATTTTTGGCATTGTTCTAGGTTGACCGTTTCGAGTACGAAGTCCACTTCTTGCGATCTATACCGCCCAGGCTCGCCCCCGGGTCTCGCTATCCACCCTCTATTCTGTTCCCAAGCACCGCCAGGCATCGTCAGCCTTTGTGGCCGAAGCCTGCGCGTTGCCGTTCTCTCCGGCGAAATTCGCATGAGCTCCTGATAGGTTACCCGCCTGTTCCTTTTCTTCGTTCAACGGCGCCCACTGAGAAATATATATATATGCAGTTCGAACGTGACCTATATAAATTGGATCGTCGGGAAGTAGATATCCTGTGACTTAATTATCCGTTTCGATGAATAGATCGGTTTCGTTCGAGCCGCGGAAACATTTGTAAAGATAATTATTTTCTGCAACGACCGGCGCCCACGCCACTGGCGGTGTATGAAAATTGCGTGAATCCGTTCCGGCGAACGTTGCTTCTGTTATTTATTACTTTCTGTATTCTCGACAGCTGCTAAACAAACATTCGAACTGTCGTCGATTTTTGGTTTATCTAATTTTTTGTATGTACGATATAAAATAACAATTTGGATTATTTTTGTATTTTTGTAATTTTCTTGCCAAGACAACGTTCTAAATTGTGTTTTTTTACATTGAAAAAAATTGATCTTTTCTGGCCGGCCTTTTGTCAAAAAAAAATGTGCATTAAGGGGTTAAACATTTTCGAACCGTTCTTCTATCGAGCAGTATGCACCTTGGAAATGGAATTCGCCACGACGATGAACCTCCACCGAGCTTACTATCCTGTGAAACGGGCGCGTATTTCAGTATTACTCTCTCCTCGTCGGGGGTGTTCCACAAACACCGTTCCTGCGCCGGTCGGAAGGTTTCCGCGAACCTCGAACACGCTCCTGGCCGCCTGGTACTGCAATCCCGGGTTTTCGAGCAGATTGACAGTTTTTTTTTCGCTGACGGTCTTGCCAATATCTCGACAGACGGATTTTCTAATATTCCCGATAACGTCTGGGGGGGTTCTAAGGCATGGGAAATTACTCGAATTAATTGACAACAATGACACACTACCATTCGTCCGTGAACGATTTCATTAAAATATGGAGGAGGTATGAATGCGCGGCATTGGCCGCATACGGACGTCGATGATCATTCATTTAGATCGAGAAAATTCCTATTGTGTTCTTTTCTTGTTCATCAATCTTAGACGTCCGATGTTTTTCGTTTTTAGACGTCGATTGAACCCGATCGATGTGTCAAAAGCACTTTCATCGTCCTTCGTACGCCTACACGCAAACAGGAGTACATGCTGGGAATGGAGGAGCCCTGTGCGGCTGCGCCTATGCGCGCACGCAATTGACAACCCTCCCGACACTGCGGATCACGTGTACGTACGATGTAGCACGGAAAATAGCATTAAATATTTGTTTAAAATGTTTTCCTGCTGCAGAAATCACACGCGTTTGCATGTATGTTATATGAACAAATAAATAATAATTTTTAAATTGTTATTATGCTGTCGCAATTATTTTCAAATCGCAATCTTCATATATGAAAGTATATGACGGTTTTTACATAAGACGCAATGTAAAATCTCGGCACGAATTTTCTGCTGCTCCTAAACAGCCGAATAGCGCCACTCCGATGCAGCGGCAAAACGCTCAAACTGTTAGCCAAATACCGACCAAGAAGTCTTACTGTTTGCCGACAGATGGCGCTAGCAGTCAACTTCAAGGCATTGACCGACCTGTCGGTAATTTGGCTAACAGTTTGAGCGTTTTGCCGCTGCATTGGAGTGGCGCTATTCGGCTGTTTAGGAGCAGCAGGAAATTCGTGCCGAGATTTATCTGGCTTCTTATGCAAAATGCGGCACGAATCATTTGTTCAAAAATTCGATATTAGACATAAAACTGAAAATAATTTGTAATTAATTAAACTAATGCAAAACCTAATCAAAAACTATTATTCCATGTTGCCAAAGATCCATTCTATATTTATCAATTGCAGATATTTACAAATCTGTCCTGGTTAATGAGTTATTAACCATTTTTTCGGAGGTTACTTCGAAAAGAGGCTATATCGTGTCGTATGTACATATTCTACAATATTTTATCAACGAATTTCTTTTCATGAATAGTTTATTACAAATCAAAATATATAAAAATTTCAAACCCCTCCCCCTCGTGGAAAATCGTACGCTTTAAAGTTACAATTAAAGCTACACACACTTATGAATAGCTTAAAAGNATCAATTGCAGATATTTACAAATCTGTCCTGGTTAATGAGTTATTAACCATTTTTTCGGAGGTTACTTCGAAAAGAGGCTATATCGTGTCGTATGTACATATTCTACAATATTTTATCAACGAATTTCTTTTCATGAATAGTTTATTACAAATCAAAATATATAAAAATTTCAAACCCCTCCCCCTCGTGGAAAATCGTACGCTTTAAAGTTACAATTAAAGCTACACACACTTATGAATAGCTTAAAAGGTTAAACGAATCAAATACAAGATCTATTTACTAGAAAACACAAGCTAGTGTAAGGAAATTTTATTTGACATTTTTCCTTTTACTTTTCTACAAAAAGAAGGACGCTCTTTTTGGTGAATTAGACCCGACCCTATATATAAAACGTTTAACATTATAAGTGCACACACAAAATTTGTATAAAATTTTGTCGAGATTCTATGTGTAACAGTAGTAAATATATATTCAAAAAGTATTCGAAATTGCATGTAAAACAATACTTATTAAGTATAAGAAAACTCCGAAATTCATTATTCTATATCTATCAGATGAGTAATGTTTGAAAGATCTTAGATAAAATTGTAATGACACGTGGTTCGAGTTACATCGTGTTAAACAGTAACAATCACAGCGCACTTGTTAACAAATAAAATGAGAATGCACTATCAAATACGATCAGTCTATTGAGAGGATTTACATTAACGTGTAGAACTGTTTAAGCTATGGTAGCTCTATTAATATTGACCAAAAAATTGAAAAATTGTTCAAACAATAATAAAATAATTACTAATCGAAAGTGTCTATGTTCTACGCGTTATTGCTTTCGTCGAGGAAGACATTGAGTATTATTGTTGTCCTAAATGTAGTTCCGGCTGTATAATGAATACTTTCCACACATTGCCACAGTTCGATCTGTGCGCTGAAGCCAAGTGATTCCTCATTGGAAGCAATAAATAATCGTATGGGTCTGTGTTCAATTGATACTCTTGCATAGCCTTATAAATAGCTTTAAATGGCGGCTGCTTCTGGGAATGAAATGTTCCTCTAGACCCGTGTAATACTAAGGCTCCCTCTTTTTCTGCCTTGGTACAAACAGGCATGTACATGCAATGATCTGGTCTGTAATTGTATCTGCAAGAGTACACATAAAGTTTCTCAGGGTGGTAATGAAATATAATATTAATTATATCTTGATCTCCCCATGTTATCTTCAATTTATATTCCTTGTGAATGGGTATCACATAGTCTATCCAATGGAATTCTCGCATTCTTGTCAAATTCATTAACATCACTCCAGAATTCACACCCAATTTTCCATAATATGGATGCTTTGCAAATCTGTTGTACCATCCTGTGTTGGGGTCTTCGTGCTCTGGACTTAAAGCTGCCAATTGACTTGAATTCATCTTCTTGAATTCATCCCAAATCTTTTCTGGCGGAGCCAAAAACAAAGTATCTGTGTCTACGTACAGAACAGCATCTGTGTCATTTAAAACTAACTGCAACATGAAAAATGTTTGATTATTAACAGAAATTTGAATTGCGAAGAGTATAATGTGTTAAAATACATACAGGTAGAAACAATCTTTGAGCAGCACAAGGCTTGAATAATTTTTTCCACATAGCTGCATCGCTTCCTTCGGGGAAAGTGATAGATTTTAAGGTAAAGTTGAAACTTTTGTTCGACAATAGCTTCCATTCGGACAGTTTCTCCTCGAACGCAGGGATCAGATTGTTCTCAGCTAAAACAATGAATCGTAGATGTCTACTGGTGAAAACTAGAGCAGACTTTAGCATTGTCAGTGCTTCATCCAATCTGTCTCCACAGACTACAACGCATATTGTCACTTCCCCTATTGCTGGGGACGACGCAGCCTTTTTAGCAGTGGTTGAAACGGCAGCCTCTTTGGTCTGCGCATCGTATAATTTATTCGAGAAATTGGTCAAATTAAGCAGTATTATTAGCGCAACGAAGATAAGGCACAAGAAAAATAATTTGTACACAGATTTCATCGTTGTACTTTGAAAGCTTTTCACATCCTCCACCGAATTCTCGCTGATACACAATCAGTGGATAACACGGTAGAAAAACTTGGCATTTTGACGTTCTCTACTGTTGTTTCGAAAATTCAAACGTACACTTATAACCTCCCACCGCTACATGGAGACAATGATAACAGGTGGAGGACAGTTGCTTATGGTTATGTGCATAAATATTATGCAACAACGACAAATAGCAACGTTATATCCATTCAAAGAATGTAAAACTTGTTTTTGATCACGATTTACAAGAACATTTTCACTGTAAAATCGTCTGGATTCTTCCACTTTCGAAAATATCGATTGATGTGTTCCATCTTGACAACAGAACCTGTTTTGAACACCCACGTACAATTTTCGTTGATTCGTTAACCGTGTGCATGGTCGGTAAATTCGTTTCGTACTTTTAAAAGGAGAAAGATAGAAACAGTTTGTGCTCGCGTATTTTTTAAAAGTTTCATCGGCATATATAATATATTTCAAATATTATTTTAGCAGTATGTTACAAATATACAGTGATATTCAAATAAGAAAATTCTATAAAAATTTCTCAAAAATAACAACGCTATACAAATATATTTACATCGTTAGGTCTTTACATTATTTTGTGTCAAAAACATTGCACTAAATCCTATTTTTATTGGAAGTTAATCATTGGTCCTTCGAAGCATAAAATCATAGTTGTAACAATTAACAATTAGATTCGAAAAATTCTGCGAGATCATCGATTTCCGATCTCAGGAACTAGACACGTTTGATTCATTGGAAACAGTCAGTCTATGGTAACAAAGAAGTAGTTGATTCTTTTACTGCTTCAAAATTTCGATCCGACATTCTTTTTTTCTGCTTATTTCTTCTTTGTGCTCTCATATGAATGTTCCTTGGCTATAAATTTCTTTCCTATAACTACATGTATCACGATGGTGGTTTCTCTAATGCTATAGCGTGATCTAAGTGATCACAGTGTATAGGACATTGATGATAGGACACCGCGCTAGCATGACCCGATCTTCCTGAAGTCATAGGTTCTCCTTGCTCCCATACGTCCTCCCCAGGATTGTAAATTTCTACAATGCTTAAAAAGTGTTCCCCATCATATCCTCCTAAAAAAAAAAGTGTAAGTAGAGAATTAAATACTCGAATATTAATTAGCGCAACTTAACAGGTTACATGTACAGAATTGTTCAATGGTTCTTACCCATTGCGTATAATTTTCCGTCTAATACCGTGACACTGAGCGCACTACGGGCAATAGTGACGCTACTAACAAACTCCCACATATCTTTCTCTGTGTCGTATCTTTCGACAGAATTTAATTGTCTAGTTCCATCGTATCCACCTACAACGTATATAAATTGCCCAAGACTAGCTACTCCAGCCCCTGACCGGCTGCATTTCATTGGCGATACCATTGTCCATTCATCGTTTTCAGGATGATAACATTCTACAGAGCTTAGTCGATTCGTTCCATCGAAACCACCGATTGCATAGAGTAATCTGTTGGTATTAACATTCTCACGTAAAGCAGTGTCATTTCCATTTCACGTTTCATTGATCGTTTTACCTATTGACCACCGCTGCTCCGACCCCTAATCTTTTGATGTGCATTGATTTCACGTTATTCCACGCATCCAAATCAGGATCATAACATTCGACGCTACTATGATATTCTGCACCCGCGCTACCTCCCACAGCATATAACAATCCATCCATCACAGCGACTCCTACACGGTTTCGTGGCACAGACATTGGACTACATGCTCTCCATTGATCTGTAACTGGATTGTATCGGTCAACCCAATCACTATCGTATCTGTGTACAGAATAAATAAGGCTTTAACTTCGACTCTGGTCTGTTTTGCCGTTCCTTCTTACAGAGTGCTTACCTACTCTCCGGCGAATTGTTTCTTCCACCAACAGCGTAAAACATGCCCTTCAGAAACGCTCCACCTAAACCAGATCTAGGAACGACTAGTTTCGCGTGTTGACTCCATGTCTTCTCGTCTGCATTATATCCTTCCAAAACATCCAACGAATGTTTCAAGAAACCACCGGCGATGTATATTACTCTTCGAGTATTCGGAGTTCTCTCTTTGACGATCGGTTTCTTGTGCAGGGTCAAGTCTTTAAATATTTGTGCAAGGTACTCTTTGCATGCAGGTACTTTTTTTAATACGTCACAATTCTTCATTTGCTCCCGCAGAAAGTTTGGGGTGAGGTACTGACACCTCACAGCATGCAGTATATGCTCCATCTTGTTTCCTCTGGCCTCTTCGTTGTACTTTACCCATTTCAATACAGCATTGTACACTTCTCTCTCCTCCTGTACATTCAGCTCGTCCTTTCTCACTAAGGCTATCAATTGTATTGCCGATAATTGAAGAAACTCCTCTTCCTGACATATTTGACTAAAATGTTGAACAATAAATTGATTCGCTTTCTGATGTAAACTTTGACAATTATGTTGTTCGGCAAAATTCGCGATTCCAATCGCGTTTGTTGGATCTAACTGTTTTTCCAGAAAAGCACAACAGGCCTCTATAACATTACTAACCTGCGGTCGAAGGTAGAGGAATCAGATTACGGTACATAGATTAGAAAGATATTAGTAGTATATTCTTCTACCTGGAACATAGTGGCTGCTGACAAAAGTGAACACACTGTGACCTCTGTGACCCTTATCTGACCGGTGTACATAAAAAACATTAGACGTGCCATTGCAGTTGGACAGACACCTTGAAGTTTTACCCTGTTCATTTCAGATTCTTTTAAGCCTCCTGTAAACATTGCCTATAACATTACAAACGATTTTAATTTGCTCCTTACTTTACAATATCTACATTTAGTTTTCTATAAATCACCTTAAAATATGGACTGGCAGCTGCTAAAATAACTTTATGTGCGTGAAACAGTTCTGAACCCACTTCCAGTACAACATCGGTGAGCATGTGATGAGTACGCATGATGAACATCATCTTCATGGCATCCTTGATGTAACTGGTCATGTGAAATGTCATGTCACCGAGGTCTTCATGCTTATCCATACCCTCCAGATCTTTATCATCGGATGCCATGAATGGCAAACTGGTTCCAAGGGTCTGATAGTGGAAGCTACTTCGAGCTTCCTTCCTATTCAAACAATCTCTCTTGACTTCATCCATTAAAATAAACTGTAAAGAATTCGAAAATCAAACGGGGAATGTCTCTTTGCAATCGACATGATAGATTAACGAACACAGTGTATTCTTTCGATTTGTATAACGCCCGTGTATACGCGTTGCAACACAGAGACAAACACTTACATGAATGACTAAGAAGCCAAGACAGGCCCTCCGACGGCAGACAGATACGAGAATAATTAAGGAAACTCGTGTTGCCCGTGTGAATTTTCTTGACGTACTGAAGATCAAGAGGGGGGAAGTGGATGCAGCCGAACGGTCATAATACGACGATTAATTCATCGATGCTGCACTATAACTTAGGCGAGAATTAGGCGAATGCACTCTTAAGCTCGGCTTAGCGCAGCTTAGCGAGTGCGATGTGGTTGCTGTTGCTGGAGACAGTGTTCGCGCACGCGTTCAATCCGAGAAACATCTACAAACGGTTGCTGCACACGGTGCAGTGTTTCTTTCGTCCGAGTTTCGGGACAAACATTAAAAACAGCGTTTTTTCCAGTCACTGCACACTCCTACGGACACTTGTGTATGTATCCTTTCTTTTTGAGAAATTGTCATGCGCGTAGCGTGTCTAGGGTTAGCTCATCGAAAACCAGTCGATAACTGTTTGCTACCACCCATAGTCGACACACATTTCTGTATAATTGAATCAAAAACAGAATACAGTATGTAGTAAAAGCCGTCGGACGCCGAGAGAGGACACGCGATAATTAACACGACTGCAATCGGTAATACTCGGTGTCAACAGTGTCGCGTCGAGCATCACCCTCGAACAACCGTACTATTGAAAATTTTGCAACCCGAGCAGTAGCAGCAGCAGCAGAAACCGCGCCGTAGAAACAGACACAAACGAAAGTTCGACCGTGAAACAGCACTCGTGATCGTAGATGACGCGAATGACTTGCAAATTCTTTGGTTCGCGCGCTTACTCTGCTCGATGAACCACGTAGTTATCGTGTCGCAGGCGCGTTGACTCTGTACTTTTCGGACCACCCATTTTCTCCGCACCTTTGAACCACCGATTCCGGTGGATTTTTCACATCTCATGGTTCGATTAACACTAGAATTACCGTGGTGTAGATACTGGTATCCGGGTATTCGTGAGTCGCGAGATACCCGACTACACTTGATAGCGCTTTGGGTACCCAACTACAACGTGTAAATATTGTACATCATCGTGACTTTAAAGTTTACAAACCGTTTGTCTCTCACAATAAAATATTTAGAACGTTGCACGTTACTAATTACATATTAGTTTATACCAGAGGGTTTTTTTTAAAAAAACAAAAAAAACGCTTACTAATTTTATATTATATAATTTTTAATCTATACATAATAATTTTAACGTTTTTCACATACTATAATGACTTCTGTGATAAGCTAAACGAAACCTCGTGGTACATATGATTTAGAAACAATTGTAGTCAGTTTATTTACAAATATGCATTGATGCGACAACCTTGGTAGTAAACGTAATAAAATACATGCAGAAAATGAACGGAAGATCTTCTACGGCGATATTAATAGATCCTCTTGAATTTATTAAAATATCTTAACATTGCCTTGTAGATAGAGAGATCTTTATTCGATAAAACTTGCAGACGACGATACACATAATATTGATCGTTATCGATCAGGATTGTTCTCTATCCAAGTTTGTACGTGGTATTCGATGAATTAATAACGCCGCGTATTTTGAGACAATATATTTATTTCTTATTAATATGGAGTTTTCAACAATAACAGTGTAATAGTAGGCGTAACAAGAGAGACGAGGTAGGTTACGAGGAACCTAACCTAATACCGTACGCCAACAAGTCACCGCGTTAACAGAATACTCGTGATTGGTATAGCTACATAAGGTTTCTCTACTTTATGCTCTACGAAGTTACTATTTCACTAAAGTTGCATGCACCGTGCTCTTACTTTTTTTTTTTCATTTTTCTGCTTCTGTGTTTATCGCCAAGTCGAGATAGATCGGACACAGATTTTGCAACTTTAATGTAATCGACAGACTGCGGATAAATTTGTGGCATTGTATGGTTTTTCTTTGTACAGAAGTATTAATTTATTTAGGGCAATAGAAAAAATTGATGAAACTTTGTATACGAACATCCTCGGTCTAGTAATTAGACTGTGGTAATGGAGGCTGTCACACTCCATTGTCGCACAGAATAAGAAACCAATCAATTCTTCAAGAAACCAATAATTAGATGTATTTTTACCTAACCAGAGTAACCTGGTACAAAAAAGGAGGGTATCAAAAGGAATTCGAACCATGAGGTGACGATTAAAACAGATTCCCTTATACGTATAGTAAGTTTCCAAGATGCCACTACTAGGAGAAAGTTATCAGCCAGCCTCCATCTTATTCCGTGCGTTACTTAAAAGTTTCTGTGCATAAAATTCAATGATTAACTTTTTCAATAAAAGTCAAGTAGTATATGAAATGCGTATGCAACATTTGATTATTTTCAATGAATCTTGAATACTTGAGAAAAAGTATTTCACAAGACATTATTTGATTTGGTATGATTGTAATGTTAGTTGGCAGGATTTTGAAATTAATATAACATTAGTTGAAATTATGGCAGTGCTTTGTAGTATATAATAATCTTATTGCCATTAGAGATGGAATTAATATATTATGGCTAATACGATGCTAATAAGAATATTTTAAGTACTATTTACATTTCTAAAAACTAAATAGTAAAGATGTACTTTAGACTTATCGAGCAACGCACAGCTAGCCTTTCTCTTGTGACAATCTTTAGCCCATTGTTTCAATTTCCAGTTGCATTAAATGCATGTCTTACAGATCACTGCCAGCACTTCATAATATCAATTTAATATCGATGGAAAGAAAAGAGCAACGAGACATTCGATGGTATTCAAGATGGAAATCAACTGAAACAAATTATCTGAGAAATAGTCTACACCTTATTTTATATAGGCCGACTTATATTTTGCAGCAATCTCTGTATTACTTTTCACTTAAATTAGTAAAAATAGTACACACAGTTGAACAAAAGTATTTGCTCTATTCTTTCCATAATTTCTTTCAATTGTACAGGTTCTTGTTGGCGCACAATGAAGTAGGGGGCTCGACCTTTAATTCAGTGCAATAATGTCTCTTCAGGTATCTAGTAGAAGACACGTATGTACAAGGACTTTCAGAAGATAGATTTCTTTTATACATGCCTGAACGAATTGCAAACACAACATATATATTCCTATATATACATATATAGTATATACACATCTATGTATGTATATATGTACATATACATATATGTATATATATATACATGACAACTACTGAACCAAATTACCGGCGGAACCCACTTATCAAAAAATTATAGCTACAGTTAATATAATAAGTCTATTTTTGATTTATTTAGGCTTGGGTGACTCTAAACTGGCCCCCTATATTTGTATTTTGATTATCTCCTGAATGAATTGCAGTACAACGTTGAATGGAAATCAAATAATGTATCTTGATCAAACAAGATATAAAAAATAAGGATATGTCGGTGTCATTGTGTGTAATTAATTGGCGAGTACGCTACGCGTTTATCAACGCGTTGTCATTGTCAGATAAAAGCGACTGGCGTGAATCTATGTATACAGGGTGTTCCATCTGAAGCGTTTACACTTCGTATACTATGTATACGCGTGGTATGTTTACGATTGTGTACAAATGACGATTGAATCGAAATGAATGAGTAATGCAATTATTCAGAACACTTTCATCGGTAGTTGTTGCCTGTCTGTTTTTGTGTGTAAATGCGCGTGCGCGTGTAGTCTGTCATAAAAGTGTGCAAACACCGGTCAAATGTATCTTGCACATTTCATCAACATGGATAAACTTTTCAATTAATGTTCGATGAATCTTTTATACATTTTGTGTTTTATAAAACTTAAGTGAATGCAACTAAATTAATCAGATTAATTCACTGTATGTATCAGACATATGAAATTTTCCATATGTATGGAAACTTTTGCGACCGACTGTATGTATGCGTATGCATGAGCGCGCACGCGTATGTGTGTGTGCGTGTGTGTGTGCGTGTGGAATCATACAGCAAAATCGAACTCATCAGAGACACTTGATCATTATGAAAGTTACTGCGTCGAACAAGATTCACACGACGTACATTCACTGGGAGAGCTTACATTTCGACACTTTAAAGACTGTAACCTGTTAATCGGGAAGGACGAGTTAACTTGTCGCGCGTGTTCAACAACGTTTCCTCACCTTATTTATACCACTAATAATTCTTACATTCTGTTACGTGGGGATAGTATTCTATATTAGTATAAACTATGTTGTGTTCGCATGGCTCACGATTGATTAAAGTCGGGCCCGGTTAACAGGTTTATCGAGATAAGTCCAAATACAACGGTCTACTTTGAAAACTATGAAACTAAACGACGTCTAGCTCTACACCTTCGATATTAATATAGAGAAAGTTGTTTCTTCGGAATACGAGATATAATGCTATTCAAGTAAAGAATTGGGCGGATCGACTACTCCTAAGGCCTCGCTCATCAATTATTTAAAATTATAATTTCTTTTTAGTCCCATACATCCACTCTACAGAGTCTAGCAATCGAATAGCAGGAAAAGACGAGAGAGAAGGAAAGAAACAGAGACAATAGTAGGGGCGGGAACAAGTCCAATATTCATAATTCATTTGACGACGTTTGAATGCTACTCGAAAACAATAGTAAGTTGGTTTCGAAGACAGATATAATGGTGCACGGATAACCGACGCTTTTTTAATCCAACACTTTTCACTTTTGCGGGACTTTTGGAGAGCATATGTCCTGTATCTATATAAAATAAACTTTCTACGCATTTCCATTAGTCCTCAAACTTTTCACTCTATTTCCAAATTGATTCAGAAGCGATGGAAACTCCGCGCTTAATTGTTGCATTAAGACTTCGGTAGTCTATGCAATATTCGTGCACTATTATAAATAAAATCTCTCTGTTTCCTCTTTCTTCCCATCATTTTTCAATTCCGAAAACGATGTCTTGCGCAATTCCTGGGACAAATCTCATCCCTTATCAGTCTAAAGAACCGATCAAGGGTAATACCACGCTTCATCAACGAATACAGCAAACTCACAATATTATGTTATGGTTTTCCTATTCTTTGCTTGCTTCTTCGTGACACTTCGAATTTTTTTTTAAGGGTTTGCTTATTGGGGATTTCCCACGATCGGTACAAAAATGATACACGTTCGAATTTCTCCTCGTTTCTTTAGAACGTTATCGCACCCCTTTACAAAGCGTCAGAGTAGGGACATAGACGACATTATGAGCGTCCATTCGTAATTAATGGTCATTTGTGCCGAGAGTCCGTTGAGCGAGTCTCCCTCCCTCCGAGATACCGTACTAACGATAAAGTGGCAGTATGCGATGCAATATTATCCGATTCAGCAAAATATTCCCGAACGTCAATCAGTGTCTTAGCTTGAACAATTTTGTTATTTGGTGTTTTCTATCAGTGCGTGGATAAAAGCAGCCCTTCAGCGGGCTAGATATCTCCATGAGTATGTACAAATGTGTTTTGCAAAAATCGCATTGCAACCGGAACAAGTTCAATGTCCTAAAAAGAGGAATATATTCGGATACTCGGATCTACATTCAATATCCGAATATTCGAATATCCGAACTTGAATCTGACCTCAGATTCGAGCGTTCAAATCCGAATTAAGTAAGTGGATACTCGAATTCAGGACACGTTCTCGAAGCTGATTTTTCCGGAAACAAATTTCCGCGTGCGAGAAATCGTTCTTTTCGATTCTATCATGATTTGTAATAACACCCACGCACGCACGCATGACCACACACACACACACACACACACACCCGCGCACCCCCCCCTTTCTTCGTTTGAATGATCGTGATGCATGATGATCGAGGAACGTGTGTGCCGCAAATGTTGCGGAAACGAAACAACGATCATGATTTTTAAAAATGTAATTGAGCCCGCGTTACGCAACGTGAACGGAAACGTAGATTAGAAAGAAAGTCAAGAAAATACACGGCAGTGCGGAATGTCGTCTACGTTTATATAATACATATCGTGTTGTAACGAGGAAAGACTCGCCCAGGCTGACGGGTTAATCCGTAGAGTTCAAATGCCAACAAGAAAATATTTTAGTACTCGGTTGCAAGTATTTTCCGCTACTCGTTAAGACATCTCTACTAATGTTTATAGCACGCTGTATTTTTTGCTCTCCTGCTTACTGTTTTTTTTTTCTTCTGTCTTTAACCAACGTATCCTAATTTATAATTTATCAATGTACGCAACAACGCTGAACAGATAAAGAGATTTTCCCTCGTTCGCCGTTAAATCTCTTGTCTGCCTTGTTATTACACAACCCTTCCCACCCCTTAAAGACCCCGAACCCCCAGAGTACTGCTGGAGAGTGCCTATGTGTGTGTACGTATGGTTTTCTTTTTTTTTTGCTTTTAAACGCTTTTTTTGTTGTTTTTGCCTTTTGTTTAAATTGTCGGATTCCTCTACAAATTGACCTATAAATCTCTGATATTGCTTAAATCAATCAAAGCCCCTCAGAGGCAACGATCATCCCCGAAGCGCCCGATGCTTGCAAGAATTCTGAAACCGTCGGGCACCGTCTATCAAGGAGGATGCAGATCGCGATGATGTTGCCTAGCAGTCAGGATCGCCTTCAGCTCGGACTCTAATTGTTTTTTGGTTCGTTCGCTTACCGATCGGCCTCCGACGACCGGTTGAGCGGTGAAACGAGGAGAAGGTAAGTCCCCCATCAGTTTGCCGCCGGTGTCCCGGTTCTCGTGACTTCTGGCCCGTCGTATCGGCTTCTTGATTGGCAAGCCAACCTCCTCAATCGTCTTCTTAACCGGCAAGTTGCCGACTTCTTCGGCGGTCGGCTTCTTGACCTGCAACCCGACCACCTCGTGCATCATTATCTTCTTCTCGTGCGACGGCCGTTCCAGCGACAACGTCATCTCCTGATTCAAGGTGTACGTGGACCCGCCACCGCCACCGCCACCACTACCTGCGACCGTCTCGGAGGACCTGGTTAGGTCGATAGTGCCCGAACCCCAATCCCGAGACAGTTTCCTGCCAACGGCAGATGTCAATGGGAGAGGCGGACTCTTGGACGACTGGTGATGACTCGGCGGCAGCCTCAAGGTCGCGAACACTGGGAATGATTGTCCACGTTTCGCTGGGCTGCGAGAGTACCTCGGTGTCGTCGCCGGAGCTCCACCTCCTCCGGGTTGGTCGACTCTAGCCGCGGATGTGCCTGTGCCAACTGAATCGCTTCTAGTCGGAGGCAGAGGTCGCAAAGTTGCACTACCACCAAGGTGAGAGCCTAAACGCGGAGGTGGTGAACCCCCATCACCATGACTCAGTCGACGACCAACCGTTTCCAAGGGACTTCTTGCTCGGAGGTTCGTACTGCTCAGAGTGAACTCTCTGGGCTTCATTGGCGCTTCTAAACTGACCGGAGACAAGCCCAGCCTGGAGCTCGACAGATTGGTCGAACTTCTACTCTTCTCAGATCTTTTTGGACTATGGGGCATCAGGGGACTTTTGCTTCGACTTCTTTCTCGCCCCTTTATCGTCCCCTTGTCCTCTTTCTTGAGCGTCGATACGGATTTTTGTTGCTGCTCCTCCGGTGCTGTCTCTGTCTTTTCTTCCTGTTGCACTCTATCGAATAGATAATAGTCAGCAGTGTCAGGTTTTGAAAGGAATATCATGATCAAGGTGATCAGTATGTTTACCTTCGGATCTCCTGAATCATCTCGAAGAACTGAGCTTTACTCTTGCGTCTCTGACGCTGTTCGTGTTCCTTCTAGAACATGGTTTCCTTGTAGATATATGATGGAAGAAGAAATTATCATGTGAAACACAAAATCCACTTACTCGTTTGACGCTCTTCTGAAACAGGGACGCGATCTGTCCCTGTCTGACAGTGTGCACTAGCTCTCTCGCTGCATGGTGAGGGGACACTAATTCCACACAGTTGATAAACCTGTACAGCTTCTGCGAGAAGAACATCACGTTCCGGCTGCGCCATATAGAGTGCTCTGGCTTGTGTCTCAGCCTTGGCAACGTGTATTTGTAGAATAAATGTTCTCCGGCTAGTATAATGGTTCCGAGCACTACGCCCATACCAAGCAGACAAAATACACCAGCCACGGATGCTACGCCTAAGGGCCTAGCTTGACCACCTAGCTTATGCTCCAAACCCGTATCTATGCTTTTTCTTCCTCTGATGCAAGGTAAACCACCGTACCTGTAATGAAAACTGTATGTAAAACTCTGTATACAAACATGATTCTTTGACTCATTGTGTAAACTAGAATGCTTGTGTGAACGTTTACCATTTCTCTTGCAAGATGTCTAGTAAACCGGTGCTCGTGTAGTTCGCTATTACTTTTGATATACTCTCTTTCAAAGGATGTCCCTTCGTGAGAGCAACCGCGTACGTGTCCTCATTTATGGTGTCGCCTATCTTCTGTAAACGGCAACCGTCGTCCGTCGCCCGATAAAAGTCCAGAATGGGTGTGTCGGCTATAAGGATGTCTAAACTGCCATTCCTTAATCTCTCGACTCCCTCTGCAACGTTCGATAAAGAGTACCGAGCCATGTGCGACCACAGTTCAGGATTTGCTTTCTGAACATAGTACTCGGCCGCGGATGCCCTGGGTGCGCCAACCTTTTGCAACAGTAACTACAACACGAATTGTTTTTGTTTACCGTAGATCAAATTAGCGATAAGACTTATCGTTCGGTTAGTTCCAACAGTCGCTACTCACGCTTTTGTCGTGATAGTTGCTGCTCACTGCAGAATGAAAGAACAAGTCCGCTATCAGAGCAGCTATGTTTGCCGTATACGTGGCCACGAATATGACGGAGAAACCGCCCCAGATGTTAATCAGAAACTTGTTAGGCCAAGATTTGGGAGCTTTGAAGGCGAGCAGATGCCCGCATAAAAGACCCCACATCACCCACCAAGCAGAGGCGATAGAAAAGTTTTTGCTTCGTTGTCTACCCCAGGGGTTCAAGCCGAATGGGCTGAACCATTCATACAGTGCTACTGCTATGGCAGTAAAGTTCAAGGACGTGAAGACAGCGATCCACAACTCGGTGCTGAACGGAAACAGAAACGCGAACAACGATATCGCAGGTTGGAGTTTTGGCGCCGTGAGAAAGCTCACTCCGCTGAAGTAGTAAGGTGTGGTGAAGTCGACCACTTTAGCTCTATGAGCGGACACGCTCAGAGGCGCGAATGCCAACTGTGCCCTGCCAGTGACCAACTCTCCCATTATACCATTCCACATACCACTTCTACCATTCCTTTTCCCAAACAGACCGTCTTTCACCACGTACAAGTCGTATCGGAATCCCAATTCACGGGACACCAGGGACATCAAGTCCATGGTTAAACCGTAGCAGCACATCACCGTGCTCCCTTGACGACAGAATATTCCTCTCAGGCAAATACCTTCTTGCAAGTTCGTCACCATTGTGAACGGCGATGCTAATGCTGTTACGATACGGTACATGGGCATGCCTATCTTCTCTCCTCCTTGCTCGAGGTAAGCTGGCACGATTCCACCCCCGGGCCAAATGATGCTGTCGAGATAAACCTCTTTTCCACCTTTAACAGTTCCCACTTTAGTCCATCTATAAGGAACAAAATAATATTCAAGTTCAGATAATTCTCCCTGTAAAGAAAAATGAAAAGGATTATGTATACCTCAATTGAGTCTTATTCCCTGGAAATCTTATGGCTTGCAAATTTAGTAAATGAAATTTAGCTTTGTCTTTGGACATTTGGCCTACAGACAGTCTTAGTTTCCGCGTTAATGTCTTAGAAACGTTTCTTCTTACTTCGCTGTTCAGAAATTTCGCTCTGCTCCCAGGAAAACACTCTGGAATGAAGTTATCATTTAGCTGTGACTCTCTCAGAGTACTTAGCTTGGACTTCATCTCGAAGAATGTCTCGTCTAGAGCTTGAAAAGTCTCTCTCATCATTCTCGATAATATCGTATCGCTGCCCATTAATTTTATGTTGGACGGTCTCAATGCGAGCATACCAACCGGCATAAAAACTTTGGAATTCAATTCTTTGTCCGTTGCTACAAAGATCTCGTCGTCGTCGTCAAAACCAAAAGCCTTGTCTTCTTGCTTAAACGCAGAGCTCTGGTCGTTCTGCCATCTGTACTCTTGTAGTTTCTGTATATCATTGGCCAAACTTGGTAGAGCATTCATTGCCAATTGAGTTTCAGCAACAAGATGGGTGTTTCTATTAGTGTTCTCTATCGGAACTGGATTCTCGTTCGTCGCGATCGCTGCTCTAGAATTGTGTATAATATGCGAGCTGATGATATTCGGCTCGTTCGGTCTTAATTCGACTTTAAGGTCTAGCCAGAGCCATAAGAATCTTCCACCGAGCATCTCGAATTTACCAGCCGCGGCGAGTATTCTTCGAGCGTTGTTTAAGTCGCAACCCATCACTATTACGCCCCCAGTTCCTCCTTCCTCTGCTACCCTCCTCAATCTCATTCTTAACGTTTTGTCGTTCGTTGGAAGGTGTATGATGGTTCTAGGCGTTAATGTTGGTTGATTAGACTGCAAAAGATGACTGACTGGAAGCAACGTGGTATCGATGAGGAGAGTAAACGCGTGCCAGTTCGCCCTGTGCATTAAAGCAGCAGCAGCTGCTCCTACTTCCCTCGTACTCGAGCCTATACGACTTTCATATAGCGCGAGATTCCCCTGTAAACGATCATTATCAGTAAGCGCAGAAAAGTTATACCAGCAGAAAAAGGCATACTTGTTGTAGATAATCCTCGTGACTGAACGGCATCCATAACGTTGGAAGATTCAAAGCGGCCGCTGCTGTTACCAGAAACCTGGCAGCTGATCCACCCCCAATGATAAGGCTTAACACGGTCTTGCCGCCTTTAATATCGGTACAGAATTTGTTTAGAAACGATAGAGGATACGTCGGTGACTCTGTCTTTGGCGAATCTTCCATGTAAGACAGATTCATATCCACATGAGAGGATTGTAATTTTGCTTTCTCCCATGCTTTCTGAATATCTGATTTATAAGAGCTTTGTGGCTGTGTTACACACAAGACTACACGCCATGACAAGTGAGGTGACTGAAGTCGTCCTCTGTAAGCTCTTGCAGTCCTGGTAACATTTGTGCCGCACAGGACTATAGAGCAATACGAAACACTCAATAAAAAGAGGAACGCTCTCTTCCAAGAAGAGCCAAACATCTTCAAGTCTTCAGAGCTTTCCTCTCTTTTTGATTCACTTAACTTTTCTGGCTCTCATTGTCTGCATATGGCTCTAATCTATAAATATCAAAAGCAAAATAGTTAAGAATAAGTTGTATACGTGTATACGATAAGCATATTATATATTTATAAAAAAAAACATATAGATATACACGTATGTATATACATTATATGTAATATTCGCATATGATATACATATATGTATCTTACACTCGTGCACGTATGTGCGTGTAATTGTTTTTTCTGCACGCGTTACAGACCACTGTAACGATTTGTTTGTTCATAAAAAATATCTCATACTTTCGGGATAGTTTCGTACGGACAGGGGCACCATTATGAATTATCTTATTACCTAAAAGCTAGCCGTGCGTTCAGCAGGGAGACGACCCTTTTTATCTCATACTTCCTCTTGGTAACGTCGCGCGATCTTCTGTTTCGAACTGTTACAACTTTTCTCGAAAAGATGAAAATTAAGTTTAGCACAGAAGTTTCACATCCGCGTAATGTTTCGCACACGAAATCGGTGAAAGTTCACGGAACACCGATAAATTTTTCTTTTCTGTCAGAACGTTCGAACGCACTAATAGAGAGGGGAAAAAAAGCAGAATTTACCTTTTACCGAAGTGAATCGTATGGAGCAGATCCGGAGGTGGGTGAAGAAAAGTCCGAGGATTGCTTCTTAACCGCCACATAATAGCCTATCGATTAGGTAACCGTATCAATTGTTGCAAAATAATGTCAATTGGTCAATGTGGAAGACAGGGATGAACCGCGTCACTCGCTCTCTTCTGGACGTCCTACCCCGTGCCCATGTATAACAGCCATTTCCGAGCAGCCCCTCCCTTAAAATTTCGACCCACACCACTCGCGCAGAATACTGTCTATGTATACAGGGTGTCCCAGTAACTCTGTTACAAAACGATATGCATCTCCGTAGTGTTAACGATATATTCACGATGCTCTAGGAATGCATTTTCTAGTTTCTACTCGAAGAGGATACATCACAATGCGAATCATTTCTTTTCTCACAAACATATTTGTCGACGTTCAACGAGATCATCGATGTTTTTTTCAGAGGAACTACAACATATTTTTATTACCGTCACGTAATAGCCAAGGTTAAGACGAATCTAGCGACCTATAATATCATGACCTTCGTGCGACCTTGAGTATCAGAACTATGTATGTACACATACATACTTACCCTTTTATAACAAATTTTGAACAATAAGTACTCTGGTGGGTGAAACAGGAAACAGTAAATTACACTGTAAACAAACTCCTTGGTTACGAAAGAATGTTACATGAGGTTTTTATAGAAAAACACTTAAAAAATATACATATAGTATATGGCTCAGAGTTGCACGACTTTATAGTAGGTTAATCCTTTCGAACGGGTGCAATTGTTCAAATTGATGCTAAGTCTAGCATTAATCGATCAAAAATTAATCCTGAAACAATCCTGATTAACAAATTTAGATATCAATAGTTATAAGTATCGATCATTGATATATATGTTTTATATTTTGAATTCATTGGCACAGACAATTTTTAAAATTCAAATTCAAATAGTACTACTTTCTCTTTTACGTCGTCGACACTATTACATTTGCTATAGTAAGAGAGTTAGAGTGCAAATAGGTGTTTGGCCGGAAAATATGTTCATATATATTTGGAATCTTCCTTAATTTACATATGCTTTATATACATATATGCTTATGCCGCAGTACGCTTAACAGAATAAGTGATCTTACAAGGCTTTATATAATAAAGATGCATATACACAGTAGCCATTCAAATGCAGCTTCAACTTAAACGATCGCCGTTACTATTAATTCATTACTTCTTCTTTGTCACTACAGCTAAGACAACATAGCTGGAATGTAACACGGAGTAGTTGTCTTACAATTAAATATAATGTTCTCGGGTTTTTCCGCTAGGAACTACCTTAATCATGGACATAGATTTGAATTTTCTTTAACATGTAACAGTCATTGAAATTAACTAAATAAATTCTGCTGCGAAGCGTCGTTTTCGAACGCGCTCCAGGCATTATTCAGTTCCATAAAAATCAATTTTGCTATATTCTCGTTGGCCGTCCCTGCTTGCTGAAAGTAGAACACATGGTCGTTGAAATTTTCTCTCGATAAGGCTTCTGTGAACAGCACACTTAATACAACAATTAACTTTACCTTGTCGGGATGCACTGCTAGACAAGCTTTCCTGTACGCTTTCTTCACATCTGCAGCTGAAACCAATTGGTGCATCTCGCAACGCTGCCACCTGTCAGCTTCTGGCCATAAGACAGTATGCATTGAACAGAGGAGAGCTCGTAGATTCCCCTTTTTACCCTCTGTCCATTCTGCTATTTTCAACCGATCCGGGTCCATAGTCTTTGCAGCCTCTACCTTCCTCATCTGATTTATTGTCTTTGGACTATCCTTCTCAGCTTTCCTTGAACTAAAGAAATTGTATCCCTGACTACCTAGCAGATCCTCGAACGCGTCTCCTGATTTAGCCGGCTTATTGCCGGATGAGCTGCCGTTGTTGTCTGCCGTGTTGGTCTCACCGGTTACATTGGATTTGTGCGTGTTAGGACTCGAATGGATTGGCGTACTAGCTGGCGCAGGACTAGCGGATAAAGGAGTATTCGAATTTCTCGGAGTACCGTTCCAACTAGATGTCAAACCGGCTCCTAAAGAATTAGCAAGATTCGCAAACGGATCCTTGTTCTGCGTTGCAGCAAAGTTCGGTACACTAGAATTACGGGGAAAGTTCTCCTCGACATTCGGAGATCTTGCGGGGTTTGATTTAACATTTTGCATGCCTCCTCCAAGAAGATTGTTCGCTGTTGCGTTCCCGGCCAGAGGATCGAACAAGAAGTCATTCACCTCTTGCTTAACGGTCGACTGGCTCTGATTGAATAATAAGTCATTCATATTATTATTAGTATTATCGTTCTTAGTAGGCTGATGACCATGTCCGAATAACAGGTCGTCCTGGGCAGGATCGCTGATCGTCGGTACTGTGTTTTCCGTTTCCTGCTGCGCGAAAACACCGAAACCTGCTAAGAGATCGTTATCATTTTGACTAGAATTCGAAAAGATATCTAATCCCGGTGTGGCAGCAGCGCTAGCTTGCCGCGGAGTATTTAAGGTACTGGTTTCTGGAATTCCTAAATTCAATAAATCGGCCTCCTGTAGTTCATCCTCCTCTTTTGCTTCTTCTTCTACATCTTCCTCCTTATTAAGGGGTATCTCTTCCGGTACGTTAACGTTATTCGACGTTTCAATAGCCACGGGCGCAGTTGGCAGTTCCTTTCCCACCTAATCAGATTAATGAGAAGGCATTAGAGGGATATAGATAGCGCTAAGTGGTCGAATAACTTTCCGAAGGTTTACCTCTTCTGCCGGTTTAGCGGTTCTAAAGTTCTCCAATGTTTCTTCCATCTCCAGAGTAGAGCCGAACAATGGATCCGGTTCCGGTCTCGATGTGGCCAATTCTGCCTCCCACGGTGCTAGTACTCTGGTTAATTTCGAGTTCTCTTCGGCTACCGTAATGTTTAACATCACACGGAATTTGCCGCCAACATCAGGAGCGTCATCTAAATCTATCTTCAAAAACGTTAAAGTGTTCTCGGTCGGCGGTATGTAGCCCGTATGAAAGTGTAAAGAGGCGATCTTAATTCCTATTACACGGCCAAGCTGCTGCCGAGCATGATACAGAACTATGGTGAAATCCCCGCGGACCATCGCATTTCCCAGCGTCAATGGTACCTTCCCCTCCATCATGCCAAACAGTCTCATCTCCTCGTATTCTGGTCGCTTAGTGGAGAACACTAATGCACCGTTACTATAAATGTCTATGTACGGCCGGCAACCGTCTTTCGCTCTGGTAAACAACGGTACCGGTTGTATAATTAAAGAACGTAGCGCCAACGGCTTGGTATGCGGATGTACGCCGCCGCTTAGTAAGCTCATATAGCTAATACTACGTAGTTCAGAAGGTTGCAATTGGGGCGGCTGACAGCGCCTAGTAGTGAACAGCGCTATCGCCTCTTCAGGGGTTGTCAACGCTCTAGCGTAAATCAGTAATGTACATGCAATTGTAGCACTTGCTCGATATCCGTCCTAGAAAATAGATGGTCAACAGCAAATTTGCGTTCTGATTTTTTATACTATGATACTTACAGTACAGTATAACACCACCACGTGATTAAAGTCTGCCTTTAAGTACTGATAAATGTCCTGACAAATTTGATACAGCGCAGATAACAGAGGGGCATTCGAATCCGACGAAGCATAGGCAAATGAACAATCGATATGCCTGCCAGGAAGCCTGGATACGTTCGGCCGACCACGAGACAAATTGTACAATTGAATTCGAGCCGGAGGTGGGTGTCTCGCTTGAAGAAACGCTCTGACGTCCTCTACATGATTCGCTCTATAAGCAGACTCTATACCGTCCGCCGGATATGGCATGATCAGTATTCGTGACGTTAAGTAACTCGCGTCTAGTTCTGTTCTGGCCATGCTCTGTTGCACAGTGTGCATCATTTTGCTCGAGGTGTCTTTTAAATTCCGTAAAAGACTACCAGCACCACCCTTTAGTGAACTAAATAGGCCTGTTGTAGGTTGAGCTACCGACATTTTTGCCATGATTACTTGAGCAGGCGCAGGTCTTGCTGGTGGTGCATTCACTGGAGGTGACGGTCGTGGTGGTGGAGTTGGTGTGTTAGGCGGTGGTGCTGGTCGGGGAGGTGGTGGAGATTTTGCCACAACTTCTATCTTCGGGGGTTCTCTGGGATCAAAATTGTTTGACTCTGCTATCGCTGCGAGACGTTCTAGAATCATGGATGTGGTGAGCCTCTTCACTGGAGAGATTTCCAAACATCCTTTGACTATGTCGTAGAAGCAGTTTAAACGGGGATTAGGAGGAAGCGGCGGATATTTGCCGTTGACTATTGCAAGTTTGTTCCCTAGGAAAGAAATATCCAATCAGACGTTATAATTGTTATTTTTTGAGAGCCTTGATACATACCTTCAGGAAACGGATGCTTTAGCGTAACGAGGGTGTATAGGATACAACCGAGCGCCCAGCAATCCACTGGTGGACCAATGGGTTCATTGTTCCATGTGTCCATCATTTCAGGTGCACGGTACATTGGTGTGGTATACTTTGCCATTTGATCTTCTAACGTAGCACGTTTTTGAGCATTCCATGATGGATTTGGTAAAATCTGCTGCGTAGAAGTACTTCCAAAATCGCAAAGTTTGATCAAACCGTCGCTTCCAACTAAGAAATTTTCTAGCTTTATATCTCGATGTACAAACGGTTCTGGCTGTTGATTATGCATATGATGTACAGCCCTAGTTGCCTGGTAAACTATTCTACAAATTTGGGCAACACTTAAGGGATTAGAGGCTAAGTTTCGTAGTATGTCTGCTACTGTTCCACCTGGACAGTATTCCGTCACCAATAAATATTCGTATCCTTTCCGGTCCTCTCGTTCCAAACGTTGAGCGTACAAATATTGAATTACATTTTGATGTCCTGTTAACCTTTTCAGTGTTTCTATTTCTTGCATGATAGTTTTGTTTGCATCTTCATCGACCGCAATGAGCCTCTGAAAACATAAAAGCATGCGTTACCATAAACTTTTCATCACGACATAGTTGGTACAAAAACAATGTGAATTACCTTAAGTGCATATTCTTTTCCTGTGTTAACATCTTCCACAGCAAATACCAAAGCCCAACCACCTGTTGACACAATATTAGGCACACATTTCTTAAATATTGGTAGTAATTAACATGTCCCTAAATGAATACATATTCTCCAGAAATGAAAGAAAAGGTTTAATGAAGACATTGGGACATTGAGTACTGTAACTTCGCGTCGTTCAGTAATGTTAAAAAATTTCTTGGTGCGCGAACGTGTTACGAAAACATTTAGCGTGTGCTGTCATCCAAATGTCAAACTACACACTCAACACATGTCAAAACAGTTTGATAGTTCACTGTGCTAACGTGATCGTTTGCGATCGTTCTGCACCGCTTCTCGTGAACAGTATTGTGAGAAATGGATATTTTTCGAAAATTCTAGGGCATGGTCGTCGACAGAGAGAGAATCATTCGATTACAGAGAAACGGTATAGCGATCGAGCGATCAAAAGGTTGACAGAAACTCACCCTCGGCAAGTAGCCTAGTCACGCGCAATTTCACATTGTTAATTTCCAGTATTTGTCCGACGTATTCGTTTGTGTTCGCTCCGTTCAAGTATCCCAGCGCGGATCTCAGATAATCCGACATATTTCTTGAAAAATATCCCTTGGAACCCCCGGGAACCGTTCACCCACAGTTACAATGCAGACAGCCGATGCTGTCCGGCCATACTGCCTTTGTGACGTCATCGTCAGTGCCGTACAAACACGATCCTTACGCCAATGGCATTGTTTTACAACATTGTGTTGACATATTTCTATTGTTCGAAAGTGTATCAGACTGAATATCGTCGTTAATCTATTTTGTCTCCTCCGAAGATTATTCGCTACCCGAAATTAGGTATAGTTCCCCATAAATTCTGACGTTCCGAGTCGCGCGCATATGATTTCAAAGTTAATAGAGATAGAGCCGCCGATGAAATTTCAAATACAACATAGTGTATTCGGAACGATTGGGTATTAATAATCAACAATACACGTTACCGCTTGTTACGAGACCCTAAGGTTATATTTTTATTCGAACATGATTATAATTACATTGACAACAGTGAAAAACGTACAATGCGTGTATCATGAGGCAACACTCGTTCGGAAATGTTAGTCGTCCTTCGAGGAAATTAACGAAGACGAGAGAAAAGAGTTGATTGCCTATCACTTTCACTTCGACTGTAAACAACGTGCAATTTTGTTAATTTGCATTAAACGGACGCATGCGCGCGTGCTTTTTGATGCACGACAAATATTCCCACATCATAATTCAAAGCACGACTAATGGTATAGTTACTTTCTGATCGTAAAAATATTGCTGTATCTTGCGTTATCAACGATTCGCAGCCGTTATCAGAATATAATATAAGCAATCTTTATAATTTACTGATAAGAGCAGATTGCAGTTCAGACTTCACATAGTCTTGTACTGTTTTGGTTCTATTGACATATAATATAAAGTGAGAGAAAAGTAACAATACATTTTTCTTTCTTTATATCTTATTAGCACATATCCACAATATTGTTTCTGTTTCTAGATCTTGAGTTATCTGAACCCTAAATAAGCATAATGTCTAAATTTGTGAAGTTCACAAAACTTAGAACTTCTACAGATCACACATTCTGGGCAAAATTTGCCGAATTGAAAATAGACAAATTAAAATTGGATGAGAAGGCAGTAATTAATATATGGGGAAGCTACAGTCGCCAGTCCCCGAACGAAGCCAATGTGAATCCATTGGTACTGGACTTTACATCATTTAATAAGTAAGTTTATACGTGCGAAAGTATTTACTCTCTAATTGTTTATTTATAAGATAAAGTAAGCAGTTGTTGGAATCAACTCCACATAGGTCATTTTTAGAGATCCTGTCGATGCCACCCTTCCCACTTCATCTATCTACTATTGTGGAAAGATGATCAATAAGAATACATTAGAAGCATTTAAACAAACTAATCCTGAAGTATTCATCGAGTCCTTGGGAAAGGATGTTATAGAAAGTATTAAAGATGGATCTAGCTTAAAAGAGCCATGGAGATTGTCATTGTTTCTATTACTGGCTTATTCGGATTTAAAAAAGTATAAATTTTATTATTGGGTTGCTCATCCTACTCCATTAAAGTTACCTGAGATGTACTATGAAGAAAGTCCAAAGTCGATCGACGAAGAATTCACATCTATTCAATCAGAAGACCTTAGTAAAGGCTTCCTCCAACTACATGGCAGATCAATGAATTATTTTACAGTCTTAATATCTTGTGAAAATAATATAATTGTTAGTGACGTAGAAACAGGTGTAAATTCAGTTGAAGGGAAAAAGGAATCACAGGTATTGAATATATATTTTTCTGCAATTGTATCGTGTATAATGATTTTTACATGTAAAACTTTATTTTCTAGGAGTACAACGAAGTTTACTTTGCTTTCTATGATCCTTGCACAAGCTCAGAACCAGGATGGCCTTTACGCAATCTCCTGAGCCTATTGCTCTGGCATTGTCCAATGCATTGTTTCACAAAAGTAATTAAAGTAATATCTATAAGAGGGAACAAGGCGCAGAGGAGTATTGTCTACAAGCTCAGAGTTAAACAATATGAGAACACTAATGAAATCAGAGATAGTTTATTCAATAGCCATTTAGTAGGATGGGAAAGTAATACAAATGGAAAATTGGGTCCTAATATTGCTGACTTATCGGATACAATGGATCCAACTAGGCTGTCGGACAGAGCTATTAACTTAAACTTAAAGTTAATGAAGTGGCGGCTCGTCCCAAATTTAGATTTAGAAAAAATAAGTAGTCTCAAATGCCTCCTCTTAGGCGCCGGTACATTGGGTTGTGCGGTGGCTAGAGTACTTTTAGGATGGGGTGTGAGCAATATAACTTTTGTGGATAACTCTAATGTTTCTCATAGTAACACCGTAAGGCAAAGTTTGTACAGTCATCAGGACGCCGTGGAACATAAATTCAAAGCCCTCGCAGCTAAAGACGCGCTGCTGAGTATTAGGCCGAACATGGTGAGCATTTAGACCATTTCGTGAATAAAATCTAGTTGCATTAATCGTACGAATGTCACACACAGACTGCAGAGGGGGTGGTTCTACATATTCCAATGCCTGGTCACGTTTTGGGTAAAGGTATGATGGAGTCTACGCAAGAGTCGTTAGCAAAATTGGAGGAACTCGTTGAAAGCAGCGATGTTGTCTTCTTCCTATTGGATTCTAGAGAAGCTAGGTGGTTGCCCACTGTTCTATGCGCAGCTATGAACAAAATTGCTATTAATGCAGCTTTAGGTTTCGATTCGTTCACTGTACAGAGACACGGTACACGAAACACCACCATCCCATCCTCTCCAGATTTGGACGTGAAAAATCCTGATGGTCCAGATCTGGGTTGTTACTTCTGCAACGATGTAACGCAGCCAGGGAATGTGTGTATATTGGGAGCTAGATTGTTGTAAAATTATGCTTGCCATTTCTTTTATGCAGACTGTTTTGTCTTGCAGTCGCAAACCGATAGAACGCTGGACCAACAATGTACCGTGAGCAGACCAGGATTGTCTCAAATCGCTGCCGGATTGGCAGTGGAATTGCTAGTATCTGTGCTACAGCACCCCAAAGGGTAAATCAAAGAATGATTACGAGAAGTTTCTGTATTGGTTAGCGATTTAATTGTATGTTGTGCTCGTGTTAAACAGGATCGAAGCAGGAGCATTAATGGGTAACAACAGAGAAACTATAAATTCTAGTGACGCAGAATTGGCTGGTCTGTTAGGAGGTGTGCCACACACGATACGCGGTTCCCTGTGGAATTATGAAATGCAGCTGACGATAACGCACAGATTTACGTGTTGTACAGCCTGTTCTCTACCAGTCGTCACAGAATATAAAAATCGGGGCTTATCGTTTGTTGTCGACGCGTGCAATGTCCCAAATTATTTAGAGAAATTGTCGGGACTAGAGCATTTACTCAAAAGGCCTGATTTGGACGAGGTACTTTTTCTTACATGCATAAAAATATTTTTAAGGTTCTTGGGCATTTAACTTTAACTTAACTTTTAATTACAGCTTTGTTATACTCTGGATAATTTAAGCGACGACGATTGCGACGTCGATCAGTTGAAAGATGCACCTTGAAGACAAGCCATGCGCGCCCGCATATTTTTAACTCGGATAAAAAATGATACTTTTGTTACACAAAGTTCGAAGAACATTTTACACATCAAATAACTGGATTGAGCTACATAATCTAACGGTACCAGTATTTATGTATCCATGCAATTGTATTTTTAGGAGTGCAATGCCGAACATGGATCCGAATTTTAATGTTCTTTATAGAAAATTGACGTTTGACATAAGCGTACATGTCATTGTGACGTATCATCCTGAAATCGTGATTCATTATTACAAACATGACCTTTGCGTAAAACTTTTATATGAATTGCCGATACAGAATGTGGGAGATTGTAATTACTTTCTCAATTTCGTTTTTATCAATGGATCATGGAATGGAAAACAAAGAAATAAATCGTGTTAAATAAAATGTTTCGTTTGTCCGGTATATATCCGGAAATTTATAATCTTTATTTGATCCCTCGGGCCACCTTGCTCTTATTTCCGGTTCCAGTAATCGATCCTTAAAATTAAAAGCTACATGCAAAAAAAATCGTAGTTCTCTATGATTAAATTTTTTTTATTTAAGCATATCTAGATTAATCAAATAGCGATCAAGAACCTTGATTTCCACAACTCATGCCTACTATTCGTGAAGATGCTTTCTAACATCGAACTAGTATTTCAAAGCATGCTTTCGAAAACTGTAGGTACGCGTTCGAAACCAGCTCATCTAAAATGAGTACCTTGCGAGTATACTCATCGAAAACCTGTCGCTCTTGCGAGGCATTCAATACCTGTGGAATGAAACAATATTGAACTTGACTCGAATTTGCGTGGACGTATTGAACTTGATCTCATCCCTAATGAATACGTAGTTATGATTTTTGTTCTGAACAGCCATATACATACGCGAAACAGTGTGTGCGGAGCGTGGCGAACGGTTGGCAGTTTTGCCGGTAGAGGGCGGGTCCGAGAACAACCGAATGCCATGCATTCCAGTGTAATGTTGAAGTGGTAGGAGAAGCGAGGCTACCTCTCGTGTCAAACAGTCCGTGTTCTGCGTGTCCGCCCGCATACCATTAGATTTTCATCGTTTTCAATGAAAATACGTGCTCGGTGCGGTCTCGAGATGCCAGGAAACGTCGCGGCGGACGTATAGTCGTGTATTCATGCGAGTGTCATCGTTCAACGATCGGTAAGTAAACGCGTTTTCGTGAACGGAAAAAACCGTTCGTTCGATTTTACGTCGAGGAATGTGTGCGCCTCATTCCTCCTTTTTTTTTCTCCATGCTACGCCGCCGCATTCCTCTATCGATTCTTGTGACCGACGGACACGAGCGTTACTCGGGACTCGGGACAAACACGCCTTCCGTCCTGGAAAGCCTGTGAAATTTTGTTTGTTTAAAAAATAGAGGAATTCCTGTGGGACTTTTTTTTTCATCAAGCTTTCGTCGCTTTTTTTCGCCTAGAAAGAGAAAGAGCGAGAGAGACGTTTACCAATTTGCGCTCCCGTGTATTCGTCCCGCGTGCCCCTCGTAATTGAACGTATATGAGACATACATAGAAAGTATTCGTACAATGGCATTTCTTGCGTCCGGACGACGACAATGCTTTTTCTCGGTAGAAAATAATTTAACGAAGGTAATGTTTTCCGTTCAGATCCCATAGCCTCGATAGTGGGCTGATGCTGCAATTGCATAGAATAATTTAAACTCCGTGTCCACGCCGGGACACAAAAATCTATTAACGAATTCGAATCGAAGCGAAAGTCAGTTGAGCGTGCCGAGTACACTTCTTTTTTTTCTCTCGCTGTGGTCCGATGTTTCGTCGATTCATCACCTTCGAGGAATTCCCATTTAACAGCGATAACTCGATAACTCGTGTGATTCATTGTAGGACTCGACGATATCGAAATTCTACCTTTCTTCAAAGAGAATTTCGCTCATCGAGGAATTCGATCGATATCGATACGACATCCTGCGATCAAATTCCGATAGAAATCGAGAGAAACTCGAAGAGTGGCGCGGCTTTCGGTTATCCAACGGGTAGAGACAGTTGTGATCGATTTAAATTTTGAGATCGCTCGCTAGATGGAAAGAGTGTGACATTCCGTTCGATGAATTCGAACAATCTTTTTTAAATGTCGACATTCTTGACACGACCGCCCGTAACGTCGTGCAACTTTGATGTCGCATGCCCATTTATGTATGTATCTATATTTGTACTTGTGTAATTTTATTGTTTCGCTGCTCCTTCGAAAGGAACGTTCAAGGAGTTTGTTGATACAGCGTGATTTGTAGTTTCAGTTTCTTACGCCAGAGTACTTATTGTTCGAAATTCGTGTCAAGAAGATAGCGATTACTATTCGCAATCATTATCACCCGTTTTATTTCCAATGCCAACAATTAAGGAAAGGATCGCATAATCGTTACGAAGGTTCGTAGAGTAGTTGTCTCGCTTTTCACTGCATTCATAGATATCATGCCATTTTCAGATCGCATATACCTTACGTGTCCGGCTATTACTTTGCTTCGTTACTTGTTCTACGATATTCGGAGCCTGATCGTTTGAAATGTACGTAGAATCTCATCTGTTCCGAAATGTCGAAAACGTTTGAACTGTTACAAGCGCGCGCGCGATTCAAGTTTTACAATCAACCCTCAATAAGCAAGGCGCGAGAGATGTTTCTTCGCGTTTCTTTTCAGAGACACAGGTACGGTAGAGCCTCGATTATCAGAGGTAAGCAGCGTGATAATTCATGTTGGTATAATAGAACAATTATCGGTAGACTTCTTCTGTATCGATTTATAAAGTAAATCTTTTTTGCACATTGATTGCCTCAGATCGAGCTGGTCACGTGTGAAACGTATTTAGATAATGGAGAATTCTGATATTGTAGAACCGGATAATCGAGGTCTACTGTGTGCGTGTGTGCGTGTGTGTGCGCGCGCGCGCGCGTGTGTGTGTGAATGCGGCTCGAAAGTCGCACGGCGTGTTACAAAGGGTTAACAAGTTCAAGATTCGAATAGAAGATTTTTGTGAAAATGTGTGCGCCGAGTTTATCGCGCTAGGCGGCAATGTATGGTGGGTGGAGTGGGATATTGCGATGGACGTGTGGAGGGAATGGGGCAAAGGGGGAGACAGTAGTGAGCAGGGGGGGAGAGAGAGCACGCGAAGCAACGGAGGGTGGGTGGGACACGAAGCGAGGAAAGATGCGAGGGGGGCGAGCGAGCCTCTGGTGAGGGGTCCGCATTCCACAGACAATGTCACGTTTTTTAATCCCCGTTTTACTTTATTTGTGTGTTGGCTTCAGCCGCGAGGAAGGCCCCCAAACAGTTAANGTTTACCAATTTGCGCTCCCGTGTATTCGTCCCGCGTGCCCCTCGTAATTGAACGTATATGAGACATACATAGAAAGTATTCGTACAATGGCATTTCTTGCGTCCGGACGACGACAATGCTTTTTCTCGGTAGAAAATAATTTAACGAAGGTAATGTTTTCCGTTCAGATCCCATAGCCTCGATAGTGGGCTGATGCTGCAATTGCATAGAATAATTTAAACTCCGTGTCCACGCCGGGACACAAAAATCTATTAACGAATTCGAATCGAAGCGAAAGTCAGTTGAGCGTGCCGAGTACACTTCTTTTTTTTCTCTCGCTGTGGTCCGATGTTTCGTCGATTCATCACCTTCGAGGAATTCCCATTTAACAGCGATAACTCGATAACTCGTGTGATTCATTGTAGGACTCGACGATATCGAAATTCTACCTTTCTTCAAAGAGAATTTCGCTCATCGAGGAATTCGATCGATATCGATACGACATCCTGCGATCAAATTCCGATAGAAATCGAGAGAAACTCGAAGAGTGGCGCGGCTTTCGGTTATCCAACGGGTAGAGACAGTTGTGATCGATTTAAATTTTGAGATCGCTCGCTAGATGGAAAGAGTGTGACATTCCGTTCGATGAATTCGAACAATCTTTTTTAAATGTCGACATTCTTGACACGACCGCCCGTAACGTCGTGCAACTTTGATGTCGCATGCCCATTTATGTATGTATCTATATTTGTACTTGTGTAATTTTATTGTTTCGCTGCTCCTTCGAAAGGAACGTTCAAGGAGTTTGTTGATACAGCGTGATTTGTAGTTTCAGTTTCTTACGCCAGAGTACTTATTGTTCGAAATTCGTGTCAAGAAGATAGCGATTACTATTCGCAATCATTATCACCCGTTTTATTTCCAATGCCAACAATTAAGGAAAGGATCGCATAATCGTTACGAAGGTTCGTAGAGTAGTTGTCTCGCTTTTCACTGCATTCATAGATATCATGCCATTTTCAGATCGCATATACCTTACGTGTCCGGCTATTACTTTGCTTCGTTACTTGTTCTACGATATTCGGAGCCTGATCGTTTGAAATGTACGTAGAATCTCATCTGTTCCGAAATGTCGAAAACGTTTGAACTGTTACAAGCGCGCGCGCGATTCAAGTTTTACAATCAACCCTCAATAAGCAAGGCGCGAGAGATGTTTCTTCGCGTTTCTTTTCAGAGACACAGGTACGGTAGAGCCTCGATTATCAGAGGTAAGCAGCGTGATAATTCATGTTGGTATAATAGAACAATTATCGGTAGACTTCTTCTGTATCGATTTATAAAGTAAATCTTTTTTGCACATTGATTGCCTCAGATCGAGCTGGTCACGTGTGAAACGTATTTAGATAATGGAGAATTCTGATATTGTAGAACCGGATAATCGAGGTCTACTGTGTGCGTGTGTGCGTGTGTGTGCGCGCGCGCGCGCGTGTGTGTGTGAATGCGGCTCGAAAGTCGCACGGCGTGTTACAAAGGGTTAACAAGTTCAAGATTCGAATAGAAGATTTTTGTGAAAATGTGTGCGCCGAGTTTATCGCGCTAGGCGGCAATGTATGGTGGGTGGAGTGGGATATTGCGATGGACGTGTGGAGGGAATGGGGCAAAGGGGGAGACAGTAGTGAGCAGGGGGGGAGAGAGAGCACGCGAAGCAACGGAGGGTGGGTGGGACACGAAGCGAGGAAAGATGCGAGGGGGGCGAGCGAGCCTCTGGTGAGGGGTCCGCATTCCACAGACAATGTCACGTTTTTTAATCCCCGTTTTACTTTATTTGTGTGTTGGCTTCAGCCGCGAGGAAGGCCCCCAAACAGTTAAGTTCGACTTCTGTCCTTAGAGAGCGGATTCCTGAGAACAGCGCAGCGCTACGCCGGGCCTTGCAACGATCATTTTCTCTTTCTCTTGGCTGTGGTGTGTATCATCGACGACGTCCTCGTCCCCGTCAACGAGTATCGTCTTCAGGACAACCCGAAGAGATATCTTCTCGCTTGACTCGGCCAACAGGATAATTAGCTTTCTGACCTAGCCGAATCGAGGATATGACAAACACCGACGAAGACGTAGCACGACACGATTAACACACCCGACCCGATAAAATAGCGTTCCTAGCGCGCGACAAACGTAAATACAACATGGTTTATATACTAATGTAATTACTATGATGTAATGTAAAGGAATATAGAGGAGGCACCAGTTGGTGTACAGGGAAAATATCTACGACGCGCACGATTTTTCATATTTTCCGCATTACGCGTAACATTATTTTAGCCAGCGTGTACTGGTCGAATAGTTATCGAGGGCGTTCTACTATGATGGCAGATGTGGGGAGATTAATTATATACATATAATGTGATTTTTTCGAATCCGTCATAGTAGGAGGCCCCTTTTGGTAAGAGGGGAGGGAGAAAGTGAGAAGAGGTAAGGTCGAAGACGAACGACGAGATAATTTTCCTTTCCCGGTTAACAGGTTAATCGGATAGACAAGAGAATCACCGGGACAGCTGCTCCCACGTTTTGGATATCGCTGCTCTGATTCCTGTTCTTTGTCGTTGGGGCACAGTCGACGAGAGGATCCACGCAGGATCGTCGAGATCGGCTGGATCAACGGATATGTCTGCTGTCGAAAGCGCCTTGGACGTACTCTCCAGGGCGGCCACGATGGTCCAAGGTCAGTCTGTTGCAACTTGGTGCACGTGGAATGTCTGACGTACGATGCAAGTCGAGTCGGGTCGGGTCGCTCGTCTTTTTACTTATCTAATCCACCGGTTTCTGGTAGCAGGACAATTAATCCCGGACCCCAGACGGTTATTTCTGTTTGGACGATCCGACCTCATTGTATAACGCATATCGTCCCGCACTGGGGAGAGGATTTATGTAAGACACGCGAGAGAAAAAGAGAGAGAGAGAGAGAGAGGAGGGGAGAGCTCTTCCCGTGATATTTCGCCCCAGTCGCGAGAGACCGCATTCCTGCCAATTGCCAATTTCATGTTGAATTAGATAATATTGTGCCGTGTTTATTTTCGATTCCCGCTTCTTCGAGCCGCGTTGTTGGCAACATGTAGCCACGCACTTGTGGCTCCTTCTCCTACTGCTGCTCTCTCCAGCGATTCTCTTTTTCTTCTTCTGCATCTTCCTCCTTCTCCTGTTATGACGCCTGTGTCTTTATAGTGCTGCTGAACCATACGCACGTGTCTACCAAACAGCAAGCAGGCGCTCTTGTCGTGTGTATCCGTCTTTTCTTTTTTTTTCCTTTATTACGATTTTATTTTCCTTTCTTTCATACGTCTTCCTTGATTAACAGGCTGTCCTCTAGCACAGTTCACTGGCATGCGTGACGAACAAAGCAGTGCTAGATGAAATATCAATTCAAATAGCCATTTCTTTATTATGACAGAAGGTAAAATATCTCATTTAAAACACATGGAACTGGTAATGCGTATACACAGTCTTATTCAGCATCAGCGAACATTGTTCAAGGCAGAAAGCGTTAATCTTTCTCAGCTCCTCTTTTCATGTCTCAGGAATTGTGTCCCATAAAGGGTTAAAGAGAACGAGGCCGCGCGAGCGTGTTGAAGCGGATTCCCTAATTGTTTTCGTTCGCATTCGAGGAAAGGAAAAAAGAAGTAGCATGTCTGGAGTGTGACCAACGAGGTCGCGTACAAGCCCGACCCGAGATTAATGGAAATGATCGGGGTCCTATCATCGAACGAAATACCAGGCCGTGACGAGAGCGTCGCGGCGCGTACGAGACCGTGAGCTCGCGTCGCGGCGCGTCCGCTCGCTAGTGTACTGTTTCTTGTTCCGATGGAATTCAGAGCTTCGAACCTGTTCCGAATACCACACACGTTTCCTCGGAATACCGACCGATGGCGCACGTTGACTTTCTCTGCTGTCGATCTTACCATACGAGAAATATTTAATTACTGACGCTCGGTATTTTTGGATCGACCGTGGTCGGTAACCGGTCGACGCAGTTGTGCGAATTACATTGTAATTCAATCGCGTGATTCGATCGAATTGTACCGCTAATACGTAGCAATTCGATTACGATACGATTCAATTGCTAGTTCACAATGGAATTAATCTTTATTCAGACGTTATGAAGTTGTAAACAATAATTGTCAGTGATCTATCGTATCTGTTACATTCCATTGTGTAATTGCACTTTAATTGCAATCTATGGTCATCTAAATTAGAAATTAAAATGCCACTGAGATGCAACATAATTGAATAAATTTTTAATTGATGTAGTAGTTCCGCACAACTGTGTTCTATCTGTCCCATGTTCTGTTCGTGTGTATTCACGATCACGCGAGGGCTCATGGTTAAACGAACGTCCGATAACTGGCCGCTATTAAAATACCAAGGATTCCTCGATGATGGCTCACGATCCGGAGATGATAACGCGCCACCTTGATCTTGCAAGGTAGGAGAACTAGTCCCACCTTGTGTTCCTCAGCCTCCGGGAAACCGTGGGTGCCTAGCGAGACCAATTTACCTTTGCCTGTAAAGAGACTGCTCGAAGCAATTAGTCCCTGCTCATTTATAGCAATTGCACGGTTTTTTTTCTTTTTTATTCAATATGCTCAAATGAATGAAAAAAGTATGTCGGAATTCTAAAAGAAGAAGAATCGAGATAAATTGCTCGTAGGACTAGCTGATGCTTCACTATGTTTCCGTGCGTGTCCGTGTGGCATGCGTGCGTGTAAAAGGGGCAACCTTCTCGATGGAGGGGGCAGGAAGCCGGGACGAGCTGGATGAATGAATGAATCTTAAGACAGTCGCGTAAGAGGGGCATTCATGGATCTACACGGCCCCTTTTCAGCAACGCGTGACTCTCCTCCGAATAGCGTGGAGCGTGTTCTCTGCCTCCGTGTGCGGTTGTCGCGTGTTCCTCGAGCTACACTGTGCGCGCGCTTGCAACTTACCAACCGGTCTATTGTTCTTCGAGTATGCTCTTTGTCCCGCCGATTCTTGGGTGCGATCTCGTTTCACGGTGTTCACCAGGACCGATCGACGATCTCCTCTGATCCTCCGGCGCTCGCATCTAGATTGATCGAGGACACAATGGAGGCTGCGTTTTTCGGCGAGCGAAAGATCCCTGGATCGAAGCGAATCCGATGATCCCCAAACGCAGCTTCTTTACCGATCTCGAAGCACTTAATTATGAGCAGCTCGTTTTGATCCATCAAGTATTTCTAACGTAAATCCGGACTCGACACACCTGATTATTCGCGCGCGTGTGTTTGTGTGTGGCCACGCTGAAAGAGGCCTCGTTGGACAGCAATGGAAGTCTCATCCAGGAGAAGCTGCTTCTGGCAGCCCTGGCTCAGCACCGGGAACCTTCGGTCGATTTACCATACCGCGGGTACAAAAATCTTTTCGTATACATTCATCCTCGCGTTAAGATTCAAGATCAATTTCTCTCTCGAATTACTCTTACAAGTCTTCTTTCTTAAGAGATTCTTTTTTAAAGGTCATGGGACGAATACTGTAGGTGGAAGTTCAATAATTTTTGTAATTTCCGGGTTTGAGAAATCCGCATTTTACGAATCGATCAAATGGAGAAGAAGAGGGGACCGGATCCATTCATCTTTTCACCGGTTCGCGAGACTCATCCTTCGCCATGAAACCAGTTCCGAGCGTCTTCCTGGCAATCCTCTCACGGCTATTACGCGCTTCCTGCCTTGTCCCGTGAAACCGGACTCTACAGCACCCCTTCTCGATCGTTCTGAGGGTGGTTCGATCGCGTGTCCTGGGAAGCGGAAATCGAACCACTTCCTTTCGCGAACCTCACAGAATCATGGATGAAAAATGCGTAGCCCATTCCAAAGCCGTTCAGTTTCAAAAGAACGAAGCTGGAGCTCGGTCTATGTTTCTCTCTCAGATAAAAAATATTCTTTAGGCGGGAAGCAAGCAACTCAGTTCTTTTGGGGGCACGTTTTACAAAATGACTCTAACAAATTATTCCATTGCAGAGGAAAGGCCAAAGGCGTCAAACCTCCACCGGAAGCCAAGCAGCGCGTGGCGCAAGGACCGTAGGAGAGATCCTATCCAGAGCGAGGCTCTCGACATGTCAGCAGCCAGGGTACATCATCATCATCGTCACACCAGGCCTAGCGTGATCGTGCCTACCACGCCGCAGCCTGGTAAGCGTGCCCTACGGGGAGAATGGAGAAGAGAGGAGAAACAGACGGCTGGCTAGGAAAGAGACCCCAGGCCTTCGCCGCGAATTCGTTAGGCACGTTGCCGCGTTGTTCTTGGTCATAGGGGGCTCCCAGCCATCCCTATTGTCCACCGCAAGGGGTGGCTGGCTCCTTGAACAATGCACCACGATCCACGGCCGGCAGATGCGCGCTGTGCAACACCCAGTACAGACTGCCCACCGGCTTCGCCGTACGCTGGGATATATTTCCCGTTTTCCTAGAATTCCTCGGCTTTCAGATTCTCTTTGTTCATTCAACCAGAGAACGGCTGTGTCTAAATGCTGCCTCTGGCTTTGCCAATTGCTAGCTGCACCCTCCACCCTCGTTTCTCAAATTTACATATTACAGATTAAAGATTCGATTCAGTGTAAAGAGAATTTTTGTTGAGAACGCGCGAGCGTGTTCCCGATTCAACAATGGAGACGTTGTACCGTCTCTTGTCACTTTAACGGTGTTCGTACAGGGTGCCTCAGCTAAATGGAATGGAAGAACTCGGAGGAAATTTCGCCGAGGCACCCCGTATATGTATTCTGTGCTTTATAATATTTATAAGATACCGGCTGACGGTCCAACGAACATGAGATTTTTGTTTACCAGGGACCACGATTGAGGACACCGCGGGAACACCTACTCCAACCCTCACACCCTCCGCAGCTGCGGGAGGTCAGAGGACCGGGGTGAGAACTGTGGGAGGGGTAAGCGATCCTGCAATAGATGAACACTTTAAACGATCACTGGGACTGGAGGAGTACGCCGCTGTCTTCAATGCAGCCACCACCGACAAGGAAGCTGGCCTCAGCGGTACACCATTAGCTAGATTATAACAGAGGGTGTCTCGGCTAACTTTGTCACTCTCAGAATAGAATATTTGCTTCGACGTAGCGGTTGTTTTTGTTTAGAATATTGAGATGCGCTCTGGTTCAATGATACCAATGAAAATAAAAGAATTATTACTCCGCGATGCTCGACCATTTGTTCTTTGAAATAGAACTCCTCTGTGGAAGATAAAATTTACTCTGGACTCACTAATATCTTCTCTTTCAGTGGACGATCATTTCGCAAAGGCGCTGGGCGAGACCTGGACCAGGCTGCAGGCGGGTAGTCGACGCAAGGATTCCACTTAACTGCCGGACAGTTGACCGAGTTCTCTACCAAGAGATCTTCCTGTGCTTCGGCGTCCTCGTGTGGAGGCGCGGCCAGTGTTCCATAAATCGTAAAGGAACTCACTAGCGGTTCGTTGTCGTTTCTTGGAATCGTTACCCACAAACCTGATACCTCGAGCTGCACTGACCTTTTTGAACGCTACGAAGCTCGAGCCGTTCCTGGGTCCGGAAATGATGAGGGCGCGACGCGTGCCAGAACGACCAAAGTGGTTTCAACAACCTGTGGACAGGGTGTCCACGTAGCGTGTAGCACAACCAGATAATGTGATTCTTTGCGCGAAGCTTCATGACATTAAGGGATTCTTGTTTGATTTTCTTTGCCGGCTCGATCTAGGTTCTGCGCTATCAATCGCGAAACGACAATGTGTGTTAAGAAAAATTTGAAGAAAGACATTTAACGTAGAGACTAATAAAAGGGTGTATGCAACGCATCGGAGAAGTTTGCAAAGTAGATTTGATCAAAAAGCGGAGTCTGGTAAGAAAGAAATTTCATATATTTTTCACCTTCGCGCGAGGAATCACGGTTTTTCCCCCTTAGCGTTGTACGATGCAGATTCAAGTCAGAGCGCGACTTCTATTAGATGATGGACGCTACAGAAGGGAAACCTATCTTGCACCGAGACTTAGAGAACACCCTGTATATACACAGGATATCCTGGCTAAATGGAATTACCAGTATATCTGCATTTCTTTATCGTTGTACGAATAAACTTCTTAGGAAGTTGCTCTTCAAATAAATGAGCCAGATATATTTAGATGTTCCCGTTTATCTGGGACACCTTGTGTATTCGAACTACTCTCAGTGTCGGCACTTATACATTGTACATAGACGCGGGCGTATTCTTTTATTATGCCATTGTCGCGGCGATTTCCGCGGCCCGAACTTATTTATTACAATATTGTCCCATACAGCCTCGCTAATTAGTTATAATAGCGGATTCGTTCACACTAAAGCCGCTCGTCCTGTTCCGCATTGTAACGCAAACGGACGGTGTACGTGTAGTGATTATATTCGCATAAATGTTGATGTTTATACATACACCATCGTTCGAGACTCGGACAATATTCAGACAAATATTTTTCGCGGAGGACTTTTCGCAAGTTCCCCAAGTCGATTTTATTTATGGAGTTGTTTCTGAGCTCTTGAACGATGGTGTGTACATACAAATAAATAGCTATAGATAGACATGTAGATACAACATATATCCTCTTTGTTCAGCCAAAGAATTCACTAAAGAAGATTTTCGTTGATCCAAGACAATGAGAATCATTTTTGGACGCCCACTTTCGACGAATGCTTCTCTCTTTCTCTGATACAACCATTCAGCGTGGTCCAAAATGAATTTAGTGGTTCTTGGCTGACACATGCACCATATACTTGACGGTACAAATGGAGTGTTACAATTCGTTCGATTCTCTTTCCCTGTCGTACAGGTTAAAAAGGGTTCCAAGAAATTTGCAACACTTTATTTGGTATGCCCTGTATATGAGCCACTCGTTTGCCAAGTCGATCAACATAGAGAAAAATGATACCATAAAATTACAATTCCATAGAACGTAATTAATCAAGGAAGTTGACCGATTTGGCAAGTGGATGGCTCATATATTAGGTCGAGTCACAAATCATTTCAATTTTAGTAAAGCGACTTTATTTATCACTAGAATAAACAACAAATAATATATTCGCAACGACTTTAATGCGATGAACCGTTCGGATGATATACTCGACATTACAATTCGTAGAAACTGAGAATTGTTTCTGACTCGACCTAATATGTATAAGTATACGCATTACGATTGTAATTATACGCGAGTCGTGAGACTGTTCGAACGATCTAAGATTAGACAATGATCACGCGGACACCGTGTATATCGTCGCACAAACGCTTTTGTAACACACGGAGCGAGACTCACCCGAGAACATTGTGTACTAAAGAGAAAGAAGAGGATACATAAAGCGACTGGTAACAGTTTTAATACCGACAACGATTATCCCGCGTGTTTGTCGTGGTTATATACACAACGCGCACACACAAACACACATGTATCCCTCCTCGATCTTCAGCTTCCTCTGGTTCCTTCGTTGTGGATTGCTAAGAAGAGTAGTACTGATTTCAAATGGTGCTAGGAAGTCGACAGCATACCCCAGCACGCACAGAAGTCAGTACCTCTGCCTTCTTATTCGCTTCGAACCAACAAGATGTTTCCCCTTCCGGTTCCGTTGGCCTAACCGCAGCAGTCTTGCAAGCCTCCAAGGGATTTCGCCTAACCGCGGTGGTTGTACACCAGCAAAAAAATATTCGGCGCATATCTTTCGGTAGCCACGGGTTTTCATATTCGTAAAACAGGCAGCTACAAAGAATATCGAATAATTTTCGATACTCTACACGTCTACCGTTACTGCGTCCCTTGTTGGTTTATATAATTAGGCTTAAGTTGTAGGGGTTGGCGCACGTGCAAACAATCTGCAATACTTTGTAAAACAGCTGTCGAGATTCTGTGACGCATTCTTGCAGATTCCACGCGTAAATCCCCACGATTATGAATCTCGGAAGGTGACCCGATCGAAGGTGCCATCTCCTTGTCTCGCAGAATTGTTGAGAATTTGCTGAGATTCTGGTAGAACCGGAAACAAAGTTGAATCGAAAGTGTCGGTCTTCTAGGAAGCAACGTTTTTGAATATCTTTGACGTACCTGTTCCACCGAGTACCGTAGCAATTCAATTCGATAGACATGGCTTCGAAGTCTTATCGTGCACTTTCGTCAAGAGTCTTTCAATTTCCGGTTGTACCACGTCGGACACCCGGCGCACATCCGTTGGACATCACTCGCGACCGGAAACCGCGTTATCCTCGGCAATTTGAACAGTTTCTCGTCGATAACGAAGAATGCAGGAGGATTATTAGGAGACACTTTGGAGGACACGATGGCCACAGAAGACAGCCGGGCCGGACGCTTTGTGTGTCGTAGGTGGGCCCAGACGGGCGAGCCAGACTGTCCCAGGAGCGCTCGGATGGCTTCCTATATGCAGGCAGCCTGTTCACTTGCCGTAAAGCAAAATGGTAACTTAATATTAGAGTTGAATATAAGTACCGGTAATCCCACACCAGAGTCCAAAGTAAGCCTACACCTACCCGCCGCGACGGCCTACCGGACGGCCAGCCATCCCTGGACCTCCGTTCCCCCTTACGAACGCCCTCGAGCGTAATAATACGACGGGATACTAGATATCGGTGGCTCTCTGTATTCTAGGTGCAAATTGCGACCACCTATGCTTAAGTCTCTTTCTCTCTCTCTCTCTCTCTCTCTCTCTCTCTCTCTCTCTCTCTCTCTCTCTCCCTCTCCTCNCGAGTCACAAATCATTTCAATTTTAGTAAAGCGACTTTATTTATCACTAGAATAAACAACAAATAATATATTCGCAACGACTTTAATGCGATGAACCGTTCGGATGATATACTCGACATTACAATTCGTAGAAACTGAGAATTGTTTCTGACTCGACCTAATATGTATAAGTATACGCATTACGATTGTAATTATACGCGAGTCGTGAGACTGTTCGAACGATCTAAGATTAGACAATGATCACGCGGACACCGTGTATATCGTCGCACAAACGCTTTTGTAACACACGGAGCGAGACTCACCCGAGAACATTGTGTACTAAAGAGAAAGAAGAGGATACATAAAGCGACTGGTAACAGTTTTAATACCGACAACGATTATCCCGCGTGTTTGTCGTGGTTATATACACAACGCGCACACACAAACACACATGTATCCCTCCTCGATCTTCAGCTTCCTCTGGTTCCTTCGTTGTGGATTGCTAAGAAGAGTAGTACTGATTTCAAATGGTGCTAGGAAGTCGACAGCATACCCCAGCACGCACAGAAGTCAGTACCTCTGCCTTCTTATTCGCTTCGAACCAACAAGATGTTTCCCCTTCCGGTTCCGTTGGCCTAACCGCAGCAGTCTTGCAAGCCTCCAAGGGATTTCGCCTAACCGCGGTGGTTGTACACCAGCAAAAAAATATTCGGCGCATATCTTTCGGTAGCCACGGGTTTTCATATTCGTAAAACAGGCAGCTACAAAGAATATCGAATAATTTTCGATACTCTACACGTCTACCGTTACTGCGTCCCTTGTTGGTTTATATAATTAGGCTTAAGTTGTAGGGGTTGGCGCACGTGCAAACAATCTGCAATACTTTGTAAAACAGCTGTCGAGATTCTGTGACGCATTCTTGCAGATTCCACGCGTAAATCCCCACGATTATGAATCTCGGAAGGTGACCCGATCGAAGGTGCCATCTCCTTGTCTCGCAGAATTGTTGAGAATTTGCTGAGATTCTGGTAGAACCGGAAACAAAGTTGAATCGAAAGTGTCGGTCTTCTAGGAAGCAACGTTTTTGAATATCTTTGACGTACCTGTTCCACCGAGTACCGTAGCAATTCAATTCGATAGACATGGCTTCGAAGTCTTATCGTGCACTTTCGTCAAGAGTCTTTCAATTTCCGGTTGTACCACGTCGGACACCCGGCGCACATCCGTTGGACATCACTCGCGACCGGAAACCGCGTTATCCTCGGCAATTTGAACAGTTTCTCGTCGATAACGAAGAATGCAGGAGGATTATTAGGAGACACTTTGGAGGACACGATGGCCACAGAAGACAGCCGGGCCGGACGCTTTGTGTGTCGTAGGTGGGCCCAGACGGGCGAGCCAGACTGTCCCAGGAGCGCTCGGATGGCTTCCTATATGCAGGCAGCCTGTTCACTTGCCGTAAAGCAAAATGGTAACTTAATATTAGAGTTGAATATAAGTACCGGTAATCCCACACCAGAGTCCAAAGTAAGCCTACACCTACCCGCCGCGACGGCCTACCGGACGGCCAGCCATCCCTGGACCTCCGTTCCCCCTTACGAACGCCCTCGAGCGTAATAATACGACGGGATACTAGATATCGGTGGCTCTCTGTATTCTAGGTGCAAATTGCGACCACCTATGCTTAAGTCTCTTTCTCTCTCTCTCTCTCTCTCTCTCTCTCTCTCTCTCTCTCTCTCTCTCTCCCTCTCCTCTGCTTTACCGTCATCACCTCGCAGACCGTATCCGTCATTCTTCCTGTGCGTCCTGCGTCCTCCAAACCTGAGAACTCATGGTTTAACAAGGACCTATCTGTTCAACTGTAATCTTAACCCCTTGCCCTATAATCTCTCTCATATATATCAATCGTTCAGACTGATTAGAACTTCCTTGCAACAATCTCCTACAAGAAAGAGTTCTGCATGGCACTGTGGGACAAGGGTTTAACAAGGTTCTGTAACATTAGTGACCACTACGGCTATCTACTTTGGTATATGGATCAGTGGAGATCGGTTTTCTATAATATGTGGACTTTAGCAGGTGGTCCAGCCTCTAGTCCACTTCTTGAATAATGAGTTCAAGCATTCTGCACTGAATTTTCAAGAGGCGAAGAAATGGAGAGAGAACACGTCGATGATGAACAATTGCCCCGAAGCATCGTTCTACTTGGTAAAACCCTCTCTATATATTTAATCCAGTCTTAGCCTTTGTACCCTCTGACTAAACATCTTATCATCTTCCAGGTGCCTTTGGGTATCGAAGAGTTTTGCAGCAATATCGAGAAGCGAGGTAAGTATTGTTCCATGAACTCGATTACTCTAATGAAATACGATGTTTCTACGATTCTAGTCGCGACTTCGCACCTTGGTTCTCGCGGACGACGAAGTCGCAGAAACTCGATATCCGCGTCTTTTTCAACCTGTTTTCTTTCCAGGTAAAACGGGAGCAGAGCGCAAGCGGTGCTCCCCGAGGTGCAACGACCTTCGCGGACCAAGAAGAACTAGGATAAACCAGTCTAGTCTCTCTGCGTGACGCGACAAGAGACTCTCTTTGGTGGACGGTGGCGAAGTAAGCTAATCCGTCCGCGTGTATCATGTTTTTGAGTCCCTTTAAACGATACTGATACCTCTGTTGCCCTCGCGAGAAACGACGTTTCGCGGACGCGACGCACGCACCGGTGTCGATTTCGACGTTAGTCTCGCGACAGATGTTCCCAGAGGCTGCTGCCGCCGCCTGGGCTACTCCTTCTTACAAAGTCGTCAGAAATCGGTATCATTCTCCGAGCCCCGGAATACATTGTATTTCCCCGGTGAAATTGGCTTCCCGATGGGAAACGCAGCTGGAAATAGAGCAGCCGACCTAGACAGATGCTGTTTCCCCGGGCCAGACGCAGGTGTTTCCACCAATGACCTCGCATTTCCATCGGTCATCATCTACAACCGTTGTGCCCTTCCCGGACGGTTTCCCTTATTAGTGTGAACTCCGAACTAGAAAGAAAATTAGTAAAAGGGTAATCATACCCTATCGTTCCTACTGTATTATATTAGACTGCGGATCAAATTCCCATTTTTATACTTGACTTTATGTAAATATTTCTTATGATAACCGTGGAACGATCCACAGTCTAATTATATATTATTAGGTACTAATCGTGTTATTTATTTATAGGTGACAGTGAATCGTGGAAACTTGTGGAATTTTGCTGCTTTCACTAAGGACCAGCGCGGTCTGCGTATGGGAGAGATCACGAAGAGACCTGGAAGAGGAATAACCATCCTCCCGTAGAAGCAACGATCTCTTTTTCTTGCTACGTAGATCGGCTCGCCGCGTCACCCAGTATCGAATCGATCGGCAACGATCACGCGGCTCGATCGCGTCTCTCTCCTAGCTTCTATCCGCGTCCACGTTTCTTCATTTTAAGTCCCAGGCGTATCCTGTTTCAAAGCGAGACCCAGCTGACCGCAACCCGGCATCGTTTTCTCGTTTCGTCCGCTTGCGTTACGCACCGATCCGCGCGACCACGTCTACGGAAAAATCGGTTGATGTGCTCTCAATATGCTTCGAAAATTCCTGACCTGTGTGCTAGCCAGAAATGGCGGGTGCCCTGTTAGTATTCATATTTTGCGATTCATCAGATTTTCGAGAAAAGAATGAAATTGGTTAAAAAAAAGTCAATTAGTTCTTTTTTCAACAACACTGGTCTCTGTGTTGAACACTCGGTTCTTTTTTTATTCCAGTGAATTATTATTTGCGTAATCAATTGATGAATAATCGACCTCGTTAAATAGTCTAACCATTACTACAGATCCGGATTCAAGAGAGAGGGAGGGAGGGAGAGAGAGAGAGAGAGAGAACACGAATAGACGCGGACCGGTCCGCGTCGCGACGCCTAGTCTCGCGTTCCTAGCATCGAAATCCCCGGCGGCCGAACCCCACAAAACTACAGGATGATAACCAATTCCTATGTAATTATTTACTTATCAAATTATATACGCATTTACTTATCGATCTCCTTCATCACGGTTCACTATTGACGAAAGATATTTTTGCAGGGGTTCATCTCGTTGAAGAAAAGATTATCCTCGTAGGAATGTTACCTGTGCGTAACCATAAGAGCATTCCCCTGAAACACACATAGGGAAAGTGCTGCTCGACGATGCAACAAAGACAAGAACACTGCACCGATCGTTCATCATCAAATTTATCATCAACATCACCACCAGCAGCAGCAATAGTATCAGCATCATCACTGGATCTTCCTCCGAAAAGAGCGGCGCACTCGACGTCGCGACGCGTCGATTCGGATCCGCGGCGCGGGCAAAACGCTCGTTCAAATCCCGGCGACGAACCGTAGGGGTGGGTTTGCCCTCGGCGTGCGTGTTCCACTGACTATCTCGCGTTAATGTTTCCGTTTTTAACTCGTGAACTCGTCTCCGTTCTGCGTATACGAATTCGATCGTTCCGAACGTCGCGGCCGGCGAGTATAGATTCAAGTCGAAGGACGGCGAGAGAGAATCGGTCCGCGCCGCGCCGCTCATCGAATCGCATCGCATCGGTTTCCAACCGCATGGCACTTCGGACACGACTGATCGAGTGACCGAGGGGGTAGCATTGTAAGAATACCCCTCCAACGTGCGCTTGTATAGAATTACGTGTGTGCCCGCTCATCGCGCGCATAGAGCAGCACAACTCTCCGTCCCCCTCGGGTTCGCGCAAAAGGGAGAATCGAGGGGAGAGAAGAGTGGCTCTAACCTTCGCCTCTTCCCCTCTCTTTTTGTCGCCCCGTCTCATTCCCTCTGTTCACTTTTCTCTCTCCGTCTTCCCCCCGTTTCTCACCGTCTCCCGTCCCCCTTCGTCGCTCCTTTCACCGGGTCTCTACCCACCCCTAGCCTTCGTGTACCCCTACCCTTAGCCCTCTCTCGGTTCCCTGTTCCCCACAACGCGTCGCCTCGCGTCTCTGTAGCGTGCGTGAATCATGCATATCGATTTTCTTTCGTTTAGTACGCTGTTCGTTCGTTCGGCTCTCGCTCGTTCATTCTGCTCGGTAGTTGACGCCCGCCGACGCTGTCCCCCCACAGAAAAGCCCGGGGGCCGGGCAGACGACGAACCCCTTTTTCAAAATGCGCACGCTTGGTACCCGAACTCACAGATTGCGTAGCCCGAACTCGGACCCGAGTTTTGCGTTCAAAAGGTTACTGTAACCCGCCATAATCACCAGGCGACCCAAGACACTAGTTACACACCAAATTAGGGAGTTCAGTTTCCTGGTTTCATAGTTCATATAACTCTTCCAGTTGAACGTTTAAAAAATATAGCTTCGAAGGACTAATTAGTGTGATGGTTTGCAAGTTTAGAGAGACAATATTCTAAGATAGCGAACCCCCAAGACGATTGAACATTCAGTTATCTTATGCGTGGTGCGGGGGCAAAGCATCGTCGAATTAATTCTGTTCAATCTGATCCAAAACGATCTTACCGAGCCGTTCGAAACTAGCCTCAATCGAAGAGCTCCAAAATGCTTGAATCTGCTCCGGCTTCCCCCTTCCGAAGCCCTCAGAAATCCCCGCCCCCATCAAACCCTCTCTTGTCGAGTTTGACGGCTTTTTGCTCCGGCAAAATATCTCCCCGTACGAGGCTCAGAACAGCGATGAGACGTGTGTGCTCTTGTACCCTCGTCCTCCGCCTCGCTTTGCCCCCTTCGCTTCTTTTTACTTAATGTCCCGTTCTCTCTCTCTCTCTCTCTCTCTCTCTCTCTCTCCTCCCCCCTAATCTTGCACCACTCTTCGGCCAACCACGGTAATAAACCCCTTTTGTTTTTGTCCGCTCTGTTCGTGTCCCCATGTCCCTTCTTCCTTGTTGTCCTGTGCCCCCCACCCCCACTTTTCGTTGCTTTTTATCGGTGGCGCGCGCGGTGCGTCCAACCAATTCGGAGCAATTATCGTTTTTTTCTCTGCTTTTTTTTTTCTTTTTTTAAACGTTTCACCGCTGTTGGCCATTGGTGTGCAGCAAGTCTTGCAGCCCGGGCTCCGGTCGGCATTGGCCCCCCTGAAGAACTGGAGGACTTCCGCTCTTGTTCGCGGCCGAATGTATGTTCTTTATAATTCTTTCTTTTTCTCTGAAGCAAAAGGAACTATTGTCGACTCTAATTGTAAAGAAATGAATGACCAGAGGGGTCAGGGGAGCGGGGCAAAGTTATAACGGGAATAGACAATGGATTTTATAAACAATTGCTTTAATAAGTAAATGTGATAGATATGGCGCTTCAACACGATAGAAATAACTTTATGTACAATCCGTACATTTACAACAATTTTACACGGTCCGTTAGAGACAATGATAAATTAATTACATACGAGCTTGTGTGTGTATGTATATATGTATAGTATAGCTAGGCGTACACAGTTACGTATACATATATACATATGTATATTGAGATTCGTACAATGCTGCGAATAAATAAATAGTCGCCACGCGAGAATGGCACAAATGTATCCCGACGACGAATTAAGTATAGGATAAGTGTTGCCGCCTCCTAGCGCGTGTACATACAGCGAGGGATCGTCCCAGAAGTTAAATGATCAAGTACATTAGTGAAATGCGAATGGAATGCTTAGTTCTTAAAAAGATGTTCCCTACGAGGTAATCGCGAGAGGTCGTTTATCACGTTGTCCTACGTAATATCGAAAGAAATTATTTGGCCACTGAATTTATAGCTTGGCCCCGAGCGAACTTGAAACTTGTGGGAGAGGTGCTATCTAACATTGAACAATTTCAACGGACGCTTCCGTGAAGAACCGTTCGGTAGAATCAAGAAATCATCGACGCTAATTGTGTATATCAATGTCCACCTCGGTATCGTAGCTTGTGCACATATACTACGGACCTCAACTCCGCTCGGTAGCGCTATATTGCTTTCTTACTTATCATCGAATATACATGTTTTGCATGTAGAAATTATAGTAAGGTGTCGCCGCGAAAGTCTACAACTTTCATTTTGTTCCCAGTTAAATTATCGTGTTCTTCTTTCTGCTATATACGCCAGTATGTCAAAGTTATATCATAGCGATCTTTGACAATCGACAGAGGGAGAAAGAGAACACTGTACAGAGAGATATATTGTACATAGTATTTCCTGCCTATAAACACGATCCATCCCCCACTATTAATGGGACTTATGGCCTACGGTAGGCGGGACTCACTTCAGTCTAGCCAATGGCGAGACAGTGGGAACAAAACGGCGCCGCACTGTTCTCTATAATCGCGTTGCCAGTCTGGAGCGGTGTACTTATAAGGAGGTAACAATATGTACTTCGAACAAAGCTGCATAATTTACAAATCTTGTAGATATAAATTAACCTGTTAACCGGGAAAGACATGTAGGTACGTATGTGTGTATGCGGGTATGTTGTCAGATCTCCGAATCTTGTTGTTTATTATTTGCTATTGAATTGCTTGATCATTCGCCCGGTTAACGAGGTGAACAGGTGCGACGTGTATAGAAGTGTCTACCTTGAGATAGTTACGAGATTCTTTGACCGTAATAAGAGAATGTTCACGATGACGATCTCTATCCGTAAGAGTAGCTTATTCTCGACGTTAAGATTTCTTCGTGTGCACTCTGTTTTGCACCCTAGGCGAAACCGCGTACAGCTTCCGAAAAATATCTAGAAGATTGTTCTCTGGAAATAGCGTTTCGACGATCCCCTCCAGAAGCACGTACAACAGCCTTCTGTTCAGCACCGGTCGCTGAAACAATTCGAACACCCTTAGAAGACCGCGCCTAGTCGTCTCGCTACCTATGATATGTTTCAGCTCGTCGGATAAACAAGACAGCAGAGCGATCTTCGCGGCTACCCTGGTCCTATCCTTAGTCTCGGAGTCGCGGGGTGGTTTTTTCTCTGCCTTAACGCCGTTGGGCCAGAAGCTATTCCTACAAGAACACACAATGCAGTCATTAAACTATCCTCTAGAGTAGATCATTTTAACGCGACTACTCTGCTTACTTGAACAACTTCAAATACCCTGCGACTTTGGCTGGACTAGTTAACACGGAGACGTACTCCACTATCCGCCGATTCACTATGTCTCCAAACATAGTGCGAATGATCTGTCTCAGCAGAGTGACGATTCGTCGTCTGAGCCATTGATTTCTCACCTTCAGATCGAAGATCTCATCCATCAGCAGCAACATTATACGCAACGGAATATTGTCGTCGGTCTGGATAGCAAAATAGATGATTAACAGGGCAGTCTGCTTCTGGATAGTCACCTGATATTTCTTGTGGTACCTCTGTGTCGAGAACAGAGCCAACTTTGGTGCTCTCGTAGAAACCGCTAGGCTTTTTCGGGTTGCCAAAGAATTTACTGATATTGTCCATTACACCGTCTACCGTATTCAACATGTTATCCGGCATGGTCTTTACTGCCTGGGTCACGGTCTTCATGGACGTCTTCAGAGGGTTCATCAGACTGTCTATCTGCATTAAAGAAATCATTGAGGGCTTTGCTTCATCTTCTGAAAATCAGTACCTACCGTTCGAGATATCTGACCGCCGGTCACCCCTTTATCGTAGTCCCCCTGCTCCAGGAAGTTCAACAACAGATTCTGAAGTCCCATGTGACCGTCGACTATCGCTGGCTTGGTCAACTGATGCAGCCAAGCGTTCAGCATCAGCATCCGTCTCTCGAGAACCGTCCTCTCCATATTGTGAAACGCTTTCTTCGCCGGGAAAGGTATCTTGGCTAGATCGTAGTACTTCTCCTTGATCTTCTGGTATAAGTCGTGGAAATCTGAGTACCTTCTGTAGATATGCCACTTCTCTTGGTACCCTGAATCGTAGCTCTTGGTCACAGCTACCGCGTAGATGCCATAAGTTTTCCCACGATCGTTCACGATTCCAGTTTCTATGATCCTGGCAGTGATTTCGAATCGACCTTGCTGCAGCTTCTTGATCGCGTTCCGATCGTAGGTGTTCTCATCGAGCTTAACAAATTGATCCGCGTTCGACTCGATGAAGAAGGTGAACAGATCCTTGTCCTCGGATTTCGGGGCTCTGACGCCGCTAATCTCCGCATCAACTTCATCCAGTGGTCTAGCCTCGTTCGCTTCCGCCATGCTGACCAAACTAGTCGTCGAACCAGATTTGCCGCCGCTGAAGTCAGTCTTCGTCTCTTCAGACTTGTACATCTCCGACATTTCGTCCAGGGTCTCCAGTTCGTTGTTCGTGCTCGACAAACTGATACTATCCAGAGACTTTGAATCCTCCTCCGAGGTTGGATCCTTCAACAAATCCAGCTCAGCGAGAAGCTTAACGTACGCCATCGACCTCTTGAAACCCGGTAGAAATCGATCCTCGTTCCTCAGCTTTTCGTAGCAGCAAAGCCTCAGCTCATCGAACCAGGTCTCCTTCACAAACTCTGTTCGAATTCTGTGCAACAGCATCTTCACCAACCCATCTTCCAGCTGCAACTTCGGCGATGCTTTGTCGCTAAGGTATTGTTGATAGATCTTCGTAGCAGCCTCCTTCAGGTTCTCCAAGTCAATGTTCTTCCGTCTCGTTGCACCTGTGAAACTGGAACCCGCCTGTTGAGCTGCATGCAACTTCTGCAACTCTATGTCGGATATCTGCTGTTCGGCGGACACCCTCCAGCCGTAAATGTTCAAATAGAAATACAAGTATGATTCTGCGTTTATAGAAGTCATGTAGTCGATGAAATAACTCAACGCAATGTTGTTCTTCAGCAATTCGTCCAACGGCAGGTTCACCAGTTTCTGACCCGGCATTAGCAGTCTGTTCCACTCTGGTCTGGCACCGATCCCGTCGCTTTCCGCCTCCAAACCTTCTTGCATCCCGATGATTCTCGTCTCTAACAGTTTCTTCACGTACAGTAAACTATTCAGTTGCTGCTTCACCGATAAATTATCCTCCCCGCCAGAATCCTTCGATCGCAGATGAGCGATCTCTTTGCAGACTATGTTCTTCGTCGCCGTTAGCTCATCCAGGCTATCGGTCACTCTGATCACCGTTAAAAACACATCGCTCGGTAATCCTGCCTCTTTAACGCACTGGAGACAAATAGAATAAATATAAAACAAAACTCTGAAAACACCTTTATCTAGCTTATCATATAGCTTATATATTATATATAATATATACACTATATTATATTATATATTAATATATTATATTATAATACATAAGTTATATTATAGCTTATATAGCTTATCATAGCTTATCATTATCTAGCTTATCATATACTCACCAGCCATATACACGCCTGATTAATGTAATCAGGGTCAGAGAATAAATCCAAGAGCGGTCTAATAATCACGTTTACCAACAACTCTCTTAATATAAACCTGACGGTGAGGCAATCAAAGTCACCCTTTGGTAATACCAAGTACAAGAGGATCTCGGATATCTCCCCCAGGAACTCCAACTCCTGGGTGGTGTTGGTGCTCACAAGGTCCCTACAAATTAAGTTCTTCTCCATCTGTACTTCCAGGTCAAAGAAGATCTTTTCAAGAGATTCATCCTCCTTCTCCTCATCGGTCTCTATCGGCTCCGTGAGGGACGATAAGTTTGGGATATAGAACTTAGACTGCGAATACCAGGACACGTCCGTCTCGCTTTTGTTTCTCCTGTGGGTTGGTGTTCTCTTCGGAGTCCCGCCCGACGTGCTGGAGCTCGCGCTACCTTTTTGTAGCTTCCTGGTTCGTACATGCTTCATCCTCGCCCTCGCCTGTCGGTACAACCTCACGTGAGAGGCTGCATCGTCGACGAGGCGAGTTGTTAAGTAAGGTATCCAGTCGACGCCTTTCACTCTGTATCCAAGCAAAGAGATTTTTAAAAGAACAGTTGGATATACTTGCAATTCAACGTTGCCTGAGGTACACACCGATTGGCGATATTGATGGCTATCTTTTGAGCAGTGTCCCGGACAGAGCATATGAACTCCTCGTCGTCGGTGATTACGCTGTACCATGGTTTCACGTAATCTCTGATCACGAAATCTAATATTTCCTGTATAAAGGAAATTTCGAATCGCTAAGTTACTATGACACAAATAGAATGTAATGCTAATGATATTGTTCGCGATCGAGTATGTACTTGCAGGGAGTCGTCGATGATACGGCTACCGGTGATTCTTTTATCTAATGTTAAGTTCAACTTGTCCTTCGATAGTTCTAGGATATACTGCAACACGTAACAATGATTACACAAGGCACGACTTATCTATAGAGGGGATATTTTTACCTGCCGAAACTTTTCAGTCTTCTTGTTTAAATCTTCCCTTTCAGAGGCGATCACTTCGTCAAGGTTTGGGCCATAGGTTCTATATACGCATGTAACGATTCTATAATAACAAGTGCACGAATACATAGTAATTGAACAACTCCCAACACGAAGGTAACAGGCATGGATATATTTGATATCGTACCCTAAAATTAAGGCTAGCAGGCAAATGGACAGCTTAGCGATTATACCAATACCGATCAGATATACAAGCAGAGCTGTCGCAACTCCAAGAAGTCCGTACAGTGGAACATTCATCTGTAAAAAAATTAAATGCATTTTAAATTAAGAAAAAGACAAAGACTAAATTAAGAACAAAATAGAATGGATCGAACACTCCTTTGCCAAGATACAACCACGGAGGAATACGTTACTGAAAAATTCGTATACGAGGTTCCTTATCGATCATAGTAAATCATACGAATTTAATACTCCCGTGTTATCATCAAATAGGTGTTTCAGAATGAACAGCAACGTTTCATAGAACAAGAATACCCTTTAACGACTGTCACGATGACGTACGGGCCGAACACCGACGATGGCTGAAAACCGTCTTGGCAAACATCTTTCGCAACAGCAAAAAGAACAACAACTCAGCGTAAACGTGATAATCCGTGGTAATTAAACTGCGTAATTTTCGCACGTAAAATAAGTGCGTGCTCCAATTAGAATTTTGCGCACAATTTAGAGGATAGAAAGGAAAGTGTCAAAGTGCAATGCTGCGTACGTGTGCTGTCTGCTGCACAGATGTCAAAAATTGCATTCACACACCCACCTTTGAATTCTCGGACAAACAGCTGCGCATGTAGCTACACACATATTGCGAGTCTCGTGTACTACGGTTCGTCGACACGAGCTGGTCAGCTGAACGGCAACAGTTTATTTACATGTTTGCAGGGAATCATTAGTTCATCGAATAGGTCTGGCGACATGTCTGGTTGATTCCGTGTGTGGATGCTAGAGGCCGTCTCTCTCTTCTCGATTCATGAAAATTATTTTAGTAATGTCAAAACTTGAGCAAGGCAAAATTACTGTATCAAGGGGAACATAATCTTAGATAATTGTACCTGTGTCTGTAAACTTTGTTGAATATCTTTAAAATAAAAAAGTATTCTCTCTTTTCAAATTCGAATAATCCTTGCAGTTTTGTCAATAAGACAGACCGTATATTCCGACACTGTTATTACGCCATTCGTCGCAGCGGCAAAACGTTCAAACTGTTAACCAAATTACCGACAGGTCGATAAATGTCTTGAAGTTGACTGCCAGCGCCATCTGTCGGCAAATAGTAAGACTTCTTGGTCGGTATTTGGCTAACAGTTTGAGCGTTTTGCCGCTGCATTGGAGTGGCGCTATTCGGCTGTTTAGGAGCAGCAGAAAATTCGTGCCGGGACTTACTTGGCTTCTTATGCAAAATGCGGCACGAATCATTTGTTCCAAAATTCGATGTCAGACATAAAACTGAAAATAATTTGTAATTAATTAAACTAATGCAAAACCTAATCAAAAACTATCATTCCATGTTGCCAAAGATCCATTCTNAAATCTTCCCTTTCAGAGGCGATCACTTCGTCAAGGTTTGGGCCATAGGTTCTATATACGCATGTAACGATTCTATAATAACAAGTGCACGAATACATAGTAATTGAACAACTCCCAACACGAAGGTAACAGGCATGGATATATTTGATATCGTACCCTAAAATTAAGGCTAGCAGGCAAATGGACAGCTTAGCGATTATACCAATACCGATCAGATATACAAGCAGAGCTGTCGCAACTCCAAGAAGTCCGTACAGTGGAACATTCATCTGTAAAAAAATTAAATGCATTTTAAATTAAGAAAAAGACAAAGACTAAATTAAGAACAAAATAGAATGGATCGAACACTCCTTTGCCAAGATACAACCACGGAGGAATACGTTACTGAAAAATTCGTATACGAGGTTCCTTATCGATCATAGTAAATCATACGAATTTAATACTCCCGTGTTATCATCAAATAGGTGTTTCAGAATGAACAGCAACGTTTCATAGAACAAGAATACCCTTTAACGACTGTCACGATGACGTACGGGCCGAACACCGACGATGGCTGAAAACCGTCTTGGCAAACATCTTTCGCAACAGCAAAAAGAACAACAACTCAGCGTAAACGTGATAATCCGTGGTAATTAAACTGCGTAATTTTCGCACGTAAAATAAGTGCGTGCTCCAATTAGAATTTTGCGCACAATTTAGAGGATAGAAAGGAAAGTGTCAAAGTGCAATGCTGCGTACGTGTGCTGTCTGCTGCACAGATGTCAAAAATTGCATTCACACACCCACCTTTGAATTCTCGGACAAACAGCTGCGCATGTAGCTACACACATATTGCGAGTCTCGTGTACTACGGTTCGTCGACACGAGCTGGTCAGCTGAACGGCAACAGTTTATTTACATGTTTGCAGGGAATCATTAGTTCATCGAATAGGTCTGGCGACATGTCTGGTTGATTCCGTGTGTGGATGCTAGAGGCCGTCTCTCTCTTCTCGATTCATGAAAATTATTTTAGTAATGTCAAAACTTGAGCAAGGCAAAATTACTGTATCAAGGGGAACATAATCTTAGATAATTGTACCTGTGTCTGTAAACTTTGTTGAATATCTTTAAAATAAAAAAGTATTCTCTCTTTTCAAATTCGAATAATCCTTGCAGTTTTGTCAATAAGACAGACCGTATATTCCGACACTGTTATTACGCCATTCGTCGCAGCGGCAAAACGTTCAAACTGTTAACCAAATTACCGACAGGTCGATAAATGTCTTGAAGTTGACTGCCAGCGCCATCTGTCGGCAAATAGTAAGACTTCTTGGTCGGTATTTGGCTAACAGTTTGAGCGTTTTGCCGCTGCATTGGAGTGGCGCTATTCGGCTGTTTAGGAGCAGCAGAAAATTCGTGCCGGGACTTACTTGGCTTCTTATGCAAAATGCGGCACGAATCATTTGTTCCAAAATTCGATGTCAGACATAAAACTGAAAATAATTTGTAATTAATTAAACTAATGCAAAACCTAATCAAAAACTATCATTCCATGTTGCCAAAGATCCATTCTATATTTGTCAATAGCAAATATTTATAAATCTTTCCTGCTTAATGAGTTATCAATCATTTTTTCGAAGAATACATACTTCTTTCTCTGTCCGTAATATATAAAACAAGGAGGATGCGTCTGTGTAACAAGGACGGATACAGACGTGCTATCATGCTACGTTTCCGAAAAACGTTAATAACTAATTAATTCGACATTGAATCTATACAAAATTGAACTACTTTCTGAATCCAATTTATATATTCTCACGTTTTAATAAATGTACTTAATTTTTGGATTGTAGAAAATGAAAATATCTCAGACAACGTATATTCAAATTCATAAATTTTATTAAAAGTCTCTTCAAAGAGACTTGTTCTTACACTTTCCACATATTTTCTATCTCAAATATATGTAATCTTAAAATATTCTAGTATGAATATTCTTTCGACAATTTTTGTTTCATTTTATAATAACGCAACTTCGCAGTTCGATACACTTGCTTAAAATACATACAATACATTGTAAAAGCTTGCTTCTAACAACATACACATTCGCAATACTTAAAATATTTAATAGAGGAAGAGAGAATGTGAGAGAACAATACTGAGATTAAAGAAATTGACATAGGCCTAATGTGAGGATTAAGATGCTGTTTATAGTTAATAATAGGCAAAGATATCGACCCGTGATCGGCACTCTAAAGAGTCTGGCACACATTTTCAGCGACGATGTGTACAGAAGCAGAGTATCTAAATCTTCGCCCGGTGTGCACTGATAAACGAAGGGTCGAATTCGCACTTCGTGTCCAATATTTTGAATGATTGAACAGGCAGTAGTCAAACGCGCTGCCTAGAAGAAAACATACCAATCGATTAACTGACCATTAGCTTTGTAAATATACCATTCACTCGTACCTGAATAAACGGAGCCAGCGATATTAAAATCCAAAGGAGAACATTGAGTATACTAATCCAAGTGACAGGATTATGTTGCGGGTTGCTGTTATCGTATCGAAGCAACCATATTATTCCTGCCGCGGCCCACGATAAATTTACAACTGTGTAAATGCACACGGCTGGGCCCAATTCGTCGTTGAAATATTTCAACAGTTTCTTGAACTCGCAAATTTCCTGTAAGGAAACTTCGATAAATTTTCAATTATTCAACAGCTGCGAATATAATCGCGCATAGGCGTCAGTAACTATTTCTAACGAACCCGCATCCAATCGATGGCGGGTAAAGTATGATGAAGCAGCTTGCCACGAAGAAAGTACAGATGCGCGATCAGAAGTTGTCCTTGTAAACAATAGCTAGTTATAATTGTTCCCTGGACCATATCGTGCCACAGCGTGCACACGATTAAAAATATTTTCAGTGTTATGTTCACTTGATGCGGGCTGTGAAAAATAATTAGCATGTAATTATGCAAGTATGTTAAATATTAAAGTGTAAGAAGCCGCGAGAATTACCTGTGGTCCAACCACTGAAACACAATGTTGCCCTGCGCCATTAAAATGTTTACCGTGATCAATGCGGTAATTATCCAAACGACGCTTAGCGCTATAAACAACCATAATATTCGAACGAGTCTCCTTTGGTTTCCACGATTTACAGGATTCGAGGAGAGAAGGAACGCTCTCTCCATCAAATTTTGAAGCTGTTCGTTTTCTCGGATACGAAACAGATACACGGTGTACAAGTAAGCTAACAAATGTAGTACACTGGGAACGAAATAGCTGAACGTAATGTTGCCGAAGCAATGAATTTCTTCTACTTGTTCCGCATCTGTGTCCGATGGTATCTCGAGTTCTAGCAGCGCGGTCTTGTAACAAAATCCACGGTCTCTTCTACAAGCGCAAATATATTTGATTAAAATGACATTATCAAAAGCAACGCGAGATTTACACGTTACCTGAAGCAGGCCATGTATTGTAAAATATATCCAATGCACATGAATATCGTGACTTGGAAAGTGTGAAGATTTACAAGAATACAATAACGCGAGCAACGATCCGAGTCGTCGGTACTTATTGGCCTCAAGCCCATCACTCCCAATAATCTCAGATACGGTCTCAGTATCTTGTGTTTGCAATAATGAAGTACCGCGGATGTACTCAGCATCTCGAAATCTGGCATCTCGGTGATTTCTCCCACCTACAATTTAGTCAAAGTTAGTCTCGCCACGCTTATTTATCCGAATACGTATTTATACGCTGCTTGAGTCAGTGGAAATATTATGTAAAAATTGCGATAACGAAATCAAAATGTAACGCGCAGATTTAAGAGAGTACAATCCCAATTGTTTTTAACTTTACATGCCCATACACGTTTTCTTACTTCTGTGCTTTGTATTTGCAAGTCTGATAATCCAGATGGTGTAGATTCCTGAGTAATCTCCTCGTGATTCTGTTGAGGTGGATCCTTCCCATTTTTTGACTCATTGTTCGAACCCTGTAAAAAATAACACAATCCTTTAGCAAGTAATTTTTCCTCGTTGATTCGGAGCTACCGCTTATTTTCGCGGTATCTCGAACAGGTAGATTTTTCACGTTGCACTGAAAACGAATGGAGATGGTAAGCCATCGTGGAACCACCGAATTTTCAAAGCGATTCCAATGTGGCACTGATAGACCTTTGGAATCAAAATAAACAGTAACGGTCACTAACTGAAATTATCACGCGTTTCGCTGTATTTGTATACATCAATTAAGTATTCGTTATCGAGGTATCTGTAGTTACGCAATTAGTATTATCTAGGTGGTAAAAAGGGTGCGATGATCGATGAACAATTAAAATATCGTTAGACTCACCAATGTCATTTTTCCCGACAGCCGAGTACAATGCTTTTGAACTTGAAAAGAAAACATCGGCATCTTGTACGTGATTCACCCTAACGTATGAATTCAAATTATATCAGCCTTTTGAGATGACACTTCACCTCTGTCAAGATATACACATACATTGCTCCGAAACGAATTATTATATTTACGGTGAAAGTGGCTTCTAATACAGGATATTGGGGAAATAGGGGAGGTCGTTCTTCGTTTCATTTCCTATGCTACGAAGTGGACGAACAAAATAGAATTGGTTTGTAAAAATAATAGTTTACTGGATAAAACGAAGAATAAAAAACAAAAGATCGGTGTAATAAATATTAAAATCTCCTTCTCTTGTTCAGATTTCCAGCTGGTCTCAGAAGATGCTTGTGCCCTTTCTCGTGCCGTTTCACTTGGAGTTTCGCCCGTCCGGTTGGTTTTTTCTAAGAAAAAAATACGCATTCGTACAGGGAAGATAAGAAACACGTGATAAAGCCATATAATCAAGTGAACAATACCTTTTCTACACGGAAAGTCATTTCTCTGTTACCACGAGAACCAGAAAATTTAACATCACGGAATTCTTGACCCCTCAGTCGGTCTCCCAGAGTGGCCCTACAAAAATACGAACATGAGAGACTCTTGTCTACCGTTGCTCTATTACGATTTGGGTAGACGTACTTGTTTCGCTTGTTTGCGATCGGCTTGGCGTCTTTAAACTGTACATGATCTTTAATTTCATAAAGTCGAGAACGATCCTCGGTAGTTTCATCATCGTTCCTGGCGTTTTCCTCGCTTTCTTCCTTTCTCCGTATCAATCGATAATTCTTTTTAACCTCTTTCACCCATTGTCTCTCGTCCTCCGAACTACTATCGTCGTGAATGAAACTTTCGTCTGAACTCTGTTGTAGATCATTCTCCGTTTCGAGTTCCATTTGCCTGTTCCTCGATTCTTCCTCGGCCAATTGAGCCTTCAGTTTCTTCGCTTTGGTCTTGTCAAGGCGAGAGATAACAGGATTCAATAGTGTATACTCTTCCGAATTTGTATCCACTTGGAAGTCGGGATTGCTGAACAATGCTTTAAAACGATCGTCCTTCAAAATGTTGGACGCGTTGTTCTTCTTCTTCTTTGCATTCGCCTCGTCGTCCATTAGCTTCAGAGCAAGATCTTTGTTCACGCTCGGCATCTTTTGAATCTGCGAACAGATAACAATGGTAAATGTGGTATAAGGCGGAACAATAGAACATGCCAATAGTACCTGTACTCTGCTGCCACAAGTTTCCTGTATTTTTTGTTGAATTCTTCGCTTCTTGTATTCCTCGAACTCGAAAGGTTTCATTACGTCTCTGGCTTTCTTGTACAGTCGAATATCGATAAAGTAGCCGTGCATATAGGCCCGGAGCAAATTGGTACCCTTCAAGTGCAACAATCCCAGCTCGTCCAATTCTTTCTCGGTAACAAATTTGTAGTCGTCATAGATAGTCTCGTAATTCAATTCTTCCATCTCCTCTGTCAGATTGTCCAAGAAGCTACACCAGTAAGGAGCTGGTCCAAGCGATGGGATATAATACGTCTGCATTTTTGGATCTTCGTTAGCAAGCAAAAGCATCCCAGTTTTCGGCACCACGCACATATCGTTGAAATCGTGTTTCCCCTCGATCGATGTGTATAATTTACCCTAAGTATGGAGAAGTTCAAATTCTAGTTTCTTTTATCTGCTCTATCGTTAAGCATCATCTACTTACGCTATTTTTTTCCCATATTTTCACAATCGAATTGTCCATAGAATAAACCAGATCCATTGTCTGATGAAATTCTATGTTCTTGATCGGTAAGCCATACATGTGATCCTTGGTTAAAAACGGCCTATTCGAGCGAATATCATATAATAATACCTGCCCAGAGGAAGTACCTACACCTAAAGTTAATCCACCTTGAAACTTCAAGCTGGTAATTGCAGATACAGTCTGCAGTCTATAAAACAATGGAACAAAATATTTTACATGTAGCCGTAATTTGCTAGCCAATTATAAACTGTCTTACCTATTGTCTTGCTCGAGACAGTACAGAGCACAATCCAAGGTGGCTACTTTGCTTTTTGTTCTTGGATCCCATGCCTCGATCAATCCCTCTTGAGTTCCGACAAGAACAAGTTGATGTACCGGATTTATTTCACATTTATTTATGGACGGCGCACTTGTAGAGAAGGACTGTAGAAATTGTCCTCTCTCCAGATTTATTCGATAAATGTCCGAACTGCGGCAAAATGTACATTAGCAAGAGGAAGTACATTACTACATTAGTAAAAGAAAACAAAACACAAACCTGTCTCCAACGACGAAAAGATCGCACAGAGGATAATGGTATTTCATGTCTCTTCCAAACCTTGGTATCCTCAGCTTATAATACTTGCCGTGAGCGACATGGAACTCTATAGTTCGGTCGCATTGCAGAAACACCATCTGAAATGTACAATGTAGAGTTGTAAGCGTTGTTACGGCTATAGAAAAGAAAATATATGGTAAAACAAACACGAATACCTTACTATAATCGTCTGAAAGTATATCGAAAGCTACAACCTCCGAATCGAAACATCTCTCGAATTTTAAAGATAAATTTTGTACGTCGAAGCATTTCACGCGTGGCTTATATATTCCTGTTGCCAAAATGTATTGTCCATCTTTCGTTACGTTGATGCATGTACTGACTCCGGGCATATCGAAATCCTGGATAAGCTCGATGCGTCGTCGTATATCTGCCGAAATATTGATTTATTGAAATCATTCGTAAATCCCGTAGAGAGATGCGTTGTCCAGCGAGATTACTTACCGACATTTTTCTTTAACAGTTGTCGCCTTTTCCGTTCGGTCAACCACTGTCGGGGTAATAAAAAGCGACAAGAATTAGAGGAAAAACTCTTTGGAAAAATCGAAGCGATAATAATAATAATAACAATAATAATACTAATAGTAATACTAATAGTAATAATAATAGTAATAATAATAATAATAATAATAATAATAGGAAAGAAACGTGATAGATAAAGGTTTACCTCCGGAAGAGACTTCCCAGCGCTCAGGTTATAGATTTTCACATTGTTTGGGCAGGAGACCTGCATCGTGATCAAGAATGTGATTTCTAGTACGGATCACTTTAAAGCGACTGTTAATAAGAGAGCACTATCGTAATATGAATATAACATAATACGCATAATGGAGCACTATCGCGATATGAATATAACATAATACGTATAATGGAACACCATCGTAACAAGAAACAGTTTACATGCGTTGCGATTCGCACGTGTTTCTATTGTACACATTAGAGAATTTTTGTCCCTATCGGCAGACGCGTCGTCGTATATAAATTCGTAAACACGAAAGTCACTAGAAAAAACGTTTTCTAGTTTTCTAGAAAACGTTATCTAGAAAAAAATTCTAATGCATTTCGGCAACTCGTGGCTTAGAGTTGCAAATGTATTTAATCGCTTAAAAATAAATAGCTTATTATTCAGGCAAAAATATGCGCATATACAAATATGCAGTACGTATGGGGCGATGATGTAGCATTTTTAAAGTCGACCGAATGGAAAAGTAAAGAATATAGGGGTGTTGAAGAGTGATAGAAATGGAAGCAAAAAGAGAAAGATAAAACAACAAAAGAAATCGAGGCTGAATTGCATTTGTACATTGTATTCTATTGTACGAAATTGCAAAAAGAAATCTTATAGAAAGGAAACTCTGATGTTTCTCGAAGAATCAATCTTTAATGCGACAGTAAGATCATCTTAAATATTACCCTAGAACATTGCGAGCCTGCTGCGCACGCGCGTCCAAGTTCGAATACTATGAACGTAGCTTCATAGCTACTTGCGCGATCTATTACAAACTCCACAAACGACCTAATATCTTCACGAAATAGGTATAATACTTATTTCTTAGCGTAAGCGATGCGAAAATGAAATAATATTTCCCGTATATATTATCGAGCAACGCTGTCTATCACACTACAATTCAAATATTGCCTCGTTCGTCGATGTTTCCAATTTCCTCCACGCAGTTACTTCGTCTTTTCTCCGCCAGATGGCCGGTGCAAGGAACGAACAATTATCGTCCTCCGACGGAGACAGCTACATTTTGTTATAGATATGATATTTTGGGATAACGAGAATCAAAGATTCCGGCAGGAGTTTCGTTCCTGCGAGGATCCTGTTCTCGCTTTCGGCATACAGCCAGGACGATGCGAATTCGAAGGATGGAAAGAAAACGTCGCGGAGGTTGGCAGTACTGATTGGTAGTCAATTACCGAGCGCTGGCATCGAAAGTGGGGGGACGCGATCGCTGGCAGTGGCAGCGGCAGCGGCACTGGTTACCGGGGTTTTCAGGGGGGCAGAGAGGCGAAACTTGGGTCGCAGAGGGGCCAAGAGGGGCTGCGAATAACCACGAAGGGATAAGGAGGGGTAAAAGAGAAGTGTGACCGGCGTTGAACGCATATAGGTAGTCGTGAGAGGAGTCAGTCGGTGACGGGTTGTGTCTCTAGTGCTGTAGTGAACAGTTGAGTCGAATCGCTTGTGTTCAAAAATGAGCTGGCAGGATTACGTTGACAAGCAGCTGCTCGCGTCTAGGTGTGTTACCCAAGCTGCGATCGCGGGACACGATGGCAATCTTTGGGCGAAGTCCGAAGGTTTTGAAGTGAGTAACCGCTCTCTCTCTCTGGACCCGCTAACGCTTCGGAGGCTTATTGCGGCCTATCGCGATTATTATTGCTATTATCGCGTTGCCGTCATCGTCGTCATCGTAGTTATCGTAGTTGTGGTGGTGGTGATGGTGGATGGTGGTGGTCGTCGTGGTTATCGCCGTATCCAGGAATAAAAGGAACACAGTAGCAAGTCGGAATAATCGTAGAGGAAAAGTCTAAACGCATCCTAGTCGTTTCAAGTCTCTCTCGCCACCTCTGGCCGTCCCTGGTTCTTTGTTGTTCGCTGTGGACCGGCGAACACCGCCGTGAAACATTTCTTTTCGTCGGGAATATACATGTGCACACACGCATTTCCATGTACATACGTACCGTGTACGGACACGGGCACGGACATGGACACGGATCCGTGGACGCGCGCGCGTGTGTGTGTGTGTGTGGCAGATCTTCGTACACCGAAAAATATCGGTTGATATTTCGAATTTCGTTCGAGAATAGGCGAAAAGAGTCGTCGCTCCGTGTAATCGGAACGCGTGGAACGAAAATGCAGTTGCGGATTAGCGGGGATCGAGAAATGGTTTTTCGCACGAGGCCACGAAAAGGACAAGCACGGCCGGTTAAATCGTGAAAAAAAAATGGTGCCACGTAGCCATTCGCGCGTCCCGATTTTCCCGAAACACCGATAAAATCGTCGGATTCGCGGCGAGAAACGGTTACGGGGATCGGAAAGCTCCCGGAAAGTTCCGCGTGTTGAACCTGAACCGGCGCACGATTCTGCCTCGTGCTGCCCTAAGCCGGCTAGACACGTAAATGCGAAGCATCGGAAAGGCTAAACGGGCAGATATATTTTTGACTCGACACCGGCACCGAGCCGACCGGCCGCGACGGCTTCTCTCGATCGGAAATTCTTCGGCGAAATTCTCTTCGCCGCCCAGATGTGTTCGCTAAGGAGCGGAGCAGGCCAGGCCGGACCGGACCGGACCGGACCAGCTCTTTCGTAGAAATTCTGCAGGCTCGATCGTGAAAACTTTTCGACCGGTATCACCGTGCTCGTCTCTCGAAAAATCCTCGGAACCGACTGATTTTCCCTCGAGCAGAACCGTCCGGGGGCGAAATTGGGTGTGGCAATACCGGCCGCAGAAAATTTTGTCTAGCCGAAGTTGAACGGTTTTGGACAAAGTTTAACATGGCTGCCTGCCGGGCACGTTGTCGCTCGTATTGCTTGTGCTGCAGGAAATGGTGGCTCCTCTCTCTGGTCTTTTCCACCGCGTTTGTATAATTCGCCGGTGCGTTTCTCAGGGCTGTGCTCCCTCCGTACGGGGAATATATATTATATTGGTAAATCCGTTTGCTACAATATTGCCGAGTATCGCCCGAGGACGATGACTCATTTCTTCGGCAGAGCGTTTTCCGTTATCGAAAGGGACGCGCAAAGACGCCTACGTACGCGCGTACGTAGGCTACGGCAGCAGGACGTGCATTTTTCGATCGTCAGGTTCGATTCTTTCTGCGAAAAAGCTCGCTGAACCACGACATATACGGCGCACACAGGAAAAAATACCGCATACGCGTATAGTACATGCTACGTTGCCGATAACATGCCTGAACTTCCCCGAAACCGAACGATCCTCGGCGGGGCTTTTCGGCCCTGATAATATACCAATCGAATTTTGTTTCGTCACTTGGTTTTCGCCGATCGGTGTACAGGCAATGTCGTTTAAAATTGCAAAACCGACACTTCCAGAAAGGTTCGGCGCGACCGGCGCGCCGTCCGTGCCCGTCGCCGCAAGCTTCCGCGAAACGTGTCCTGCCGAGTCGGTATATACTTGGGGGTCGGTAAAAATGTATGGAAAAACGTAACGATCGAACGTGTACCGATTACAAGATTCTCGACGGAATCGAAGGCGATCCTCGCGAAATCGATGAACAATTAATAATTACGAAAATCGCTGCGCATGGATTTCCTTAAAAAAACAACAACAAGAAAACACGGCGACTCGTTCGGAAAGCCTGTGTTCAGAGATATCGCGTCGATTATTCTCGAGGATCGATCGAAACGTGTTTCGTCTGCAAAAATAACGGAATCGACGAATCGAAAAGCTCGCGAATTCGTCGGCGAACGATACTCCGTGTCGCGCGAACGCTTTCCTTTCTGTTCGCGAATGCCAAAATGGCGAAGCCGGCCGGCTGGCCGTCACGGCCCTCCCATCTGTTTCTCGCGACAATGCCGGCCGGCTGGCAGCCTCGTGTGACGAGAAAATCGGGAGCAAGGGTTAGAGAGACGCGTTAACGCGGTTCGTTCGGATCGGTTCTGTCCCGAGTCCGAGAGCTTGATATTCCGAGCGCGCCGTACGCGGAATAGGCGAAGAGGGGCTCGCAAACGATTAGCTGGCCGCGGCAAAGGCCGGCTGATTCATCGTCGCGTTCGTCGTTGGCTAGTCAGGGCCGTTTTCAAAGCGGACTTCTCTGTCACGGCTCTCGCGCGTATACTTTGAAATTAGAGTGAGTCAGGGCTTCTGGCTCTCGGCCTTCGGCAACCGAAATTGGCGTTTCCCAGTAACATCGCTCGGTTTTCAACCGCGAAACGTTATCCGTCTCTTTTTCCCGGCTGTACAAAATTCCTCGGAATTCCGACCGCCAGGCAACGCTCCCGGTCTTTTTTCGTTTGTCCTTGGTGCGACCGGCGCCTCCTCGCGCCCCTCGCGACCCACAGCCCGGCGTGCACCGGCGCAAAGAGGGTCGCGGTCCTCCTAGGCGCGACTCTCGCGAAAAACGCGAGTTTCTTGGAAACTTTTCTATCGGATTTCATGGAACGCGGCCGCCCGCTTTATCGGATTATACGCCGCGTTTGGGAACATCGAGCCGGGCTGAGAAATTATTCCGCACGGAACGCGACCGTGTGGCCTGTGTTTGTCGAAAGGCGACACCGCCTCTTACGCTGCGAGTCCCGAGCAATAGGAGCGGTCGGATTCAGGTGTCCTCTTTCGAGAAACAGATAACGCGTGCACAGCCTCGGTTCGCCGGCCGGTTCCCGTCGGTTTTCTTTCTTTTTCCTTAACACGTTGAATGCCACGGGGGTCACCGGTGACCGGCGCTTAACTTGGCGGTGACGCCATCGGGGCCACCGGTGACCGGCGCGCCCGAATTGATAGAATTATATATAATTTCAAACAAACGTCAATATCTAAAATTTTGTGTTATTACCATCGTCGATTGCAAACAGCGACCACTGTCGCAATTAACATGTCAAACATGGTTATACACTGTAACTTATCTGTTGCAGATAATATTTCAACATTATATGTATCGCATAAAAGAAAATTCATCGTGGCGCCACGGACAATTTCTGTAAAACCGGCGTGGCGTTCAACGTGTTGAGAAAGAAAAGCTAATTTATTTCGATTTCCCAATTCACGACGAACGGCCCGAGACGGGCGCGTTCTCGACTTAGCGATATCGTCGCGAAATGTTTCTCCTGTAGCTGACCTTGTAGCCTTCTTTATCGTGATAATGAACGAGGGAAAACTCTCGCGGTTGCGCGCGATGTGTCCGCAGGTGAGTAAAGAGGAGCTGGCGAAATTGGTCCAGGGATTCGACGAGCAGGACATTCTGACGTCGTCAGGCGTTACCTTGGCCGGCAACAGGTACATTTATCTGTCGGGCACGGATCGGGTGATAAGGGCAAAACTCGGCAAGGTCGGCGTCCACTGCATGAAGACGTCGCAAGCCGTGGTCGTCTCCCTCTACGAAGACCCCATACAGCCACAGCAAGCCGCGTCGGTCGTCGAAAAGCTCGGCGACTACCTCATGGCCTGCGGCTATTAGGTTGGTATACTTCTAAACGCGGACGCGAATTCGAATGCAAACACGAACGCGAACGCGATTCCACGCACCGTCCCGCGATAACGAGAGCGATACGGGAGACCGTTTCTTCTTTCTCTGTCCATCCGGGCTGCGATCGAAACTGCTAGAGTCGTAGAGCCATCGGCGTGCGTATTCCTTATCGCTTTGCCGAGTGCCGCGTGAATCATTCGCGCTAGTAATATCGGTTGCTCCTTGCTCGGTATCGCCGAGCCGATGACTAATCTGCTGCCGGCACGGCAGCATAACCGAATCATCGATTCAATCTTTACGCGCTCCGAGCGTTCAACCTTTTAACTTGCACCACGATTTTTCGGCAAAATTGTGCAGTAGCCGCTGCACCGAGACCAGCGTGGACCTCGAACATTGAATCGACGAAAATCCGTTTACACGGTGCTATTTTTAGCTTAGCTCGTAGCTTTGTTGCGAGCTAATGTTACGACTGCTCTTGTAGGAAACGCTTGTACCAATCTCTTAGTCCAAGCGTACCTGTGACAGAAGTTGCCATAAAAGGTCTGAAAATAATAGGACTTGTCAGTTGCATTTAGGATTCGCTAGATTTGTACTCGCAACTTTTCTCAAAAAAAGGAGACGAACTAAGCGAACTAAGAAATTCAATCGTTTTCTGTAAGAGAGTCCCCACTTTAACCCTTTGACCGGCGTTGCCCAACGATCTCGGTAGTACGAAAGTCTTAAATGAAAAATCGCGAAATCCGTGTGCACGAAATATCGAACCCGTGGACGATGTAATCCGGAGGAGAATGAAATATAAATCGGGGTCACCGGTGACCCCGGGCGTGTACCGGTTAAAAGGGTTAAACTCGCGGCCGGTTTAGAAGACATTGTCCGGTGATGCACGTCGTCTGTCGGCGCTTTCTGTTTCAGTAACCTCTGGGACCCAACACACAAAATATCTAATATTAATATTAAACGATACGATCGATTATTTTACTGAACAGCGAATGGAATGCGTCATGCCGCACGAGTCGCGCCGGAACTGCCGCAAGCTTGCCGCGCAACACTCCGTGAGAAGCAACAACAGCAGCAACAACAACAGCAACAGCAAGAAACAAGCACCCTCGACAAACTGCAGAACAGCAATAACCCGGTTAGACCAGCAGCTACGGTTTCGACGGATGACACCTTGAGTCGTCGTTCTCTCCTTTCCGATTCGACGCGATTACTCAGGAAGAAAACGCGTGCAAGATCCACGAGCGATTCGGATCGGTGTGTCCGACACTTCGCCGCGACCCTGCGACCATGATCGTCGCGATCCCGCGACCACGATCGTCGCGCCCCGTTCTCTTTCCTACGTTTCCCGTTCCGCCTGGCGACGACGGGAGGATCGGCGAGCCGCTTTCTCCGGCCAATAGTCGGCGATGGAAAGCGAAAGCGGGACGAGGAGGACGAGGAGAACCGAGGGAGGAGGGCCGGGGGAAAAGAGGAGGCCGAAAGGAAAAGGATCGCCGGCGATAACGGGAACGGAGGAAACCGAATCGCGATTGAACGCGGTCACGCGCGCCCGCACAAAATACACGCGAGACCAACCGAACGACACGCGCGCACGCACACACACACACACACTCATGCGCGCGCGCACCTACACACATATACATGCATACAGGTATACACACAGAGAGGCATACAACATATAGGCACGTACGAAACAGGTACACACCGACCCACGCACGCACACGCACACGCACACGCGCGCGACAAAGAAGGCGAGAGAGAAGGAGGCTGTAACGCGGTGTAACGAGGCAGAGAAACGGTAGCGTCGTTGTTTTTCTATGTTCTTTTTCTTGTCTTTTTACACGGGCGAACGTTGGGGCTCGTCGACCGACTACACGTACGAAACAAAAAAAAAAATACGCGGATCACACACGCAAGCAAGCATGCATTAAACGTAAGACATAACAATAATAAGTAATAAACTATTGCGTTAGGTTTACAGTTTTTCTTTTTTTTTTGTAGCGAACGGATGGATGCGACAGAGAGAGAGAGAGAGAGAGAGAGAGAGATTGAGAAAGAGAGAGAATGAATGGGAGCAAGGAAGAGCGAGAGAACAGCCGATTGAGGGAGGAAGAGAGAGAGTCAGGGTTCGATAAAGGGCGCAAGTGTAGAGAGAGAGAGAGAGAGAGAGAGAGAGAGAGAGAGATGCGTATGTTTGAGAGCGCGATTGCGGGGGAGGCAGAAGATCGAGTGAAAATTGCGGGAAAATCGCGAGAAGATTCTACAGAGGCGTTCTAAGAACCGAGAGAGGTACAGGGAGAGGAAAGGGTTGGTGCGAGAGAGAGAGAGAGAGAGAGAGAGAGGGAGAGGAGTCGGTGTTGTTCGGAGAAGTGTGCGAGAGTGCGCGGTAGAGATACACTAAACGCCGACGACATAGAGGCACGACGATTAACGAGGCAGGCGAGCGTGCGGCAGCGGGTGAAACGGCACGGATTGGCCGCAGTCCTGGCCGCCTCCCCCCGAACCCCCCAACCCCCAAAATCGATATGGTCCTTTTAGCTATTTACTGTCTTTATTACTGCTATATGTAAGAGGAATAAAAAAGAACGGCGAAAAATGTGTCATAATGGCTGAGACTTTTATCGATAAAATAGAGAAAGAAAGAAAGAAAGAAGAGACGATGAAGAAGAAGAAGAAGAAAGCGGGAAGGGCGTGATAATAGGAGCGATGAAAGAGAGAGAGAGAGAGCGAGAGAGAGAGAGAGTCGAGAATGCTATGCATATACGTATATGACGAATATACGATACACATCCGTGCGTTCGTGTATACTTGAATGATTCGCGTGTGCGTGCGTGTACGTGTGCGTGTGCGGTGCGTGTGCACAGGCCGACAATATGTATGTAACCCGCGTTCGAAAACGAAAGGAGAAAATAAGAGTGGTCGGAGAAAATCGCGCGAAGCGTTTTCGCGAACGCTTTCCCACGGTTTTTATCTTCCCCCGGCGCGATAACGCGGTGTCGTCGTCGTCGTCCCGATTGCGCGGCGATCGATTCGAAATTCTACGGGGAGCAAGAAACGGTGTGTGGTGGCGAGTGCAGATTCGGAGCGGTCTCGTGCAGCTTCGATCATCTCTGTACGCAACAACATCGAGAGAGAGAGAGAGAGGGAGAGAGAGAGAGAGAGAGAGAGAGAGAGAGAGAGACACGTTTCACGGTTGCACGCGCACGATGCAACACACACGCAGACACGCGGCCAGCGCGTATACACGTACACACGCTCTGCTACACCGGCATACCGACACACACACATTGACATACGTACATAGGAATACAGTGACACGAACAGGATATACAGAAGAGGCACGGATAGGAATACGGAGGAGGCCACGTGCGTTCGCATACGTGCCGTGACACGTACATACACACACAGAGAGACACACATACACACACATAGAGAGAGAGAGAGAGACAGGAACAGATACACGCAGAACACGACACGATCCCGCTACCACTTATTATTACTGTAATACTACTGCTACTACTATTACTATAACTGGTTGGCCGTTGATTCGTCTGATGCCGGCCGGCAAACCTAAACTACTATGTAACGATTTTTATGGATAAAAGAAAGGAATAAACATTGACATAATAATTGTAATCGAAGGTGACTAATCATCGCACGCGTCATCTCATCCAAGTTACTCCGCATCATTCTCGCTTTTTAGGTGTCTACTTACTCCGTTCACGAGCTTCGTAACCGTTGTCTACCGTGCTCGTCGCGTGCTTGCTTCCTTTCTTCGGGAACCAGCGATCTCCCACGCCGCCGTTCCCCCGTCGTTTAGGTGTGCGAAAACAAAATTTATCGCGCGCGCGATTCTGCGTCGCCGTCGCCGCAGACTCGGGACGCGTCTAATCTGAACGGGAGAGCCAGCTCCCTCGGGAAAAACAAGCACCGACCGTGTATTTTCGCACGCCTAACCGTGTCCGGCCGACCCTGAAAAACAAGGACAAAAAGGAGAACCTGCGGATAATTTGGGAAACCGTCGAATTTTCAGGCTCAGCTTCTCGGCCCTCGGTCGAAGAACCCTCTCTCGAGCGCGCGAGAAAGAGACGACAGCGGACGTCTCCCACGCCGAGAACAACCGCGGCGGAGGAACTTGCTTGCCCTCTGATCGTCGAACGATCGTTAAAGATGCACGGGTACGCTTAAGGGTTGTGTAGTAATCGATGGACGAGGTTGCGAGAGGTTGCGGCGAGGAAACTCTGTCCGGGGGTCGACAGGGGAAAAGCGAGAGCTGCGCCGGCAAATCAAAAGGAAAACGAGTGAATGCGCGACCGAGTGAGAAAGAAAGAAAGAAAGAAAGAGAGTGAGACGGAACAGATGCGGCCGGGGTTAGGGGGGATGGGCAGCATATTTGCGTCGGTTGAAATAATTCGATGTAACATTGTAAGTGATCGTGAATAGAAGAATTTCATTTCGAAGCTACTCTTTTGCATAACGTCGACGGAATAAAGGCTCGCGAGACCGTACGAGCGGTAATGTTTAAGAGAACAATAAATTTGTATAAAGCGGTGGAAACCACGGTCTTTTTTGCTTTCCGCGGTTCCTGCTGAAAACACCATCGACCGGAAGTTGCGGTGGCGAACGATAAACGGCCGCCTCTTCCGTTTCCAGACGCGACACCGGTCTCAATTCCGGTCTCGATTCCGCTGGCGACTCTCCGATCGGCCACTTAGGTTGCAGCAACTATTATATTTCAGACGGCTCGGCAGGTCCCCGGGGGTCAGGAGTCACCGGAGGCAGGTCCCGGCGTGTACTCCAGGTGAGGGAGCGACGCGTTCCAAGGGACGGGGACGGTTCACTTACCTTGGCGGGATATCGGCTGCTCTGGGTACGCAAACACGTCTATTAATTTTCAATTGTCGTTTATTGTTAGAGTAAAACGTGAAATAAAGTTTTTTACAAAATTATCGAGAAGATTTACATAAAAATCGGTGTGTTGTCTCACTTGCTCGCGCCGAGCTCGCTCTAAGAAATGTTGCTCTCCTCTAAGGATAGCGAATGAAATGTTCGTCCGCGGGACTCTCTCTTACTCTCTCTCTCTCTCTCTTTTTCTCTCTCTCTCACTCTCGATTGTCTCCGAAGCACTTCCGGTAGCCGTTCGAGAGGCGATTGTCGCCGACGCCCCCGCAGGAATAGAAATGATCGACGCGTTAGCAAAGTCATGGCACACACCCGCGACACACGCACATACTTTTATGCGACTCCATTCTAAGCCGAGAGCCCGAGAGTTTCGACACCTGCGTGTGATCGTCCGACTCGCAGAGCTCGATTCGAACCACCCTTTATTTTTCCCGTCCGTTCACTCGTTTTTTTAGCTTCGTCTCTTTTTCTTCTGCTGTCTCTTCTTATTTTTCTTCTTCTTCTTCTTTTTCTTCTTCCTTCCTCCTCGTCGTCGTTCGTCATCGTCCTCCTTTAAACTGGTAAAGCTATCGATTTTGTACTAGAACCACTCCGCCGACCGGGAGTCGTTCGTTAAGTCGTTAAGTGTGATTATTACATACTCTTCTCTCCTCTACCCGTTAAATCGTACAACTATACACTAATCGTGCAAGGCTGCGCCCCAATTAGACGACTGCCGCGCGACCAAACCCGTCGTCGACCGTCGGTGTTCATTTACCGTGTGTGCGCGCGCGCGATCAAGTTCACGGTCGGTTTTTCAAGCCGACAAGATCTCGGGGACACAACCGGGATTGCGTAACAATTACACTCTCGATCTCGTTAGCTTCATTGTGCAAGACGGTCCGGCCGAACGAAGGACTCGAACCGGTTTCGATTTCGGGCACAGGCGCGGACCGACCGCGGACAAAACGATGATCGTGCGCGGACAATTTTCGGCTCGTTGGAAAGCCGAGGCTTCGATCTACAAGATTATGGTTAAATTTCAATCCGGGGTCAGGATCGTTTACGCGGAATACGCGCGCGTATTCCTGTTCCAGTCGAGCAGATTTTCGGAAATCTGTTATCCTCGTCCATTCGGTTTACTCTTCGGGCGTAAAAATCGTTTCTCCGTGGAAACGACTCCGCGGCTGGTCGCAAAGCAGAAACTTCGCTCTTCGAAAAGAGCCGAGGCTCGAGATCGTACGATTGCTCGTTACGAAATTACGGCAGTTCAAAAACATCGGGGCGATTCGCTGGACTATTTTTATAAATACTTTCTCGAAGCTGTTTGTTCACCGAAGCTGCTATTTTCCCCGTCGGAAGCGGACGAACGCTGTTGGAAATCGAAGTTCCCGTTTGCAAGAAAACACAGGGAGACGGTTCGCGCCCGCGAGCACAGATTAGGCTCGTTTCCCGTTCCGCCTGTTTAGGCGAACCGATCGATGATTCGGTCTGGATGCAGCGTCTAATTGCGACGCAGCCGAAGGGATTCTTGTCGCACGCGTGTCCGCTCGTCTCCACGATACAGATTCTCAGACAGCTGTTAGGCCAACGGCGTTAGAGCGACCGGTAGAAGCGATTAAAAAAATATGTTACATGGCCGACGAACGTCCGAGACGATACACCGTTGATTGTCGACAATATTCCCTTGGCCACGGTTGAAACGATTCTCTCTCTCTCTCTCCCTCTCCCGCTCTCTCTCTCTCTCTCTCTCCCTCTCTAAAGGCATCCTCTTTCATCCTCTCCTCTCTTACTTACGCGATAAAGACGCGCGCGAGAGCCCGCGATAAGTTGATTTTTCAACCACAAAGTTGATTTGTCCTCCCTCGCGCGGTTCGAACGTTTCGATAAGGCATACGGTTCTGCAAACTCTCCGACTCGATTTCGTAAGCTCTCTGTGTCGGTGTTTTGATCGATCGATCGTCTGGCCGCGGATGTCGCTCGATTGTTAACCCTTTGTCCGTGACCAAACTCGAAGACGCGAGCGACGCTCGCGCGGCGGACGTCGCAGGTGATTGGAAATCATTCGCCGGCATTCCCGATAGGTTCGTTGTCGCCGTATTTTTAATCAGATTTCAATGTTATCGTTCGATCAGCCCGGATAAAATTCGCGGAACAATGAAAGATGCCACGGTCGACCGCGGCTTTTCAGTTCCAGATTGATCGGGGAAGAAACTGGTTCGTGGAATTTTTATCGAAAGCCTATCAGCGAAGCTCTCAATTATTATATTAACAGAATTGAATATTAAATATATATATTAACAGGATATTAGTATATATATTAAATATATTAACGCTATATCAACGGAAATCGGAACGATTTTTCTCTGTATAATAATATATAAATAATAAACCCGAAATTATCGAACAGAATTATCTAATAACAAAAGCGAATTCTCCCTAATTGACGCTCGGATTGTGCACAAAAATAGGCAATTTGGGAAGGAGGGGATACGATTATTATATATATTTATAGTCACCAATTATCAGCAACTATAAACAATCGTATCTTCTCGCGAAATGAAATATGCGTCGGTTGTTTCCGGCCAAAGGGTTAAAGAGGACTCGATGGTCCTCGGGCTCGCAGAGAATCCGCGGCCCGATCGTCGGCGCTCCAACGACCGAGAAGGAACGCGATCGTTCGATCGATCGTCGCACAATGGGCTCGGGGGATCCAGAGAACGCGAATCTCGGTCGAACTGTAGTTTCGATCGAACCAGGATCGCGGAAAGAAAAAAATTGAAACGTGGCTGCGGCATCGGAAATCGATCCGAGCTCTTTTCAACCAAGCTGCGTTCGAAAGACGGCGGGGCACACCCCCGATTCAAAGTGCCACAGAATCGGTAAAAAAGATCGTAGACCAAAAATTCCGAGCTCGTTGCAAAGCCAAGACTTCGGTCTTCAGGCTCGCCTAGGTTCCAATCGAAGGCAAAATTTTGTACATTGTCGCGCGAACGTTCGAATTCCGTAAACGTTTCAAGCGACCATTTTTCGCTGTTCCGTTCGCATCTCGAGGGGGACATTTTTTTCCCGATAAAACGAATCGCGCCCGGTGAAAGTAGAAACTTCAGCGTTTGAAACGAGCCAGGATGCATCGTCGCGCGATCTTTTCGCACGAAGCGACAACGATTTAAAGGTCGAGCCTTTTTTTAGCGCCAGACTTCGAAGATGGCGGTAAAGTTCGAGGAACTGGAAAGAAAAAAAAGCGAGATCAAGATCGGTCTCTGGATCGGTTCGCCATCAGTGTGCGTCGATCGGGTCCGCAGGCTAGTTACTACGAAGGTGGTGCATTCAACTGGCATCGAGATTCAGTAGCATTAACCTTTATTGAACTACCTTTCACCTCTCACCCCCTCTCACCTTTCACCATTCACCTTTCACCTTCTTGCACCGGGTCGGTGTACCTTGTCAGGAAGGTGTTTACACGCACCTAGAGCGACGACGTTTAGCTCCCGCCGCGCTGATTGGAGCAGCTCGTGCTCCGGAAATGCCCATTCGAGTCGCCCTGTGATCCGGGAGACCGCCGCGAAACACGCGCGTCTCCGAAAACCCGTTCTACCCTTTTGTTCGTTCACGCGCAACGCTCGCGCTCCACGTTCCGCGTTCTCGCACGTTTTTTGTCGCTCCGCGTGGAAAACGTGCCGCTGCGCTCGTTGCAAATCGTTATTTACAGTCCCCTCCCGTGCTTTGTCTCGCCTCCACGAACAAAATCGTGGTCGAATTAGTCGGCGCGCCGACCGCGCGGTTATTACGCGTATCAAAATCTATCGTCCTCCGTTTCCGCCGAATAATTTCGTGCTCGCGAACGCTGCGCTGTTTCTCGCCCCCTTTTCTTCTCTCCGTTCGGGGCCGGGGCCCGTCTCCGGGGCCCTTCGAGCGGCCGTCGAACGACCGGAGACGGGGAGAACGCGCAAGGATCCGCCGGAGCGGTGCCCTTTCGCGCGCAAAAAGGACGAGAAGAGATGTTGTCGACGGCGTCTCGTTCGTCCGTTCGTTTCGCGCGATCCTCGACGTCGGCCGAACCCTTCCCCGTCTCGGATAGATCACGAGGAACGGATCATCCATAGCGAACGGATCGCGAGCGAGCGATCGAGCGATTATTGTACCTCCCTCCTCTCCTGTTTTTCGTCTCTTTTCGCCCACCGTCTTTCTTTCTTTTTTTTTGCTACGTTTTTCCATTTTCTTCTCTGTTTTTGTTCGTTACGTACACGGAATTATTATACTTGTGAACACACCTCGAGGCGGTCTTTGGCATTCAAGCGACTCTCCGTACGATCGACTTTCGTCCGAAATTTTCCCGAGAAAAACCGTACTACGTGTTTCGTTTCATCGTAACCGATCGCGATCGAATCGACAAAAATTATTCTAAATATAACCTTTGTAGTTTAGCGCCACCGTTCGTTTATATTATCAGCTATATAATCTCAATCATCTATATTATGTATATGTCATTATATACGTATTATTAATAATAATACCGATTATCAATAATAGTAAGTAATTCGTTAGTTAAATCGTAATAATAATTGTTACCACTTTGTAATAATGTTTCCTCTCCTCTTTGTTTTTATCCTTTTCGTACTTTTTTCTCTTTTTCGCCGTTTTGTGCGCGTACACACACGCTCACGCACACACCACACACCCGCATGCGTACACAGACACACGCACGCATACAAACGCGCGCGTAATCGCGCGGCGTTCTTTCCTCTCTTTCGCTTTTTATTACTTTTCCCTTCCCTTTTCTTTTCTTTTCTTCTCTTTTTCTTTGTGTAGCAGTGTGTATTCGAGATTGCCGAGACAAAAGAAATCATAATAAAGACTGTAACAACGCCAACGATAACAACAACGTCAACGACGACGACAACAACAACAACAACGGTAGTAATAAATAATAATCGAAATAATAATAATAATAAATAATCGCAACAAACAAAGGCGCGCGAAGACCGCGTCGACGGCTGTACAGAAAAATTAATCTCTTTTTACTTTCGCTTCGTGGAATAATATAATCATGATAATAGTAATAGTAATAATAATAATAATAATAATAGTGATAATAGCAATAATAGAAATGAAAGTAATAGTCGTACGAGATAACGGTAATGTCGGTAAAGAAACAGAGACACTCTCGATAGAGAAAATAGAAAAGCAAAATAATACTCAAGGAGAAGATTCGATATCGTGCGTGGAGCGACACAAAAGCGCTAGAGAGACGTCCGCAAGTTTCCAAGAAATTTCAATCGTATCGGCGATAATGAGACGCGTCTCTCGCCTCCTCTCGTCGCGTATCGTCTGCTTGTCACGACGATTAATACTTCGTCACCCGCTATCTGGAACGTTTTCGCGTAGCGCGCGTCGAATGCGAAAGGAAGATCAACGGGACCGAACGTGCAACGCGGACACCGCGTGCAACGTGCTGCGTCTGGATGCGTTGGGAAAACAGGGTGATGCATCGTCGGGTGTGCACCGAGTCCATCGGGTGCAATCGGGTGCGGGTCGATCAACCGGTCTTCGGGTCACTTGGATCGCCGGTTCGTTTCGGAAGAAGAGACTCTCTTTCTCGCGGATCGAGCTCCCACGCCGCCTCTCGCGCCGAAGAATCTTGGCTTCGATAGACATTTTCGAACGTATCAAACTTTGTATAAATTGCCCCGAATTACCCTGTATCGATTTCTCAACAATGTTGATTTTTTTTTATGTAGAATCGCGCACGCCGGAGCCTCGGTCATCCGAACATTCGACGGAACGACCGCGGGGTCGTTCGAATCGATCCCCGTAGAACAGCATTTGTTGCTAAGAAAATTGAAGCCAGAGGCTTCGAAACGAGACCAGGTACATCGCTGCACGATCTTTCGCCGCAAAATTGAACCGTTTTGCAAGCGAGACGCAGCGAGCCTCGATTCGATGCTCCCGGCGCACGTCTCGTTCAAGGTGTCACAGAGCGGCAAGCAGAGGTCGTAGATCCATTTTATTAGGCTCGTTAGAAAGATAAAGCTTCGATCTTCCAAGTCCATACTAGTGTCAGCCGAAACAACGATTTTCCGATCGGCGCGCGAACGTTCGAATTCGACGCTTTTTCCAAAGCGGCAGCTTCCGGTTTTTCACTCGTGTCTGGATGCACGAATTTTTTACAGCGAGGTAACTAACAGGCTCTCGAAGTAGAGACTTTAGCCTTTAAAACGAGCCAAGCTGCACCGTCGTACGATTTTTTTCCAGCGAGTTAGACGACTTCGAGTATCGCCTCTTTTCAATCGCCGCGCGATGTTTCCGAGATGGCGGCAGCCTTCTCGTTCAAAGCGTCATAGAATCGCGGGAAAAAATCGTAGACTAAAATTCTTGGTGCCGTTGGAAAGCCGAGACTTCGATCTACAAGCGCGCATAAGTTTCGCTCGAAAAAAAAATTTGTTCGCTCGTTTTCAAGTTCGATCTAGGCGATTCGCAAGGGACAACGCGGTCTCTCGCGCGAATCGATGGGGCGGCGTAACAAATTGAAACTGCTCTATTATCCGAACAACCGAGGCTCCACCGTGCTTCGTATAAAATGCGAAAACCTTCCCGCGAACGATACCGTGCGCGCGCGTGTCTCTTCTCCCGAAATGGCGGAACACGCAAACGGAAACGAATCAAGGTAGAGGAAACTTGTAGATCGCGTGCAGAAAGATCGACCCGAGGGTCATGGGTGTTTGGAGGCTTGTCTCTCGATGGTCAATGTGTCCGGGTCTCGAAGTCGCGGGTCGGAAGATCGTCGCTGTCGCCATATTTTGATCGGGTCGAGTCCAGAGTCCAGTCGTGTCCGAGTCCGAGTCGAGTGAAACAAAAGGTGGAGTTGATTTAGTCGTGGAGGGGCCCCATAGACGACGTTTCGATCGAGATCGCTGTTGTTATTCGAGCCTTCGACCGAGATATCGTGGCTATTGGACGACGCAGCAGCAAGGCCCGTTCGCCAGAGTGCTGGTCGCGACCCGTTGCTGCCGGTACGAAGAGGATTGCTGCTGTCTGGACGCGTGCCGGTGCCGTTGCTGGCCCGTCACCCTGTTGCCGCACCTGGGCTATTGGTTTTCCAGCGAGTAGTGCCGCGACCTCTTCCAGAAACCCTTGAAGAATCCTTTCTTCTTCGGCGCGTCCCCGCACTCGGCCGCTGAAACGCAAAAGGTCACAGCATTCTCCTACCTGCGACGCTCCGGCCAGCGCGACCTACGCTGCAGCGAGACACCCATTTTCTTGGACATCGTTGAAATTTTGTACCACGGCTTCCTTGAATTATGAATAAATGAGCCCGAGGAAACGCGAAGAAACGAACTTTACATTCGCGCCAGGTTTAATCCGAATGCGCGCGATTCTGTCGCGAAGATTCCGGTCTTCTCGTTTTTCCACTTTAAATAATTATTTGCCCGAATTATCGGGTGTCTCGTTAACGAAGCTACGGTAAAAGATTTCGACGATTGCGACGACAACGCGCAAGAAACTAGGTGTCTCGTTCCACCGTGCGTCTCTCCCGACGTCCCACTTTCCTCCAGCGGAGCTGACCAACGGTCTTGCGTATCAGCTGGAGGACGAATAGAACCTCGGAAAGTGCTTAAGCATTTTCGCCACGTTTTTACTCTCGCTATATGTTAATGCCCGATGCCAATTGTCCGCCAGCTGCATGACAATCGAGCCTCTTTCCGGCGGACTTTAAACGAGCATCGTCTGACGCGGATCCGCGCGAACGCTCTTTCGAAATCGCCGGACTTTGGATTTTCCATGGGCGGCTTCGAGACAGTTTCGAATCGTCGGTGTGCGGTCTTTTTCGTTGCAACCACCTCGGCGGACATGCTCTTCGAACCTTTGCCTAGCTTTTCCCGTCTCTAGACGCCAGATCGATCGGCCAAGGTTCCGACGGCTCGGCTAGCTTCGCGTTTACCCCTTGACTGCGACGTGCTATAACCTATAGCCTGAACACTTTCACCGGCAGAATCGAGTTTGCCTCGATTACTTTACGAACGCGAACGTTCTAAACACGATCGAGCTAATTTTTTTTACACCCCGTGGACGGATCTTGAATTTTCGAGAGTCTCAAGGTTTTCCATTTTCGCGTTTCGGCTCGTTCCCCGAGGCAACAATTTTCTCCCGGTGATATGAAACTTGCGGGAGTCGAAGCTGGAGGCTTCGCCCTTTAAAACGAGCCAAGCCGCGTTGCTGTACGATATCTTTTCGCGAAATTACAACGGCTCGATGCGGCGGCTCTTAATCGGAAGCTGGTGGCACGCTTTTCGCCCGAAGTGCGACAAGATGGCGGACGAAAATCGTAGGTCGAAGTTCGCGGTCTCGTTGCGAAGCTGAAAGTTCGATCTTCGAGCTTGCCAAAAAAAATATCAGTTTCTGTTCTTCGTTGCAAAAATGGCCGTTTTCCCGCACGTACGAACAGATAAATAATTTAATTCACCGAATGTTCCAAGTATAAGTTCAGCCTGAAAGTTTTCATAAAGCAACGCGAATTAGTCGCTGTTACATCTTGGCACGTTTAATGTCAAATCGCGCCAACCAGCTTCCATCGGAGTCGCATAAAATCGTCGCATAAATCACGGCCGATTTCAAGAAAGATCGACGACGAGTTCGATCGGCTAGAAGGACGCGTTGCCAGCGCGCGGTCTCGACGGGGAGGAAGGATCGAGATCGATCGCGACTCGTTGGAAAAGATCCGGAAGATCCGGCGCGGCGTGGCGGAAAAGTTGCGGGCGGAAAAGTCCGCGAAGAAGAGAGACGCGCGCGGGTCGATAACGTCGATAACGCGCGAATGTTTGGGCGTGTCCGATCCGCGGCATCCCCTGTTCATCCCCCATAGGCCGGAGACGGATGCACCGCGATCGGCGAACGATTCGGAACGGCTCCCAGCGAGGCTCTTCTCTATCTCTCGATCTGTCCCCGCTGTTCTTCTTTCGGCGGTGTCGCGTAAGCGGTAGTTTCCGAAAATACCCGGCCAATATTAATAGATCGGTTCGGTGGGAAACGCGAGGCGAGTAAACACCCTCGTCGCGGGAGAAGAGGGATGGATATTTTTGAACGATCCTATTCCGCGGATCTCGCCAATGTCGAGCAGTTAGATCGCTAGATCTACGGCCGTGGATCGATCGGAGTCGGAGATCCGCTTCGAAATCGAACGGATCCATCGATCGAGGGGAGTTTCTCTCGACGAGCTTTCGCGACGATGCGTATAATATTGTAATTCGACCGAGATACGTTGCTTCGATCGTCTTCGATGTTACTCGCACGTTTTTCAGAATTCGTTCGAATATCAAATTTCAATCGTACAAGAACTTATTCGCGCAGGAATTCCTATGGAAAATAATAATAAATGCGATGTAATAAATAAATACGATAGAATGTGAAGTAGATAGAATCATCGACGACGAATAGTAATGAATTATAACGAAATATAACAAAATGGAATTCATTCGGATAACTATCTTCGATAGATAATTATCTCTGATCAAGATTGGTCAGCCGTACGCAACGAACGACACGCTAGTTCGAGTAAAATGCTGCGAGCACTTTGAAAAAACGTCTCCGCGGCAAAGGGCTAAGGCCTAGCCGGCTCGGTCTCTAAAAATAGCCGCGCGTGTACCTCCTGGAACAGTGTGTTTGGCCCAAGGACCGCGAGACGCGGTCCGTTTTCGAGCGGTTTCTCCGTCTCCCGGAGACGTTTGACGTTTCTCGCACGAAACGGCGCGCCGCGGCGGATCGAATCGAGTCGAAACGAATCGAATCGAAGAATCGGTAGATCGAAATGGGTAACTCACCGGCGTAGGGCCCTCCGCACGGCGCCGCCGCGTCCTTGCCACCTTTGCCGTCCTTGCTTCCGTTCCCTGAAACAGTCCAGCGAAACGTCTCCTCTCGTGATCGTGTTCGTCGATTGGTTCGTCGCAGCGGAAACGAGCCAGCAAGCTGATGTATATATATATATAAATATGTATGTATATCGAGAAATCGTTCGAGCAAAAGTAACACGACTGCGACACACAACCGCGAGAAACGATAAGCGGCTGCTGGAGAACAAGCGAGAGCGAAGGTAGAAATTATGCACCGTCTGTTGTTTGTCCTGCAGGCTTCTCGAGCGAGCACCGTTGCTCAACGAGAACAAGAACCGTTTCGCTTCCAACGCTGCCCCGCATTTCGAACTTTCTTTCTTTCTATCTTTCAGACGAACCGAAGATCTTCGCGGCGATATGAATAATTCGCGAAATGAAAAAATCAGCGACCCGTCATTTCGACGGATTTCGCGAATCTAGCGTTAAATATCAGTTACACCGAGTCTACAAGGTGTCCCAAAAATGTCTCGCAATCCGAAAGTGACGGGTTCCTCGGGTCATTCGAAGCAACTTTTTCCTTTACAAAAATTTTCTCCGAGGCACCGTTAACGAGTTATTAACGAAAAACCGTGACCAATGAGAGACGAGCTCGGCTGGAACGAGGCGACCGAACCAATGAGCGGAACCGGGCTTCGTGCGCTGGTTGGCTGGGCGGGGTCTCGCGTCAGCCGTACTCGATTCTTATTGGTCACTGTTTTTCGTTGATAACTCGTTAACGGTGCCTCGGAGAAAATTTTTGTAAAGGAAGAAGCTGCTTCAAACGATCCGAGGAACCCGCCATTTCCGGATTGCGAGACATTTTTGGGAGACCCTGTACAACTGTCCACACCGCTGCACACTTACGAGTTATTTATTCGACGGACGTGTCGCTTGCGGAAAATATTGCGACAACGCTCGTTCAAAATCAGGAATAAACGTCTCATCGGAGCCAATATAAAACGGCCGATATAAATTACGTGCTCCGCAAATTTGGCATCGAACTCGATCGACCGGCGATCGCGCAGCGAAAAGCTCTCGACCGGCCGATGTTCGCTCGAGGATCGCGGCGATGCGGCGGGACACGCGTAAAATAGGATCCATAGAAAATTGAAGACGGCGAATCGCTGGAATCGCGGAACGCGCCGAGATTTCGGCCGACTAAATTAGCCGCCGGGATCCTCTCGGCGGACAGTTGTTGCGCGACTCGGGCTCTCCAAAGAGCCTCCCGTTTGGAATCATCCGAACCCGAGGAGTGCGTCTCATCCTCGCTCTATTTCTGGAAAGATAATAATAAACCGCGACGCGCGTTCTCGAGAGCCGGGCGCCTCTCTCTCTCTCTCTCTCTCTCTCTCTCTCCTCGAATCCTACGAATCTTTCGAACTTTCGCGCGTTTCCCTCTGCGGGAGAACAACGCGTCGCGACGGGACGTTTCGGCCTCGTCCCGCGGCGTCGGAAACGGCCATCGATCGCGGATATCGACGACACCGCGGCGTCTGCAGGAAGAAGGAGACAGGAGAACGGTTCCGAGGCGAGACAGAAACGGCCGGGAACAATGACGCTCCGACGCTGCTGCTCTCGTCGGGGGTGATCGCGCTTCGCCACCCTCCGATAAATCAATAGCCGGACTCGCTCTTCCCGAAGCGAGCGGAAAATCGCGGAATCGAGCCGCGCGAACGCACCGCCGATGCGACGGGTGCATCGGGGTCTTACGAAACAAGGAGGAAACGTCGTCCGGCGATCAACGAACGCGCCCGTTGCTATGACGCACGGCGGAAAGGAAAACATATTTTCTTGGACGTCGTCCGACCGAACGTGATCGAGATTTTGTATTATTTAACGCATCGCGCTCGAAGCCGCTCCGACTTCAAATGCAGGACAAGAATCGTCTGCTGCGATCTTTTTAATATTACGATTATTACCGCGACTCATTTTTATGCTTGCCGATTCTCAATAATTGTATAAAACGAACTGCAAGACTCGAGAATAATCGCGTCTCCTCTTCCCAAAATGCCAATTTTTTGTGTATAATCTGAGCGTCTGAGAATTTATCCATCGATAATTACATACATCGATAATTCTTCATTTTCTTGATTTTTTTCACTATCTCCGGTTGTCAGCTGCTGCTACAGCAGCTCGCTATCGATCGCGCTGCCGTTCCGCGAAGACAAGGCCCAGAAGGCCGGGGGAAGAAGGCGTGCGCTTCCTCCTGTTATCGGGAAATTCGGAATCTTGGCGGAGCATCGACCGGAAGTCTCGAAGTGTCGGTTATCTCTAGGCTCGCGTGGCTTGTCGGAGCGAACACGGTGCAACGGAGCAGCACCATATTGAAACCAGCTGACGTTTTCAGCCGTCCAAATGTTCACGGTCCGGCTCCCCCGTCCCGCTCGCCCCCCGCGGCTCTAGGCTTTCCCTGTTCGTCGTGGATCGCGGCTAGACCTCTCCGGTCGTGACCGTGAAGAAGAACGGCCGACGAGGACTGTACAGACGGTACCGATCGATAAGCCGGCGTACACATTCTCTCTCCGGGTTCGAGATACACGCGCCGCGAGGCCTCGTCGTTCGGGCCAGTCGACTCGTGTAACCGGTCGAAAAATCGATTCCCACCGATCTACAGCCGAGCAAGATCCGCTCGATCGATGGTCGATCCTCTGCCGAGACGTTTGGACAAACGCGACCGGGCGTAATCCGGATCCGGAGCTTTTAATAAACTCGCGGCGACATGCTCGAAATGTGAGCGCAGTTTCTTGGATGTTCGCCTAACTCGGGCATGTTAACTTCGATCTTTCGAAGTTAATTACTTATTTTACGTTCTGCCCGATTACCGGCCAATTCGACGTTTTTGGGCAACTCTTTCGGCCGAATGATCGCTCGACGACGAGTTCAAAGTAGCGACGCAAAAATTATTTCCAGCGTCGACTCGATATCTGCAATTCTTTCCGAGTTTTTCAGCTTGAAATATGTTCGGCTATTTTGCCGTTTAATTTTTAGCATCGTCGTCGATATTTCTTCGAGCATCGTCGAAGCTGCGCGACAAAGCGCCGGGGCAAGCGACGCGAAATCGAGGCGAATCGCGACTCGTTACCGGAGTCTTGAGTTAGGTATACTAAATTTTCCCTGATTTTCCTACGGCTTGCGAACAAAAATGGACAATTTGGGAAGAGGAGGTACGATTATTCGAGCCCTGCGCATCGTTATTATAATTGTCGACGATCGGCGAGTATAAAATCGAGCCGCGAGGCTCGAACGATCGTGTTTCCTCGTCCAAAATTCTCCATTATTGTGCACAAGCCGAAGGAAAAAATTCGGGAGAATCGACTGTATCTCGTAACGAGAGGAAGCGTGGAAGTAAGCTCTACATAGCTGTCGCTCGAACGAAAGCGAATCTCGGCGAAAACGAAACGAAACGAAACGTAACGCGGTCGATCGAGCGCGTAGGTTCGTTCGGGGGAGTATATTTAGAAGGAAACCTTGCGGAGGATGCCGGGAGTCGCAGAATTTTCATTCAGCGATTCCGTCTGCACGCGAATTTTCGAGGCCCGCGAACCGCTGCTAGAGAATCCGACTGTATCTGCATACAGGGCGACCAGACTTCGTCGAAGATGGGGGCAAAAATATGGAATTATTTCGCACGTTCAACGCTGGAACCACCGAACGCGAAACAAAAATTGTCCAAGGTAATTCTACGAAGCACAGAACGCACGAAAGCGTTTTTTTTCCTTCGATCAACGTTGCTGGAATATTCATAAATTTGTCTAAGGTCTTCGACGCCATTGCGGCTTCAGGTTCGATTAAAATATTAGGTTGGGAACTATAAATCGGGCGTTGAACACGGACTAAACGAAAACGTCCGTTTCATAGTTTCCAACTTAATAATTCCTAATAACCTATTAACCTGATAATTAACTGCGAAAGATGAACTATTTAGTCTCAGCTCGGTCGATCAAGCTACTCTGATTTTTGCCGATAAAACGAAGGCTCGAACGAAAGACAAGATAAAGGGCATATTAGAGGATCGAGTAAAGGGCAAAGCGACGATTCTATAGAAGGGATAAACGCAAAGGGCGGAGCAGCGAAATAAGGGACGCTTGGGCACGGTAACTATGCAGAATTTGGCTGGACTTTGAGGAATGTCGTCGGAGGTTCGGCCAAAGGGTTTCCGAAACGAGAAGTTTCGTAGCCGAGGTGTTTTCGCTGAACGTGGGAAAAGCGGCTGGAGGAGGAAGTTTCTCGGTCAGCACTGTTGGGAAGGACAACGACCGAAGGAGAGCGATCGACCGCTATGCGACCGGCTTTGGTATGGCGGTTGGAGGGTCGCTAGTTCGCTAGACGGCCTAGCAGACGGGAGTAACGATTGCCAACGTGCGCCACCCCCTCGGACCGCCCCTTTCCGCATCGCCGTTCCAAGCGAATCGGTTACCAACCGATCCGAAAACATCCCCCGATCCGTCCGCGGACGATTTACTGGTTTCTCGGGGGAAACGCGAGCCGGGGGCGCTTGCGCCGGGGGTAGAATCGCAGCGAGGGTTTCTGTCGGGGCGGACGCGAAAGCTGGGACGGGACGGGTGTCTCTCGCGGATCGGAAAATGCGGCCGGACCGATTCGGGAACGCGGAAACAAGATGGCTTTCCGCGCTGAAAATAACCGGAGAAGCAGCGAGAAGGAATCCGCGGGACGTTCGAAGTTGAAGTTCGAAGAAAGGGGTGACGGGGTCCGACGAGAGAGACGCTTCCCGCAGGTGTCCGCGCGGACGAGTATTGATCCGCGCGGACCGCCCTTCGTCCTCGCCGGCGACGCAGCCGAATTATCGCTCGAAAAGCCTCGGGAAACCGGCCGAAACGCGCGGCACGGGAACACGGCCGAAACGGACGCCCGTTCGCCGGCTTCGCGTTCTGTCATACCGGTTCCAAGCACCGGGAGAGCCGATCGAGCGAGCACCGCGGCTCTGTTACGGCAATTTCAAGGTCGGTCGCCTCCGAACGAGCCGCGACAAAGCTCGTCGCTCTTCGACAGGTGGAGACACCGGACGGACCCGACGACCGCGGTGCCGGCGTTTCCGGTGGGACGAAACGACGTGACAGCGATCGAAAATCGATTTCCGTGAAATTCTAATCGAATTGATACGTGTCGCCTGAGAAACTACCAATTATGATGCAATACGGTGAACCCGAGCCGATTATTCCGCGGCAAGGGGCGACGATTAACCCCCTCGCGCAACCGGACACGCGACGCAGATTTCGCACGGAATCTGCTACACGCGAATATCGTTCGTTTTTTTTTTCAAATCTTCGTCTAGTTCCGTCGGGGAAATTATTTAAGCGTGAAGAAATAATAAAAAAAAAAATGCTACGATAAAAGCCGTAGAAAATTTAAATAAGTAGAATCCCCTCGCTTCCACGAGTTAATAAATTATGTTACAAATTTCGTGTCAAGCCGCTTCGTCTCACTGCGCGACAGAGATATTCGGATTTTCGAACAGGCCCGACTTCGACCCGCGGGCTTTCGAGCGGCCCGCTCTCCTGCTCTTTCGTACTCGAGGCGCCATCTGGAAGAGCTCCGGCGAACCTCGATCTCGGGGCAAGAATTCCTACGGAAGCTTGCGAAAGCTGCACGCGAAAGCGTCGATTGCGCGAACATGAGCAATTCGTGCTCTTCTCATTAGGCTTGCGAATCCGTGAATTTGCAGGCGACGATTTTTCTGAGAACTTCGAGGCTTTGAAAGTCTCGGGCTGCTGGGTGCTTCGGACACCGGAAGTCCTCCGCGACGAGCCTCTAATAACGAAATAGCGAAACAACTCGTTTGCTTTTAATAATTCAATATATTTTTAATCTACGAGCCCGTCGAGGTGGCCGGTTACTTGTAGGAGACGTTAGGTTCAGCGCTAAGTTCTCTTAAAATCTTTGCACTATTTTAAATTGCAACCAATTTTGTCCATAGTTTGAAAATGGTTAAACAATAATTCTCATTGGAACGTGTCGGATAGTTCGAGATTAGGAAAAATGCTTGCTGCTTGCATCGTTTGATTGTTGCGGACGCTTTTGATAATCGGGATCGCGTAATCGACGCTTTAGCAACCAAGGTTTACAGAAAACAATAGCAATGCCAATACCAATAGAAAAGGAAACATACCACGTTGCGAGCACGACCATTGCGAGCAGCTGGCCGCGAGGAAGAAACCGGGAACAATTTCTTCCTTGCGACCGTTGCGGTTCAAACATCGAGGAAGCTAACAGAAACCTTGTATATATAGTAAAGAAAATTGAAAAAACAGCTCCACTATTGGAAGAATAGAACAGCTAAAGAGTAAAATCGGTGGCGCTCAAGTGCCACGAAAGGTCACGCAGATATAGTCGTTACACTATAGTGGCTTCGGAGAGTCTTCGTACCGAGTGCTGTATCGTCGATATTTCAACTGACGTAGATTCGCGAAAACAAATCGTACTGCGATGAATTTCAGCTGATTTTGAAGCTCGAATGCTCTACTTTCGCTGCCAGTAACTAAGTTTCCTCCAACATTTTTTCCCCACGGCGTACCAAGTTGAAAACCGAAGATACGTTTTATCCTAAAAAATTTCAAAAATTCACAAGTCTCTCGAATCGTCGAGAAATTTTTTTCCAGAACGATCTTACAACGATTTCGAAGATTGGAGCTTCCTCTTTGCAACGACCCCTCGAAACATGCGCCACGATTTTTTTTAGCCGTTTCACGGACCCGGAACGTGGAACATGTTCGGTCGTGTAAAACAGTAAAACACCCTCTGTTCAAGACTCGATAAAGCGGCTAAAAAAAATCGTACAGCAAAGTTCGGGAGGTCGTTTTAAAGAGGAAACTTCGATCTTGAATTTTACGTAAGGATCGGTGGCGAGAAAAATTTTTTAACGTATTCACAGGCGTTTCGATACAGTTGAAAAAGTTTCAAGAATGAGCTTGCAGTTTCCCATTTGCTACGTTATGCGGAAACACGTTGTCAGAAAATGAAGAATGCGCAGCAAAAGTAGAAGCTTTCAGCTTTAGAACAAGGTAATCTTTATCGTTGTACGATTACTTTCGACGAAATTATAACAGTTTGAATATCGACTATCGGAAATTTAGTGTAGGCAGACACTCTGGAGCCATCCTATGCATACGTAGCTTCGTTAGAGGCGATCAAGGTTTCGAAAAGAAAGGTAGACACTGTCCGTGATCTCGATGCGGAAGATCGTTCGCGTGGAGTCGCACAGAATTCCCCACACGGTCGCCAGCCTTTTCGCAAACTAATTTTCCCCCAGATTCTCCCAGATCCTTTCCTTCTCAAAGACATTTACTTGATACTTTAAAGAGAATCCGTACTGGTTTACGAATGGATAAATTTCTATCTCTTAAGAAACCCATGATCGTTAACGTCCCATTTTTGAAGAGCTGTCAGGAGTAAAATGTCATCGCTAAAACTACCGAGCTATAAAAGCGACTAATTGCCCACAAAAGCGTCTCTATAACCTCAGTAATTGTGAAACGAAGAACCTGTTTAGTAGTTCCAGCGTGAAAATGCTATGACAATTTGTGACAATTAAAAGTCTCCTTGCGTACACGAAAGGAAAAATAGGCTGGCGTATCCTCTCCGTATCTCGCAAGCCCTCTAACAAGGAAAGTGCAAGGCCTTGGGGTCACCGATTAAGTTGAAACTCGATACATTTACAGATCTCGTTCTCCTGTTTAGGTCTGGGAGGCAGATGGTCAATAGTTTTCTGAATATTTACGACTATAGTATTCATTATTCCAACGAATCATGAGTTACCCTCGCCATCTGAATTTCATTGCAACAATGGAACTTTAATAGTAGCTATTTAAAATACTATGGAGATAAATAGGAGAACGAGATCTATAAATGTACAATGTCTCAACAAAGCCGGACGATCCGAGGCTCTTGCACTGTTCGCGAAAGTTCGGGAGTTCGAAGAAGAAGTTATCGGTAGTTTGGAAAAGATCGGCGACCCGGCGAGTTCCGTGCAACTGGACCGGCGTGTCCTCAGGATCAGCGAACGACTGCGATTGCGATTGCTACTGCGGTTGCGGCTCTCTCTCTTTCTCTCGCTCTCTCTCTTGGTGATTTGGTTGTAATAGCGCAAATTCCAGCGCTTACCTTTCTTGATGAGCAAGCTAGTGACCCTCCGTAGCGCCTCGCGAGTGCTGGAGGCGGAGCTGTGCTTACTTTGGCCGAAGTATTTGTTCGGTGTGATGTTGGTCGGCAGAGTGAGCGGTTTCCGTTGGTCCCCGGGGCCGGTCAGCCTAGCGTCGAACGCGTTGTTCAGCCTCTCCAGGTGCTCGATGGAGGCTGGCCGCGGCTGGTTCGCCTTCCTCGTCGGGTACCATCCGCGATTCGGTCCGCCGGCAAGTCGCAGCAGTTCGGTCCCGATGATCGCCTGTTCTAGACCCGGGTTGTTCCTTCGGTACCTGCGAAAACGATCCCGATTAGCGAATCTTCCATTTATCCTTGCTCTCTACAGTCGCTAAGGAATGTATGTTGACACCTTGCAAGACGGAATAACTTTTCAAGAAGTGGACAAAAAATGTGAAGTCGTTTCGGCCGGCTCGGAAGGTTTAATGTTAGAAAAAGGTGTCCGCATATATTTGTCCACGACTGTATTTTCCGTTGTTACTTTGTTAGTCAACTGTTTTACCCGGTGGTGGCGGTGGTCGGAGCGTACCAGCCAGGTTGACGACGCGTCTGCGTCGGGTTTCCGGCGTGCTGAGGTGTCCTTGGCACGTCGCTGCCCCTGGCGAACACCGGAGTCTCTGGCAGAGAGCAGGAGGTCTGCATTCCAGACCCTGCTGAGACGTTGCCGGCGATGGGGCCGGTGGTTCCGATGGAGCTGCCGATCCCATTAGCCGGACCGCCGACGATTCCGTTCCCATTGCCGTTGCTGCCGCTTCCGGAGGAGCTGGAGCAAGGATCGGTCGACGGAGAGTGCCGCTTCGTCAGCGGTCGTCGTCGAGAGGGCCCTGGTAGGTCCGTTGGAAGGGTTCGTCGCTCCGCAGGTATCTGCTGCTGGAATAAAGTATTATAGTTATAAAAAGTTGGATACTGTGCGTCGTCGAGCAGAGGAAACTCGCCTCGCGTCTAGAGGTGGCGGTGGTAGCAGGCGTTCTTCTGCCTCTGGAGTATCCAGCGTCCATGGATCTGGTGTTCAAGGACGCCTGATGATCCTTGGACTCGGAGGAGAGGCAGGCTGTTGGTCCCCGATGAGGGGGCACCCTGGGTCTGTACTCCATCGTCCTGTTGCTGCTGTGAGCCTTCGGCCTCGGGGTCACCGCGCTCTGACCCACGTCGGAGTTCTCCTCGTCGGCCTCCTCCACGGGAGAAGGCGGCAGTGGAGGAAACTCGAGAACCTCCACGCTCACCTGAGGAAGACATTTTCATCCAACTTACGTTTCCTGCGATTAACTTAGCCTACGATAATAGCCAAATATTCCTAGCATGACTTTTTCCCTCCTAGAACGCCGATTCGTTCCATCTCGCGGCGTTACCTGGAACTCAGGATTCTTCGAGTCCTCCAGTATGGCGTCGATCACGTTCTCGATCTGCTTCTGGTCGTTCTTATGGCTCTCGACAACCCCGTTCTGCCTGGATCTCCTCTCGGACCCGTACACCACGTCGGTCCCATTGCTTCTGCTGGCCTCGAACTCGATCTCGCTCTTCAAGATCTCCGGATCGATGTCGGAGTCGTGTCTTCTCCTCGGTCGAGCTTCCGGCAGACCTTCCAGAGCCTTTCGGTCACCAGGCTCGATCTCCAAACTGTTTCTCTTGATGTTAGCCGAGGAGGTGGACGAGGAGGACCTGCAGTCGCCCACAGTCTTCCATCGCTTGTTCTCCGAGTAGGACTCGCTGTTCTTCACGCTCTCGATCTCCTTGATGGCATCACTGACCTTCTCCAGCTGTCGCCGGTTCTCCTTCAGAGCTTTCTTCACGATCTGCTCCTCGATCAGCAGGTTCACCGGGATCTTAGAGGCGGGCCGGTGTTCCGCGCGGCCGATGTTCGGCGATTTCCTCGCGTGCGAGGTCTCCTCGACCTTGGAGACATTGTTGCGGCCCCAGCTGTTGTTCGAGCAGCTTCTCGACGTCGAGATAGAGACTCTGGTGGGTTCGTCCTCGGTCTTGGACCGTCGGTGAATCTCGACCGAGGGCGACAGCCGGCCGGCGAGCTGCGCTCTGTCTCGAGTCTTGTCTTTGTCGGAGACGTCCGACGTTTCCTCTTCCTCCACGGTAACCTCCAGCTGGCCCCGAGCTCCGATCTCGTCGTTGATCGCCGGAAGCGACACCACTCTCACCAGATCCGGAGGCACCGCCGACGGAAACTCGGAGGCGGGTCCGTTCTGAGGCTGAGACTCCGTCTTGCCTTCTCTCAGCAGGCTTCTGATGTTGTCGAAGGTGCTGGAGTACCGTTTCGCGTCCGACAGCCGGGTCTCCTCTCCGTTCTCGAAGGACAGGCTCCTGGTTTTGGTCGGAGCCCTCGGCAGTCCCTTCCGCTCCCTTTTCCGGCCACGGCGGATCACGTAGGTGCCGTTCTTGGTCAGGTCACGAGGTCGAATCTGGTCCAGCTCGTTCGTCGACGAGTCCGAGTACGGCGAGATCAGGTCGTCGTCCGTCGTCGACAGCCGCTGGTCCTGCCAGTCGTCGAAGTCGCGCAGCTTCGAGACCGATCCGGCGCCTGAAACGTTCGTGTCTCAGCAATCGTCGCGCTACGAAATATTCGACTTCGGAAGCTGGCCAAAAGTTCGTTCAAACGAATAAAAGATTCTGTTAAATTCAGCAAAGTTACAATACTTTTAGCCAACTCCGCTGCGCTCAGTCGCTGCAACAAGACCAACCGGGTCTCGCTCGGATGACTTACTGGACATGTCGCTGCTCTTGCGCCGTCTCCTGCCGATGACCTTGGTGCTGCCAGGCGCGTACAACGGGTCGTCCTCCAGGGAGACCTCCCAAGCGATGGAGTGCCTCTTGCCGATGGGCAGAGGCGGCGGGGGAGGCGGAGGAGGCAGAAGCTCCTCCAGCGAGTCGTCCGAGAACCGTTCCTCCTCGGACTGGGTCCGAAAGTCCGTGGAGTTCCTGGTGGAGAAGTCCGAGTTCCTGGTGGAGAACATGTCCGAGTAGCGCTCCTCGGAGCACCTGTCCGAGGTCGGCGCGGAGAAACGTTCGCTGGAGTCGGCTCGGTTGGGCAGGGAGAACGAGACGAAGTCAAGGTTGCGGATGGAGAAGGGGTCGGAGGTCGGCACGGAGACGCGGTCGTTGGAGCCGGCGCTGGCCACGGCTATCGAGAAGTCCGAGTGGAACCTCTCGTTGGAGTTCGAGGTCGAGTTCGCTCTCGAGAAGTCGGACGAGTCGCAGATCGCCCGCATCGAGAACCTCTCGACGCTGACGGAGCTGGACCGTGGGATCGAGGACCGCTCGGACTCCGAGTGTCTGGAGAAGCGGCCCTCGCTGGAGTCCGAGTCGGTTCTCCTCCTGTCGCGGTGCTGATCGACTCTGCGGTCGTGGTTCATCAGCAGCCGATCCTCCACGCTGCTCGACTTCATCATCTCGTGCTGGCGCTGCTTCCGCAGCAGCGAAGGCCGATCTTTCTCCCCGTCGAAGCTCTGCCGATGGTTCCGAGCCTCTCTCTCCGGTCTCTTGAACCGCTCCTCCTCCTCCTCCTCCTCTTCGTCCTCTTCGACCTCCTCGTCCTCCTCGTCCTCCTCTTCGTCCTCTTCCTCCTCTTCTTCCTCCTCCTCCTCCTCCTCCTCCTCTTCCTCCTCCTCCGAGGAACGACGACGCACCTCTCGGTGTCTCTCGGCCACCATCGGATTCGTCCTCGGCGGGATCCAACCGAAGGACAGCTTCCCGTCGAACGGCAGGCTGGCGAACTTGCTCGGCGGAGGGCTCTGGCCGAAGCTCGTCAGCTTGAAAGGCTCCGACGCGCCGTTCTTCCAGCCGTACGGTCTCTGGTGGCGCGTTTTAGGCTGCGGAACAATCGGACGATTAGAGCGAAGGTTTAGAGCCTAGGTACCAGTCGAGTTAAGCGATCCCGCTAGAATGTTCTCGGCAGAGAGTTCTTCGACACACTTACTAGCGTGGTTTGCGTGGTGACCGCGCTTCCGTTGGCGTCTCGAACGCCGTCCTCCATGGCGATCATCCACTGCTGCATTCCGGCGCGACGATCGGCGGAACGGGCGCTTCTCTTCGAGGAGTTTCCCGGGGACACCCTGCCGACGAACGATCGTTCTACACCAGAGTCTAGAAGCAGGAGCGACGCTTGCTCCGCGACAGGATATAGAAGGGACACTTACATCGGTAACAAGGTAGAAATGATCCTCTCGGCCTCCTCCGGCGGCGGAGGGAACTCTTGCGCGGGCAAGCCTTGCGTGGGATCCTGCGGCTCTGGACAATCGGGAACCGGACGCAGCGCTACCAGGGCCATTTTCGCTTTCCGGCCATTCATGCTCATGTAACCGTCGTCCTCGGATTGGTGTCCTGCCGGCAGAAGAACCGTTCACTCCCCGCTTTCGCACCCCGCCGCGCCGACGGCTCCGATCCTGCGAGACCTGGAATCTCATCGCGAGCGGGAGGGATCATGGTTTCGAGGTCGTTCGGGACGAAGGATCGCGGTTTACTTTGCCAGGGGGGCTCGACGGCGTCATCGTCGTCCCTCGACGGAGCCGAGAATCGTTGCTTTTTTTGAGGGGACGGTCGAGGATGGTTGCTGGATCATCGGGAAGACCGATCTCGGCGCCGATCTGGACGCGGAGGAGTCGGAGCTGGAGGAGTAGGAGCTGGAGCAGGCGAAAGAGTCGGAGGAATCGGGGGTGGAGGGCTCGGAGGAGTTGGGGGAAACGGCGGTGGTGGGCCCGGGGGGATCGGGGGCGAAGGTCTTGGAAGTGGCGGGGGCAGCGGAGGCAGCGGCGGTGGAGGACACGGAGGAACCGGGAGCGGAGGAGTTGGAGGAACTGGAAATGGAGGGTTCGGAGGACACGGGGGCGTCGGAGGACACGGAGGACTCGGAGGATGCGGGGGAGTCGGTGGTGGAGGAGCTGGAGGATAGGGTGGCATCGGAGGAACCGGAGGTGGGGGAATTGGAAATGGAGGTCTTGGAGGCGGCGGTCCTGGCGGACCTGGAGGAATCGGTGGCGGAAAATCTGCCGGCATCGATGACGCAGGCCTCGGAGAAGTTTGGGGATCAGAGATGGCAGATTTGGAGGAATCGGAGCTGGTCGAAGCGAAGATGGCGGACTCGCAGCGATCGGAAGAATTCGAGGGAATTGGAGATGGAGCCGCAGGAGCAAAAAAGTACCTAAGGACGGACTCTCGTCGTCGGGTGTGAGACCAATGCTCGGCTCGGTGCTGCTTCCACAATCCCCGACGTCTCCGACTCCCCTGACTCCTCCACCGTCTCCGTCCCTGCCTCCTCCGTCGCTTCCTCCGCTTCCTCCGCCACCACCGCCTCCTCCGCCGACGCCGACGACTTGGTCGACACCGTCTCCACCTCCGGCGTCTTCACCCTCTGGCTCGTGCTCGTCGTACTCGGAGAGCACTTTGTCCAGCAGCTCGATCGATCGTTGCACATCGTCACCTCTGGAACAAACGTATCGGTTGATTCTATAGAGATTACCATTGACGTTCCACTCGATCCTCGGGCCTAGCTCTCTCTCTCTCTCTCCCCTCCCTCCCCATCCTTCTCAACTTGACCTTCGCAATCGCTGCGAGACCTTGGACAAGGTAGACCGTAGAAGCTGCTCGCGGCCGGAGTCATCGATTCGTGCTACGAGGTTTGGATAATCGAGGTCAACTCGGAGTCCCTCGGCACAGCGCGGAGACTCTCTTGCCGACGTTCTCCGTTTTCGATCGAATCTTCGTCGTCGCTCCGGGCTGTGCCCGTATTTGTTCAAGGTAAAAGTCGGCTGAGTTAATCAGAGCTGAGAAACTAGAGTTCAGTCAAAATGTATTTCTCCCGGTTAATGGTCGAACCGACGTCGTTGAGTTCTCCCGGCTTAATTCGTGAGCGCATCGATGCTGCAGTCTCTAATCGTCGCCGCGGAGTCTTTGATTATCAGAGGTGATCGGGTCAAGCCGCTATCTCGAGGATAGAAGTTGGCCGTCTAAGATATATACTAGGTCGAATCATCGATTTCTGCAACGATGCTCGGATGGCCGAGGTCGAGAGAGAGAGCGTGTACCTCGGAAACGAAGACCGCGTTTGCCGGCAAACAACGATGCGTTATCGACACGTGCAACGGACGTTGGGACAATCGAGATCGTGTGAAAAGATTTTCCGCGTTTCCACGAAGACCGTGTTTAACGAAGACCGTGGAGAACGCGAATCTCCTCGCCGGCTACAATGTCGGGACAATCGAGACTCGAGAGGATCCCCCGCGAATCGAACATTCCGGATCGGCGGAACGGACAGAGTTTCGCGTATCGATGTTCCCGGTAACAACGGTAACGAGCGGGCTAATTAGGCAGTGGCTCGTCGATCGGCACACACGCGAGGGACACGACGGCGAGCGTCGAGCGACGCCGACTCGTCGCGTCGCGACGCAGCGATGGCGCGTCACGGAGAACGTATCCTCGACGAGCAAAGAAAGGATTCGCGAGAGAGAGAAGGGACTTGCACACGCAGAGGGTTCGAAGAAAGAGAGAGAGAGAGAGAGAGAGAGAGAGAGAGAGAGAAAGGTGGAATGGGAGAGCCGGGACGAGTGGCAGGAGAGACGAAAGGGGCAAAGAACCGAGAGAACGCGCAAAGGTCAGGGGAAACGAGGAGGGCTGGTCGGTTGGATAGGCGAAGACGGGGGTGGAAACGACGTCGGCGCCGACGGAAGCGAGAGGGAGCCGAGGGGGTGCGTCGGCGAGCAAAGCTGCGAGGAAACCAGCGAGCAGAACTGCGAGCCGGCGCACAGTGGTCTGGCGAAGCAGCGATCCGTGGCCAAAATGATTTTAGCGTTGTTTCAAGGTTTAAGGTTATGGTACAGTAGGTCGTAGAATTCCTCTCGACACCAGCAAGAACATCGTCGAGCCGAAACCATGTATTAACGATCCAAAAATCGAGGCGACCGACATCTTTTTGGAAGAAAAAGATACTTTCTGACAAGTTCTTATATTCTGGCTTGTAGAAAAGCGAAAACCGAACAACTTTTGTTCGAGACATTTTTATTCCAGATCGACGGAAATGGCTGAAAAATCAGGACTCGCTTTAGAATCGAGCGTCGAGCGATCTTGTGTTGAATAAGCTGATATCGTGGTTGATAAAGCTTTGGAGGAGGGGCGAGGGGGTTGTAAAGCCATTAGAAGAAACAATCCTTCGAAATATGAGCGCTGCAACATTGACTTTCGGCCACGGATCGCTGCTCGGCAGGCCATTGTGCGGCGAACCACCCTGCCACGCCGCGTGCTGGCGCAATGCGGTCTTTGCCGGCGCGGGTCGTAATCGGGTATGTTAATTCCCAAGAAAACGGGAAACGACGCGACGGACACGGACATTGCGTTCCGACCACCCGCTACTCCGTTGTCCGGTCGGCTTCACGAGCCAACGTTGCTGCGACAGCAACCAGCCACATATATTCATTCCGCGATACACGCTTCTTTCTTCGGAACTCGCTGAATTTACGACGACAGGGTGATCCCGCGGATCCTGTGCCGCCGAGGGCCGTCGTTACCATGGTTATTTATGCGTNAGAAAGAGAGAGAGAGAGAGAGAGAGAGAGAGAGAGAGAGAAAGGTGGAATGGGAGAGCCGGGACGAGTGGCAGGAGAGACGAAAGGGGCAAAGAACCGAGAGAACGCGCAAAGGTCAGGGGAAACGAGGAGGGCTGGTCGGTTGGATAGGCGAAGACGGGGGTGGAAACGACGTCGGCGCCGACGGAAGCGAGAGGGAGCCGAGGGGGTGCGTCGGCGAGCAAAGCTGCGAGGAAACCAGCGAGCAGAACTGCGAGCCGGCGCACAGTGGTCTGGCGAAGCAGCGATCCGTGGCCAAAATGATTTTAGCGTTGTTTCAAGGTTTAAGGTTATGGTACAGTAGGTCGTAGAATTCCTCTCGACACCAGCAAGAACATCGTCGAGCCGAAACCATGTATTAACGATCCAAAAATCGAGGCGACCGACATCTTTTTGGAAGAAAAAGATACTTTCTGACAAGTTCTTATATTCTGGCTTGTAGAAAAGCGAAAACCGAACAACTTTTGTTCGAGACATTTTTATTCCAGATCGACGGAAATGGCTGAAAAATCAGGACTCGCTTTAGAATCGAGCGTCGAGCGATCTTGTGTTGAATAAGCTGATATCGTGGTTGATAAAGCTTTGGAGGAGGGGCGAGGGGGTTGTAAAGCCATTAGAAGAAACAATCCTTCGAAATATGAGCGCTGCAACATTGACTTTCGGCCACGGATCGCTGCTCGGCAGGCCATTGTGCGGCGAACCACCCTGCCACGCCGCGTGCTGGCGCAATGCGGTCTTTGCCGGCGCGGGTCGTAATCGGGTATGTTAATTCCCAAGAAAACGGGAAACGACGCGACGGACACGGACATTGCGTTCCGACCACCCGCTACTCCGTTGTCCGGTCGGCTTCACGAGCCAACGTTGCTGCGACAGCAACCAGCCACATATATTCATTCCGCGATACACGCTTCTTTCTTCGGAACTCGCTGAATTTACGACGACAGGGTGATCCCGCGGATCCTGTGCCGCCGAGGGCCGTCGTTACCATGGTTATTTATGCGTTTATGGCGTCTGCAGGTTCTTGGAACGTCGGAAGAGATATAAATTGACGAAGAGTATCGTAGCATTTGTATTTATCATAGTAAAGTAATAGTTCTCCCTAATTGACGCTCGGATTTTACACAAAAGTGGACGATTTGAGAAGAGGAGATGCGATTGTTCGAGCCTTTTTATAGTTATCGATCTTCAGCGACTGTAAAAATGAGTCGCGAGGCTCGAACAATCGTATCTCCTCTTCCCGAATTGTCCACTTTTCTGCATAATCTAAGTAAGGAGAATTTATTGTAGATATTCGTATACAGGGTGTCCCAAAATTATGGTACTTCCAGGAAATGACGGATTCCTGAGGTCAATCGAAGTAACTTTTTCCTCGGCTTCGTTTACGAGATATCAACGAAGAAGAGTGACCAATCAGAGGCGAGATTAGACTCGATCGCTTCGCGCCAGCCGATCTCGCCTCTGATTGGTCACTCTTCTTCACAGAAGGTGGAAACTCACGCGTCGATGTTCTTCGATTCTTTCAGCCGACTCACCGTTTAAAATCGCAGTCCCTCGTCGCAAATGCATAAAGTCCACCGATTGCCTAATCCGGAGCCTCGATTATCCAAACAGGTTTCGCATAGTTTCATGATTCATTTGTTTCGCATCCTCGCGACGTGTCGTTCTTGCGTGTCGATGCGGACGGATGACAAACTGCATCGTCGCAAATACGCGGACACGATGGATAGGCACGTAATTATGATGCGCGACGGCGACACGAAATGGACACGCGGTCTACGGCGATTCATACGCAGGGTTGTAAAATCGGCGGGGGATCGACGAATTCATCGATCCGCGGGGAAACCGACGTGTCCGGAAAGAGTGGCTCGACGAGCACTTTGAGAAAGATTGGCGACTGAGATGATAAACGATGCCGATCCCGCTCGGTCAGATTTTTGTCAAAAAGGTCGGGCCGTTCCGGCGTCGCGCTTTATTAATTACCGAAAGCCTATCAACGCTAAACCTGCCACCGCCGGTCAAGCGACAGCTTTCACGCTTTTTATTTCATAGTTATCGAAGTCCCAGAGCTGCGTCCATTAAAAATTCTCGAATATATTTTTCTTCATTCAGGTATACAGTAATGTCTCTCTAATTGACGCTCAGATTGTCCACAGAAATAGACAATTTAGGGAGAAGTGGATACGATTATTCGAGCCTTGCGATTCGTTTTTATAGTTACCGATTTTCAACGATTATAAAAACGAGCCGCGAGGCTCGAATAATCGTGTCTCCTCTTCCCAAATTATCCTTTTTTGTGTAGCATTTTTGAGCGTCGGTAAGGGAGACATTACTGTATCTTGTAATTCTTAGGCAATTTTTGCTAGTCGCTTACAAAGCGTAAAAGAACATTTACAAAAATTCAACCGGCGTTCTGGCGTGGTCCGCCGATTTTTCGACATCAAAGCACCGTCTGGACGCCCGTCGTCCTCCGTTTGGTCGATCGGCAAACGAGATCGGTCTAACGAGAGCCGTTCTAACGAGTCCAATCAGGGAATTAGCAATCGCGACAGAGGAAAACAGAGTTCGCCGGACCGTAAAACTGCGGGACCGCCGAACCGTGGACGATCAGCTTCGAGCGGTCGTAAAGATCGCGAAGACCTTGAGCGTTTCGAAGACGCATCGATCGGCTTCGGTACCGGCGAACTGGTAAACAGACTTCTACCACGACAACCAAGAGAAGCCAAGGATCTGCCGAGCATAATTTTGAAAACAAGGCTCGAACAATCGCATCTCCTCGTTCCAAATTGTCCATTCTTGTGCGCAATTTTTGAGCGTCAATTAGGGAGAGCCGCGTGACTCGAACAATCGTATCTCCTCGTCCCAAAT